GTAATAAAACAACTAGTTTTTTATTACTTTCCTTGTTTTGTTGACAAGCAACACAACTTTGTAGAAAGATTAAACACAACTTGAATGTAAGTCTCCAAGTACTCCCGTAATTTGGACCAAAAGTGAACTCGCTGAATGTTCTCCAAGGTCTTTTACTCTCCCAAATGACCTACAATGGCTATATCATGATTTTTTGATAAAATCATTGTGCGTAACTTTTGATCTTGCGGATTCCATATACGTTGTTTGTAGAACGCCAAACCTCTAGTCTTCTTTGTACTTCCAGCTTGTAATGCCCTCATGATCTCTTCATCTACTTTGTGACATGTGTTATCTTGCTGTATCAATCTTCTTGAATCTTCACTTCTGCAACATGATTCAAACAAGGCATGCCTGTGAGAGCATCCGCAAGTTACTTTTTGCTCTTCACGTACACAATCTTCATGTTGAAGTGTTGACACCACTCTACCTATCGAATTTGTTGTTTAGACAAATCTTTCTGAGTTTTCAAATAAACCAAGGATTTATGATCGATCTTTATCACAAACTCTTTATCATCCAAGTAATGCTTCTAGTGTTTGATTGCCAACACAATGGCTAACTTCTTCCATTTTGTTGTGTGATAATTTTGTTCCACCGTCATCAACTTTCGAGAATAGAAAGCAACTAGATGTCATTCATCCTTCCATTCTTGTTGAAGTATGCCACCTACAATTGTACCTGATGCGTGAGTAGCCAACTTGATTCGACGATAAGTATCATACCACTTGAGGATATATGCGTGTAACAAAGCATCTTTCAATGTTTGAAAAACTAACTCTTGAGTTATTTCCCATCTTCATTTTAGACCTATTCCTAACATGGAAGTCAAAGCCTTAGCTAGGCGAGTTAAACCTTTCACAAATCTATGATAGATACTAGTGAGCCCTAGAAAACTCTTCAATTGAGTTTGATACTCAAGTGCTGTTCATTTCTGAATGACATCTATCTTCTCACTCATCACTTGGATTCATACGGCTCTAACTCTATAACCCAAGTAATCTAATTTTGATTTGTCAAATTCACATTTTCACTTTTTAGCATACAATTGATTGTCTCTCATAACTTGAAGTATTTCTCGTAAAGGACGTCTATGATCACTCAAAGTTTTGCTATACACCAATATAACATCTAAAAATACAATGATAGATTTATCTACATAAAGGCAAAAGATATTGTTGATCAATTCCATGAATGTAGCTAGTGCATTAATGACACCAAAAGGCATCTTTAGATACTCAAAGTGACCATACATAGTACGAAAAGTTATCTTGTATGCATCTTCATCTACAATTCAAATTTGATTGTAGCCGCTTCTCAAATCTAGCTTGATGAAGTACTTTGCTTCTTGAAGTTGATCGAACAAATCATCCATACGAGGTAATGTATATTTGTTTTTTCACCGTTTGCTGATTCAACCCCTGGTAGTCGATGCATAGTTTCATGGATCCATACTTCTTCACAAAAAACACTATCGCTCTATAAGATGAAACACTTGGTTGAATGAATCTCTTGCTCAACATCTACTCCACTTGAGCTTTAAATTCTACCAATTCGTTTGGAGCAAAACGATATGAAGCTTTGCAAGTTGATGTACTTTCAAGTATCACCTCAATCTTGTAATCTACTCGACTTTGTGGTGGTAATCTTGCAAATAGATCATCTGGAAATACATCTTTATATTCCATAAAAATGTAGTTCAAGTACTTTGGGATGTAAAGTTTGTTCTTGGATCCAATATCTCTTAAAAGTCAAAGAAAGCATACATCATCTTTAGAATTGGATGTTATATCACAAAGAGGAGTAAATTCCTATTCTGAGATCTAATTCTATCTTCGTAGATCTTCCAACCACTACTTGTAATCACTTTTCTTCTTTAATCTACCTCCGAATTATATTTTTCCATCCATGACATTCCAAGGATGATATCATATAGAGCTATTACAAATCGAATTACAATCTGTTCAATGCTCTCATTGTATCTACCTATGGATAATTGTACACTATGTGAAAATGTTTCTATCACTTTAGTTTGTCCATTTGGCAATTCAACTTTCTCACTCACGTACTTTATCAACATCAAACCTAACTTCATAGCAACAATCCTTGATTGAAAATTCTCTATTGCTATAGGATCAATTAGAACTCTCACCTTGTGTACTTCCATCAAACCATCAATGACAATGAGTTGAACTTGCTTCTTAGCTCCCAACCATTGACTTCTTCCAACCTCGCATTTTCTTCGCTTTGTAGAACCGGTAAGGCCGCGAGGCAAGTTTACTAGTGATCTTTGTTTCTCGAAACTTTTTTCTCAACCTCTTCATACTTTTTTTCCTTCATGTTGTTAAACGGTTGTCGTTATATGAACCATTCTCCTTGTGATGCAAGTCGGATTGGGCAAAATTTGGCAATGTGATTCATTTGTCCACATGCATAGCACTGACGATTGTCACAAACTCTTGCTCCTCCTTGTGAGCCTGAACGCCCCACACTTCAGCGTTTATAATCCGGGTGGGGGTCATGGTTCACACAACATCACCTTACCTAATCTTTATCAATCTTCTAGGAGCTCTACCTCCCAGATACTGTTAAGCATCTATCAGAACTTCACCGTGGCATCTATTCCATAGATATACCTATTTCCAGATCACTCAATCATTGTGTCATAGTGATATACACAGATTGATGTGAAAGAATAAGTTTGGAAAGAATTTTTGCGACACAAGATAATTGACCCCACAAAGCTGGACTGGAGTTGAATACTTTGACTACTCTCTCTACTCGCCTTCGACCAGGCACACCTGCATCCCCTCTCACTCAAACCCTCCCGCAGCAATCACTTTTTTCGGCTCCACACTCAGAATTTCATTCTATTTTCCTTCAGCAACTCAACACCAGCAACTCACTCAACGCCCTCACTTTCAGTGGTAACACCTCCAATCTTAGAAATCCAACACTGTCAGCGTCCAACTCTCGGCCTGTTCGCACACTCACAGCGATTCGCCCACGGCCTGAACGCACACTCACAGCGCTCCGTCCCACAGCCCCAGAACTCTCCCTTCCCAAAAAAAACTGAGAACTGAGATACCCGCGCGGCCGACACCACCCCCAGACCTGAGACCTCACCGCAGCAACCATCCCCGCCACAGCAGCAGGCCCCGCACAAGCCGGCAACGGCCACACGCCAGGTCTGCGCCGCCCAGAGCCTGCGGCCGCAGGCCCTAGCACACAGAGCCAAAGAGCAAGCGCCACACGGCAGCAGTCGAAGGCCGCCGCCCAGCACCCACCCACCCACAGGATGACACGCGGCTCTCGGACAGTTAGCCGCCCTGCACAGCAGCCTAGCCGTCCGATGGACGGCCCTTCGCGTCGCTGCATCGCCGCCTTCAACCTCCCGCGCATTGCAACAACGGTCAAAGTCACACCAATCGCACGACACCATACGTAAGAACTCAAAATCCACCTTTGCAGCAAGCAATTCTTCGCTTCTGATCATCCACCGCTCGCACAATGGTGCGGGTGCCCTCACCTTTGCCTTAGGGCACTCATGGGCGACGTTGTCGCCCACGAGTGCAATCAGGGGAAGTTAAGGACATCCCCTGCACCCCAATCGACAGTCCAGCCCTCTTTTCATATTCATCTCTCGGCGTGTCATCTCTTCCTGACGGATACCGTCTGTCATCAGGTCTAGGTTCAGCTCTCTCGGAATCTCTCCTTTCTCGGAATTGTGACCTCTTCGGCACTGGCAGTCCAATTGCCTCATCTCGCCTTCCTTTGCCAAGCTCACCCGTCAAATCACTCTGCCGCTCGCTCGCTCTCATCAGGCACCTAGGTACCAATTTCTCCGGGGAAATCACATCTTCAGATAGGAAAGATCCCGTTCCCCTCCCTGAAGTTTCTGATTCAACCACACGATCACTCGCCGACGAGCCATCGATGGTAAGTTTTGTAACCAGAAGACTAGAAGACACCTCTCGATTCTGGCCTCCTCCTTCTACTTATCCCCCGTTACTCCTCTCGTCCGGAATCGGTTAGCTTGCCCTTTCAATCTCTGCGATTGGGGATCAGAAACTGTTTCGGTCAAAGGAAACTGCTCACTAACATTGATTCTATGCTTGAATTCATCAGATTCTGACTTTATCTTCATCTGATTTTATGTTTGAAGCAGAAACATCCTCGACATATGTAAAAACATCTTCTGTTGCCGCACTCTCTGCAGGGTCTCCACTGGCGCGCTCCGCTTCTGCGGTTAGGGGGTGGGGTTGGTGTCCGATAACTCTTCTTTCGATCCATAGGTAAAATCGAGCGCACATCACGGTCCCTATCTCTTCCTTCTCTACTTCTGCTTCGACTACGAGAGTTCCTCCTCCTGTCACGATCTCTGTGTCTATTGCGACCTCGATCCATATCATGATCCCTGTCTCGGTCTCCCTGTCCCTTTCCTTCACAGGACTTCGGCTCCTCCTACGTTCTCTCTCATATTCAGCCTGTTCTACGGCTCCGGCAGCAGGTTCCTCCTCCATTTGCAAAAAGGAGAGAGTATTCCGCTCCATGTAGTCCTCTGCGTAGTCCTCCTTTCCATTGTACGTCGCCCGTTTAGATCCTTCCCAGTCGAGACAATGGTCGTTGTTCCGACTATCTCCATCTTCTTGACCCCAATGGTCAAACCATACCGAGCTCCGGAGATGGCTCTTGCCAGGACAGTATCCAGCTCCTTCTCAAATCGGATATCCGTGCTGTTCATGATATCTGTCTTCATCCTGATATTCTTCATCCGTTCCTCGGGCCGCCTACACGAGTTCTCCAGCTTGGGAATCACTTTCACGCCTAACTAGCCCTTGGGATCCTTCGTCACAATTCCCTGCTGATCGAACCCTGTCACATACTCTACGTCCTTACTTTCGTTATCTGAACTCCGCTGCTTCCATTTTTTGCAGCTTGGGTTGTATTTGAGCCATGGCTTAAGCAGCCTCCGCCGGCCGCCCTATGATTGCAGTCAACTCAGTAACGTAAGGACTCTCACCCTGGTCCCGTTTACCATCGGCAACGTCGTTGTACTCGGCCATTAGCTTGTCCCACTTCTCTTGACATTGTTTGCCGTTCTTTTTGATACCTTGCGCGGCCAGCAGCTCCGCAAGCTCTTCCCAGAGTGCGGCTCTTCTTGTAGACTTTACAATTTGACTGTCCATTTCCCCCCGTAACTTGATAAGCTGAAGGACCTCAACTCTTTTCCAGTTCTTGGACCTTCTCTTTGGACCTTGAGGACCCTCCAAACTCTCTACTACCAATGGCCCAGCAACACCAGATACGACCGCACTAACGCGATCGCCAACTAGTTTCTGAGCGAGAACTATCATCGCATTGTTGATAATGCCCCGTTGAGCTCGTTTTTCAGCTCGCCACTTACCCTCTTTCTCCTGACAAATTTGTTTCCGTAACTGTTATTTCCTCTCCATGGAGTCCAGAAGATCTCTAAAAAAAAAACCTTTGTTGCTGTGATATCATTGCCTCTAAGAACTTTGCACAGCAGCGAGGTCATTCACGGTGATGTACTTCAGGACCCTTTCTTCTTTCTTGACAGAGTTCTGGCCTCCGCCTCGTCTCCGTCGTCATCGTTGTCTTTGAACGTTTTTCTTCCTCTGGCTCCATTCCTACACAGACCGTCTTTATCAATCTCTCTGGTAAAACCATCCACTACCAGCTCTCGACTCAACTCTTCTGAGTAGTCTCGCCCAACATCTTCTTTGCCGCTTCCAAAAGTATCCTTATCCCTTTCTTGCTCCCGCTTCAAAGACTTCCCTAAGAGCAACGGATGAAGTTCATCATAGAATGGATTGTCTTCCCTATCCTTAACACCATCTCGAACTTCCTTGTATCCTGCTGTGAGCTTCTCCCATTTGTCTCGGCATTGTTGAGCGTCCCGAGTAATTCTCTCTCGCTGAAGTGCTTCGGCAATCTCGTCCCTGAGTTCCGTTATCCTTCCACTCTTGGCAAATCTTGATTCTAAATCTGTTCTCAGTCTAATGAGTTTCAGAGTCTCCGGTCGAGTACAATTCTTAGACCTCTTCTTGTGCTCCCTCTCGCGCTTCTTGTACTCCTCGACTGTCGCTCCGCCCTTCGACCCAAAGGATGAACAAAAGTTGCGGCTTCCAGAATTTCCTCCCGGACTGCTGCAGAAATTCGTAAATTTGAATTAAAATGTTCATACCCGAATGATGAACATCATCATGGCCCTCATCGCGGCTCTCAAACTCGACTTAAAGATTCAAAACGATCTCAATATGGAAGCCTAACAGTTTTGCTTTAACGCCACACCGTGCGGGAATGTCACACCTCCGGAAGGCAACACCACTTTCCCGCCTCTCAGGAAATTAAAAATAAAAGACGATAGTTATCACATATGCTATCAAAGTTCCCGAGGAAAATAAACTTCAAAGTCCCGCCTAAAACTCAAAGAAGCCAAAACCAGACTACAAATTAATCCTGTGAAATCCGCCACCACCACGCAGACCTCCTACACCCGGCAGCCTTTGTCCACAAAAGCCACCAAGCCTCAAAAACCTCCGGCTCTTGCCGAAATTCTCAGAAAACTCCAAACATAATTTTACAAGAATCTTAAATCCAAAATTTTGACTGTCTTTAACGTTAAAATGACATGCGAGCACATTTTTGTGCTCACACTCCTAAAATCATTCTATTATTTGCATTAACTTCTTGCAAATTTAGAACTCTTGGTCGTCAAATCTCACCTTCAAATCTTGGCAGTGGTCCTCTCGTGATGCAAAACATTCTTCTACGTCAAAGATTTTCCAACTCCATCAATGTTGGATCAGATGAATCTCAAAAATTACTTACTGATTCACCATGTGCGATATCAAAAGTACCCAAAATTTATTGAGCAATTGCTATTACTATATTCACTGTGGATGGAGTGTTTACCATCAACTTCTTTCGAATTCGATCCTTCATCCACGTTTGAACACGTCCAAGGATTCTGCTCCATTCATATCCACGATAGATACTTGAAGATCACAAAATTCTTCAATATACTCATGGATACCTCCTTTGTGCTTCAAATCCCACAACGTCATTCTTGCAATTTGAAGAGATTCACTGCTTGAAAATTTTGCAGAAATACTTTTTGCATTCTACTCCACAAAATGGTAGCACCTTGTTTTGAAAGCATTCTCTTCTATGTAGTGTACCATGTGAGAGCCTTATCCGTAAAATAATATCTCATGAACATTCTTGCAATTTAATCAGAAACATGAAAATGGGATAAATGAATATTCATCCTCATTATCCATCCCTCTAACACTCTCATCGCTCTACTCCCTTCATAAGCTTTCACCTTCAACATTTTTTCCATTCAAAGCAAAATTTTTTTTGATCTTCAATATCTTGAAATTGTCTTCTATTTGACTTTGCTGCATCAATAGGAGTTTGTTCTGCCTAAACTTGAGAAGTTTGAACTTGAGGTTCAACTTTCATCTCTCCAACTCTATCTCTCTCTACTTTGTCACTCTCCAATGCAAAGATTTTATCTTCCATAGCTTGCTGCTTGGTATGCTTAACTAATATCGCTTTTCTCAAGTCCTTCATCTCCGCCATGATTGTATTGAGAACCTCATCCATATCGATTGATGTCCTCATGCTTTTTCACACTCCATGTAATATAAAGTGAGTATAATCACTATCTAACCTCTCAAAAAAGGAGCCACAAAAGGTATAGGTGATTCTATCACAACTTTATAGTACTTTTGTCCATAATTTCTCACGATAAAATTTTTCCACAATGTCTTCTGTCAGTACTCTGTTCTAATCTCTACATAAGTGTTGAACCAAATCGGAATGTATGGCTCGCAATTCAAATCCATGAAACATTTAGTTAAAATATATATAATACAATCTTAAGTCTCTGCTTAACTAAATATTGGTAGAGTCAATGGTACTCTTGACTTCATTACTCTGGTCATAAAATACATCGGAAAATTATATTTTACCATGCAGCAAAAATGAATATTGAATAGGTTAGGAATTGACGAGTGTGGTATTGGATTCTTGTCAAGTTCATCCATATCTGCAAAATCATAATTTCCTCCATTCCTCATCTCTTTACATGCAGATCAATGACTTCTTCTTGCCTCTATATAGTTTCAAAACTGCACTTCATCATCACTCACTTGCTATTCCATAAGCATTAATCCACACTTAAGGAAATAGCAAGATCGCTCTAATACCGTTGTAACACTAGAATTTAGAGAGAAGCTCATTTGAAGATGGAAACATAAACTCTGATTATGAAAAGCATCAACAATGATTCTCCTCTCCCTTATACAGTTCTTACCAACAAATACAAGGAGATAAGATCTCATCCTCATCATCCAATACACTCCTAATAAATTGATGACATGGCGGATATACCTAATGAGTGTTACGACAAAACTCGGGAATTATGTCAAAACAATTGGTATATGGTATTCCCCAAAAAATACTTTTATTGTATCAAGAACATATTTTTAGATGTTACCCCAGTATATCATTCCGCGGAGTGAAGTGCAAAGACCACCAATTCTCACACTTGGATTACAAAATAGTCAAACTTTCTCTACTACTAACTCCTCAACCTGAACTTTAGTCTCACTTGTCCGGTGATGTGACTCTGCTTGACCGATTTTCTTCAAGGGAGATATAGGATTCTTTTTACCCATCCCAGTTCACTGTTCCCACTCTCAACTGGTTTAATTAACCTCTGTCAAACATCAAAGGGATCTCCATAGTTTTAGAAGTGATGGATTTACTTCTCTCCGTTGATTAGAATGTGGAGAATGTCACTTTAGATAACTTACAAACTCAACAAACCCACAAAGACAACTTCAGTAATACTTCAGACCGGGTGGACTCTTGCCAAACTTCAACCGCCGGTTTTTAGTTCCAGTGGCAGGTCACTAAGGATGGCCCGAATCTTACCCTACTCGTGAGAACTTCCTACTTGCAAACCAAAGAATAGAACGTCCGAAGGAGTACTTCCAACGGTTGAGTTACTTCTATACCGGTGTAAAATCCAAGGTAGAACTACTTCTAACAAACTTGCACAAGGACTAACTGTCAACCGGACTACCCGCTCCAGTTGAACTCCGGACCCAGAGATTCTCTTCCCTCACTGTCTCACGCCAGCCTAATGAAATTCACAAAGCAGACTTTCCCTTAGTCCCCTTACCGGGACTTCGTTCACCACAACTACTCCAGCACTAATGGTCTCCACAAATCATAAGCCAAGACACTACTCTAGACCGGTTACAAGGGACTTTGAGCACTTAGACTCTCACTAAACACCAGTCTACCACTTACATCTAAAAGATCCAACAAGAGAAAAGGAAACACAATTCAGGGCAAGCATGTACGACTAGTGCATTAGAAGGTGTAAGGTACACAAAGAGCAGTAAGATTGTCCATCATTCTCCCTTTAAATAATGCCAGCAGTTCTACTTTCTAAGATTCCTCAACCCCACGAAAACTGAAGGGGTAAAAAGTAGGTGGCGGCTACCCTAAATGCAAAGGCGACCACAATGTCTACTAAGTCCTGAAAAAGACCTACAAAAGCTACTACAAACTAAAATGCAACCATGCTAGGGTCGCCAAGCCTATCTAAAGTCTGACACGGCTTCCACAAATTCCGGTGCTGACTTGTCGCCGCTGAAAACCGGGTCAACGCCTTGACTCCATCTTCGCCGAAGCTTCCAGCTGGCCCCACAAGCCATGTCATTCAGCTCTCCTCCACTCCGTTCAGACCTGCAGCTCTACGACGCTCCCCTCCCTTGGGACTAGTCATCCGAGTCATCCTCGTACAAGAGAAAGATATTCCCCAGCCCAAAGGCAACCACCAGCTCTGGTAAGTCGGGTTTTACTTCCTTGATGCTGCCCTATTCAACCGGTGTATACTCCGAAGTGTCGTCATCCGTCAGTGCTCCTCGTCCCGCAATCTCTGCCCCTGGGACGATCTCTTCTTGGCTCTCACCTACCGGCGAGGTTACTATCGGTATCTCCCCTTCCGTCACCGGTACATTCTCTCCCGCCAGCAGTAGAGTATCTTCTCCTGCATCTTCTCCTGCAATGGTGCCTTCTCTCCCTTTATCGGTAGAGTCTCAATACTACTTGGCCCCTTCGGCACGCTATCGTCCCCCTGCAGAAAAGCCCCCGCTTCTTTTTGAATGTCTCTGGTGTCGAGAGTCGGTTCATCCATCGCGTAGGTGTCATCATCCTCTAACCATATCCCCTGTGTTCCTTCTAGAGGCACCGTCAGACCGAGGATGCGCATCTGTGGCCCACCTGCCTCTATCCCGATTTCCTCCGAGACTACTTGTAATCATCTTTAGTTAGTTAGAATTAAAGTAGAGGTTACGCTAAATATTGATATAGACACTTTAGTGTGCACTAATCATAGCTGCCACGTCTGCGATTTGTGCACTTGGTAGGTAAAGAGTGGATGTGTTAGTTGACAGTGCCACATCAGCAATCTGTGTGCTTGTAGGTAAGGATTGAGTGTGAAAGTGATTGCTCCTTCTGAGTCATTGTTCAGCTCCTGAAAATTGTCCAAGCGGATTGTATGTGTCGAGAGCTTTCCAACGATACACAATTTGTCTATACTCTAATGAGATATATTTTTGACAAAATATTCTGTCACCGTCATTCTGCCACCGTTCGTCACCGTCACCGTCATCGCCACTTGTTGACTGTTTTGCCGTGCCAATGACATTCGACCTCAATCATGTTTGAAGTCGATCATGTTGACTACCAACCATGTTTGACCTCAACCACGTTTAATCTCGACCAGTGTGACAGCGACCACGTTCGATCATCAATCATAGTTAGTCATGGTTTTCTCCGACCGCGGTTATCCCCCAACCGCAGTACGTTAGACCTACATGGTTCTTCCCAACCGTGATTGGTCTTGCCGACCTCGACCATGACCATGGTATAATCCGGCCACCGGAGTGATAACCCGCCACGCGTCCGCGGGAGTGGGACTGACCTACATGGTGCCATCGCTGCCTGCCCACGTCTTGTAGCTCGCCCTGCCACACCGCACGGGAGAAGCGGTGACTCTTTCTCCCATGATCTAAATTAATGCACATTGTGGAAATTTGTGCACTGCATTACAATTCCACTTTTCCTGCGGCCTTTGACAAATGCAGCTACTAAAAAAATAGAGAGCAGCCACCGTCATCCTTCACTTTTGGGTGAAGGAATCCTTGGCCCTTCGTATCTAAATTACACGCAGAGTATCGATCGACGAGGATTGGGAAATTCGGCCACGGTCATTCGATTTGACCTGGCGTACTGCATTGACAATTCTACTTTTGGTGCAGCCAATTGGCGGTTGAGGTGGAAAGGGAACCCTGTCATCAACTAAAATTTGAGATCAGCAAGGGAATGTACCAATGTGTGCATTCTATGAGTCCATAGAATGGAATATGGAGCTAATCCGAGGGCCGCCAACGTGAGCGCGCGAACAATCCGAAGGTCACTGGTTTAGCAAAATGCTTTCATCTTGACCAGCCCAAATGAATGAAGAAGCAAATCCTATGCTTCCTCGTCGCCGCTTCAGCACCTGCCAGTCAAAGATATTCTGGCTAGACGATAATCTCTCAAACCTTAAGATGGCTTCTTCCCCATCCTCTTCCTCCTTCCTTCTTGTCCGAAGTAGATATGGCAGCACACACACCAACATGAAGGAAGAAATTTCCATTTTCTTTCGCATCAAAGAAGTACGTCCTTCTTGATTCAAGTGCTACTATCATTGCAGAACCTTAGTTTGATATGCTGCTAGTATGTGGACTCCATAGCTCTTTCCATATTTGAATCTGAAATTCTCAAATCCGTTCTTCCAAGCTCATCAACAAACTTCAACGCTTGATCAACTTGGAGATTATTTCTTGTCAAAATCTCCAATGCCAAGAGCTTGACTGTACTCTACTGCCCAATCCAAAGTGAGTCTCGAAGCTTAACTCCGTGCCAGCCTTGAAATTTTTAACCTTAGAAGACTATCCGAATCTAACTGGCTTCCCAGCAGATTTAGCTCCTTACTGTAAAAGCCTCATAGCGTTGGAATTCATATCTTGCAAATTCAAGGAGCTCTCTCCGCAGATTGGCATGTTTGAGGTACTTAAGGAGTTGAGCGTGATCAGCTCCACATTACTCGAATCACTTCCCAGGAAGATAGGAGATTTATAGCAATTGCAGACGTTATCTCTGATGGAATGTAGAGGACTTTGATCACTGCCGGTCGCGAAGTTGGACTGCCACTAGTGGAAAGTTGCAATCTTTGAAAGAGCTAAAGCTGGACTACTGCTCGAGCCTAAAAGCTCTCGCGGTGGAAATACAAGATATGTAGCTCCTGATGACTCTATCAATGGCATTCTATGTTGTGCAAGACCGGGACAAGTGTAACAACTCACCAACAAAACCTCTTGACTCTACTCCGCTCTAAATTCAGCAGTAAAGTTCTTCCTAGCTCCGTCTACAAGTTTTGTCATATGAAACCATCACCGTTGAAAACAAAACAAACTTGTGAAAATCGTTGAATAAATCATTGTTCAGAAAACCGTTGGCAAATTTTCACAGTCAAAAAACTCTAACACAGAGTCCGAACCGGAACCGACTCTGATACCAATTGTTACGGCAAAACTCAAGAATTACACGAACATAGAAATAACGTGGTTCACCCTCTGGGAGAGAGCTACGTCCACCCAAAACTCTCAGCACTTTACTCCAGGTCTTGTCGAAAAGACTCTCCATACATGGAAAACTTTGAGGTATTTATCCCCAATCCAAGCGACTGTCTTAGCTATAAATAGCTAAGATTCGAGGTTACTCATTAACTAAAGTTCATCTCAACAATGAGCATACAGATTTTTTACGTGCCGGTCCCAACTAACACACTCAATCTTTACCTAACAAGCAAATTGATTGATGACGCGTCGTTCCCAACTAACTCATTAACTAGTACACGGATTGCTGACGTGGCACTGTACATATTCCACTATCATCTTCTCTATTTAATTTTGAGTAACCTCTACTTTATTTCTAACTAACTATAGATGGTTACAACATGCGACTAGCAAATCTGGGCAAGTGAAATTGCCGCGGACAGATTTGAAATATTACTTTTGAATAATCCCTCCGACCAATACATTTTGTTTGTAGAGAATATCCATCCAACATAACATTTTGTTTGTAAATATTCCGTCCAAAATGATCTTTGTCGGAATATAGGCAAATTGGATATAATTAAATTGCTCTCGAGGCAATTAGTGCATTCATATATTTGTTGAGAGCTATTGAATAACACACAAGTAAAAAAAATCCGTGGAAGAAATTGTCACAAAAACAAGCATATATACTTTTAGAATAACGTTGACTGTGATTCATGATCAGTAACGTTGAAGGGGTGGTGACGATTGGCAAAATTCAAGACAATGGAATCTAGGTCTAGGTCTAGAAGAATGTATCATGCAAGAAAGATATCTCTGTCTGGGGTAGATAATTTAAGAGTAAGACTGTGGCTAGTTGTAGATGTGGCAAGAATGGCCACATCAAAAAAGATTATCTTGTAGAAGTAAAAGATGCAATTTTTATTCTATTGACGAACATTGCAAACTCAGATGAGCGGCATGTTGGATACCAGACGATGATAAGATCTAGGTATATAATCCCTAAAAGGAAGAGATCCAAGTCTAGGATTGTGAGAAATAGATCCCAATCCAAGTATAAGTCTTCTTTAAAGAAGACAATGGCTGGTTGGAGATGTGGCAATAACTACATCAAGAAAGATTGTTGTGTAAATCTCAAATACGTTTTTCCTCCATTAGTAAATGATGCAGAGGATTTCAAGCCGAAGAAGAACGATCTTTTGGATGACAATCTATGATTTCAACAGAGTTATATGCCATGAAATCTAGTAGATAATTGAAAGAGAGGAGAGTTTTCAGCCTCTCCGTATTGACAAGGAAAAAATCTCCACTAGTGGATATGGTAGTGGGCGAGTTTCATCATTATGTGATTAATGATCAAGAAGTATTATAAGTATTGATGGAGTTACTAAGCACATGATTGAACTAGTCAAGATTAATGGTAAATTCTATCCACCAGATGCATTGATCAAAGTTATTCCTTTGGAGAGTTTCAAACGACACTATGGTATTATACATGTTGTGCATGGAGAGTACATGTAAAGTTTGCTAGCATAGTATCTTCGGTTATCTCTTTAGATAATTACTCTATTGTGTGATGTCTACCGTTTAATTCTAATTAACTTTCATGTACAGAGAGACCTAATATTATAATTTTTTACTAGAACTTCTCGCCGAGTAATTATATATATTACCAGATGTCTATTTCCTCCATGCTAGCAAGTTTTTAGTTACCTCTTTATGTTATTACTCTATCATGATTTGACTAGAGTTTAGTTCTAGTAAATTCTCGTGTAAAGAGTACACTTGTGTTAAGTTTCTTTGTAGAACCTTTTGTGAAGTAAGAATATAAGTTACAGAAATTATTGTTTCCTTAATACGAGTAAAGGATAGATTGTTGAGGTTAACTTTAGTTAAAGAGTAACCTCAAGTACTAGCTAAAAAAAGTAGAAGGATCGCCGGTGCTAGGGTATTTAACTTTAGGGTTTGTGTACGACACAAGAGTACTTAGTACACTCTCACAGCTAAGCTTGTCCCATGGACGTGGCTCTTTGTGGTTAACTATTTTACATTGGTGTCTTGACTTATCGTATTTGCTCTCACTTAACTTTATGTGTTTTACTACTGATTCTGATTTTCGATCAAATGCTAATATGTCACAATATGTTTTGTATAAATATAGAGTGAAAAATTTTCACCATATGGCATATTGCACCACGTTGCTGTCTTTTTAACACGGTAGTTTCACTAAGTAATTTGATTGAAATCTCAAAGCTATTGTATTATCAAATGAACAACAAGATATATTGAAAATTTCTGATAACCACATTTCTTTATTTAAATTTGTTAGATGAAGTATTGATGCACTAGGTGCTCATAGTCTATTATAAAACTGTCAAATTACATTCAAAGACCCATAGTGTTAAAGAAAATAAGCAATATTGGGATGTAAAACGCTCTTAATCTTTTAATTATCAAAATTTATATCGATAACCTAATATAATTGTAAATTAATCCATACTTACATTTTTCAAATATATTATAAGTTACTTTTAAATAAGCTTAAAGTTTTTTCTTATCAATTTGAGTATATTCTTTTTCATCTTTCATTAAAAAAATTTGAATGAATGCAGATACATATGCACAAAACGTTGGCCATCATTCATGGCTACTAATGATTGCTTTGGCAATGACACAAGGTAATCATTAGAAATTATAGTATTAGGAACATAACGAGGCTATCAGGTGTTATTACAGGAATTTGTAACTTATTAAGATGGCTAGTTCAATGTTTTCAGACAGTTTGGACTTTCCATTCCTGAGAACTTCAAAAGCCCATGGTATTCACCTCATTTCTTTATATATATGCATATTAGTAATACCGTGCTTTTTTTGCATAAGTGTTTATTGAATGTTTTTGGTGTTGTTTGATATCATCGATTTTGTTTTTTTATGATCCATCTAATCCGTTTACTAATTACAAAGATATTTTGTACAAACTGAAAAAAAAAATATAAATTTTTTATCAACTTCTAATCGAAACGTATCTTAATTTGCGACAAGTCTTAGCATTAGTATGAGTTCGTTGGCCGCGTAAGGGCAATCCTGCATTATGGCGAAAGTCAGCCTTTATTATAAAAGCCCTAATAGTAACTGAAGCTTGTAGTACTCTAGTAACCCCTTTATTATGAATAATTAGTTATTTATGTAGTTAATAGAAAACCTTCAATTAATGTGCCTGGAGTGAATGGTGATTATGTTGAAAATTGCATCTCAATGTGAATTAAACTGTACTTCGTTAAAAAAACCTTCATAATATTTCCCTCATCTGGAAGTTTGCACAAAAGTTTTGCCGCTCCCTGGCGCAAAATTCACTTGACTCGCTTATCTTGTCTTCCAACAGGCACTTCAAGGACGCTGATTTGAGCGAAAGATGCAGCTCTCACACCCGTCGCGAGCAAAACTTGCTAGAGGCCTGCACATTGCACATCCGATCTTTCTCAAAATCTAGCTCTGACGTGCAAGAATCAAACCTCCCGTCGAAGCTTTGATCTGAGAGTGTAGGTAAGAAAGTCATTGAAAGATCAGAAGTACAGAAGATTCTAATATATGAGCACTCCGATCGAATCATCGTAGTGGTGTGTTGTGTTCTCACAGTAAGGCTCAAATCTCCTCCATGTATATATAACTTCTTTCATGAACGCTGATCTCTGAAAATATTTTCACCAAAATATGAACTCCGAAGTGCGAAAAGGACAAATTCTAGCAAAACTTAGTATCCTGCGTACACTAGATTTCGAAAAGGTGATTTGGACTGCAGTCACTTTTTCGCATCGGATGCACAGCAAGCCTCCTCGACATTTGAGCATCAATGAGCGATTCTCTACATGATTGAGAGGACGTAGGTGTCAAACCAACAAAAGGTATGGTTTTCTTACAACATTTTCAGTCTCAGAGCTTCCTTTTCTGCTCCTTCAAACCCCGATAGAGCCATCTGGTTGTTTCCTCTAAAAAGCACCAAGCGAGCTTGATAATACATATAAAATGGGCCGCATATTTCTGCAGCAGAGCAGAATATGATGTTAAATTTTCTTTCCACAATCCAGGAAGAGATACTCCACCTGATAAGGATAGCTGGGATACGGCAAGCTTTGAAGCGAATGTATCTGATATGTGGAGCCTGGTTTCAGGTGAAACATTCAGTTTCCATAAAAGTGTGCATCTCTTGACATCAGATAGGTTTTCTGAAACAACTTACCGCACACAAACTCAAAAGGTCTGGACAGAACGGTGAAGGGAGATGTGAATCGAGTTATACTTGGAATACACAAGCGTGATAATGAGAGCCACACCTATTCTTGCAGATGATGTCTTGAAGAAATTCACCAGACACTCCACAAGCCTCTCCTTAACGGTCCTTTCAACTTCAAGCACCTGATTATTTTCTAGTGACATAAGCAATACCTCCGCAGCTGAAGCATAAGCCAAGGGAAACGCTGGAGTAAGAGGAACTATTTCCAATAACCGTGGAACTAAGGCTACAGCATCCTTAATCGTCGCCTCAGCTTCACCCAGGTGCATAGCTGACAACCAGCCGAGCGCTTTTGCCTGTTATCAGTCAGAGTACAGCTTTCATCACCTTCAATTCAAGTTCATTTGCTTGTGCTGCAGAATATACTTCGCAGAACTACCAGGAACGATTCCCTTATTAAGATACGATCTAGAGATATTGCTGGGGTGCATATTGTGAATGAGATAATCAACATAAATCCCTTATCAATGCTGTTATGAGCGTGCCTTGTGGTTCGAAAGTTCTCTTGAGATTATATGAGAGGATGATGGCCACTCTCAGGCAATGTCATGGTAATACTCCACGAAAGGTATCTGATCGCAGAAAGTGGAAGAAAAGCTTTAAGAAGCTCTCTCTTACCTGGAGTGTCAAGGTGAGCAGGGGGCAAGGATAGTTTTTTATTCGGGCAAAGACATCAGAGGAGTCCTTGAAACGTCTCATAGTGTTGAGACAAGCGATTACGAGATAGGTAGACCAGTAAAGGAGTTGAGGATGCTCATGGCGATATTCGAGCACTCTCATGCCCATTTCACGAGCAGTCTCAAGCTGACCCTGGTACAACTGTCCCAGACCTATAATACACCGGCACACATCAAGCTCTCTTCGAGTTTGGCTTGCTTCATACATCCGTTGTGCTGATGATGCATGTCTCTCTGCTTTCAGCCACTTGCCTGTTGCAGCACCATGGAATGTTAGGTACGAACTCATGCTTCAGAACTAATGATGGCCGCAATAAGCAACAATAACGCACCTGGCAGGTAATGCACGAGACTCAACCTTGGAATTGACATAGTTTTGCGAGATTGAAGTGAATGTCTCCGGCTTGGACGGCTGGACGTATACTCCCGGCATGGAGTTGTAAAAATTCATAACTCTTTCGAGCTTTGTATCTAGCCTTGATAGCAGACATCGAAACTATAGCACTCATGGAGTAGGCGCGGGCAAGCTCGAGAGGTTGAATTCTGCTGACCTCGTTGGCTACTGCGAGGTACCGCTTGATGATTTTTCTGGAAGATGTGACATCCTCCTGAAAATTGGTTCCAACAACATGGGCGTCAGATAGTTGGAGTATTGTGAATACTAGTCTCCAAAAGGTTCAAAAGACCTTTCTCCCCTTATATTTCTACTAACAAATTCTACAAATTAATTGTCTCCGCTCTTATTTAAAGCTTTGTCCAGTTTATAAGCGACAAATGTGTCGGACAAGTAAGGAGATGCAGTCATTACATACACGATAACTCCAAGACAAATAATAGAAAAAAAAATTCAAGCATTGTACCTTGACTATAGCAAGTTGTGAGAGGTGGGCCAGAGCTTCGCATCTGAAAAAAAGCACTTGTTCGTTGCCTGTGTTGCCTGTTATTGTAGCAAGCCAACTGAGTATACCACTCTGACACTCCGACCTCCATGATGAGATCCTCGCCAAAAGACTGGCCGAACAACTAGCGGACGTTTGCTGCTGCATGGTAAAGTCACTTGAGTTCTCCCCTGCGTAATCAAGAGACTTGATTGTGTTCTCCAAACTGCTGTCCATGTCGCCCAATGCACCATACGCCTTTGCTAAGTAAAAATGCCACCTTGCTATCCGCTGCGGATGTATATCAGCACGAGCAAGTTTCTCGAGATGTATTGCGTTTTGGTAATACTCGATTGCCAACTTATACTGACCAAATTTGAACATGGCACTAGACGCCTGTTGGAAGCACACAGCACATGAAGTTGTTTAACTCTTAAATTAGGAGCTGCAGAGCAACAACAAATGCATGGCTTGTCTTCGATTTCTGTACATTGGTCATAAGTTTAGAAGACGACACTACAGGACCTGGGTCGTCATCTGCAGTGCTTCGTACTCTGGTGTCAGCATGGCATTAGGTGTTACCTACGAGGGCACTCAAACGAAGAAGACTAAAACGAAGTAACTCTGTAGCAAAGAGTGGAATCTTTCGATCAATCTCATTTAAATCGGTCAGGACATAAGAAAAACAAATGTTTGATCTCAGTTGGCATTTGCTGCAGAACCGGCTGTTCCAGACCCTCAAGCTATGTAGAGCCTATAATTAAGTAGTTTGGGACATCTCTGTAGCATCGTCACACGGCAGTGCTTTTCTATCGATCGGAATAAATGGAGAAAAGTTGGCATCACATTCTGAAGACTTAGCGATTGAACAACATTCCCCTTCATGTGGAGAGGTCTATCACTTACTAAACCTAGAGTAAGAGCTGATCCCCTCATCAGAATTGAGGAACTTAAAACGGTTTTTTTACAGGCTTTCAAGTTTGAAATATCCGTGTCGTATAGAAATAAACAGGGCTAAACTAGACCTTGCGAAAAGCTAGTATTTCTTAGTGGCGATGCTCTCAGTTTGAGAAACAGTAGACCATTTTCATTCATGTGCACCAGCTAGTGTAAGCTAGTAACTCTTGGCTATCTCAATTGTTAAAAGTTCTAAGCTGAATGGATCTGAGGTCTGTACTTACTGCTTCCTGCCAATGATCAATGGCGATGGCAGCGAGGTCAACCTCCAACTCTTCAACATCTTTGCAAGCCATCGTATAGTGCTGGGCAATAGTGACACACCGCGCTCCACTAGTTCCTAGCTTCAGAAGCTCCTGAGCTATTTCAGCGTGGATTGTACGCCTTTGCTTTATTGGCAGCATCTCGTAAGTCGCATCCTTCGTTACCTGATCGTCAAGTTAATCAATAAGAATCTCCGCTCTTCTTGACTTTGAGAATTATGGCGACAGAAGCAGTGACATGAGCGATCAACATTGTGATCCTGTCAACTTTCGACGTCGCTTTCCACATAGACGCCATGACCCACAGACTGTGCTCAGTTGTTTGACCATGTCTTCCTTCTCGTTCGTTAAGGTACAAGTGAGAGTACAAAGCGGTGCAATGTTCAAGTTTTTGGTATTGATGAACACATATGGACATCTGCTGAACTAATCTCACATACCGAGTTGGCAAAAGAATAGTTACATCCTGCATCCAGAACTGATTGAAATATAAAGTTCAGCTTCTCAAGCCCTTGCAAGGCAACTTCGAGCTGTTCCTTGTTAAGGCATGCAACTTCCTCCCTGTTCCAAAATAGATTGCTTCCAGTCACAATCTATTCTCAGATCAGACCTTAGTTCACATGCTATGATTCATAGATTGTTGTAAATATGACATCTAGAGTTTCAACAACCATTCATAACAGAGAGCTTTGCTGCCGACTTATAAGACTCTGAGAAACTGTTCTCAGAGACACAGGTAAGTCAGCAGACAGGCATTATGAACATAAGACCACAATAATCAAGATGAGGCCAGAGAAAGTCAACAGGATGATGTGATCAGAAAAATACCTTTGCAGTTGCCGGTTGAGAATAGATAGAAGAAAGCCCGGAGAGAAGGAAAGTCCTATTACACTGGCCACCTGTTAACGGTTCCCATCGTTGGCTTCTGTCCAAGGAGAGATCAAGCAGACAGGCATGTTTGAACACAAGACCAGCACATTGACAACGTGTTGATTTGGAGACTCGGTGGGTTCTAGAGAACTTTAACTTCAATGGTTTCTCTGACAGACAGCAAGACGTCCCAGTATATCATTCTCTGTAACCATAGGCAGCAGACTACTGGATATTAACGTGGAACATCAAATTTCTAGGTCGTAGATCAGAATATAAGATTCATTTAGCAGGTTCGCTTCTGAAGAATATCATTTGATATCAAATGATATTCTTCAGACCACACCTTGAATGAACCAACCTCTATCACTGAGGTCGGAGTAAAACAAGGTCAGCTTAAGACTACCGATTTCTCCCTTAAACTCCATCTTCAGTAGATTAACATTGAATATTATAAAAAATATAAATTACATACAATCTTCAGTTTCTCTCCCGTGTTGTGAATTGATACGAGAGCCGGATCATATAAAAAATTGTATATTGAATACAAGGTGAGTTATAGAAGGTAATTTTTACTACTTTTCGCAAAGGCGACACCGAACACTATGATTCAGGTTTCGCATTCGTGTGTTAATGCTCAAAGGTCAATCTGATATATTCAAAGTTACAAGATTGGATTAACAACTTGTACTGTAATCAGAATTAATATATTACAAATTCCTTTAGATTTTAATCAAATAAGTGAGTAAGACTATTCTAATATTTTTTACAACATAAATCTACAAACTAGTTCAGTTTGAACTTGTTGAACTCTCCACCACCATACTCACCACATTGAACTAGGCATAATGTGGTGAGGATTACATTGAGATTTCTGACCTCAATAATATTTCTTAAAATCCACCTTTGGGTTTATTTGAGTGTATACAATCTATGGCAATTGCAAAAGAGACCAACGACAAGGTTTGGTAGCTACGTCATCTACAAGCGATCCACATAGATCAAATTCACACACTGATTTTCGAAGTTTCACAACATATATCAGATTCCTACAAAAAGTATGGCGAATGAAGTCAAGGAACATGAAAAAGCATAACCGCATCGATAGAATATTTCTTAGCTTACTTTCAGGGCCAGACCCTGGTTTGGTTCAAGAAGATCGACACGCGAGGTAATAAGAGCCTCCATGGAATGAGAGAAGTTGAAATTATCAAGATTGAGTGTTTGGAGAGCCTTCTTCCTTTCTTCTTGAGAGTTAGATAAAGCTTTAAGTTTCTGCTCCACTAAAGCCATAGCCATTTGCTCAATAAACAGCGGATGTCCCTGCTCACAAGCAGCGGAAGATGATCATCCTATGAATGTGAAATGTTCTTGTAAAACCAACACTTGGATTCATAGCCAATAGGGTGTTCCAAAACACTCCCGTGACAGAATTTCACGACCTACGGAAATATTGGTATGGGTTAGACAGAAAGTGCCCAATCAGATCGAAGGAAAGGTGCCATTTCGTTAGACTTTCTGTTGACTCTTCCAAGGTCACGGATATTTAATCTTTCATGAGATTTTAGGGAGTTCTATAAAATGATAGTTTTTAGCGGTACACGCTAAAAATGGAACCACATGAGTCATCGATCCATATAATTTTGAAGTGATATTGTGAGTGGTTTGGGGAGAGAATTTCGTGGAAAAGAATCTACTTATGTAGAATTTTGTTCGGATTTGTTTTGATGCCCCCGGTGTAAAATTGAACATCCTGTTGAGAGGGGTCAGGTTGAAACCTTACTTGTGTACGTCGTGAGACTGCTTGCAACACGTGGCGAGGTATGTCTACTTCGGCATTTAACGCACTGGAAATTCGGTGCTTGATCAGAGCCTCTGTCGATTCGGCATCGAGTTCCCTGAAGTCGTAAATTAAAGAGTCCGTCACAATGTTCAAAATCACTACTGCATGCAACGACTCACTATACAAAATTGATAGTTAGCAAACTTCTGAACCAGACTCATCCATGGGATCTCTGCTTACAAGTGACTAGTTTTTTGGTATAAAAAGGTACGAAATAGAATTATGAAGCAAAAGTGTGAATTTACCATCGACTTGGACATGGATGAAAATCACGTCCCAAATTGTACTAAAGGTAGTGTTACTCTGTTAAAAAAATGTAGAAGAAATCATGTGGCATTTTCTTTGCATCTAAGTTATTGTTGCGACCACAAATCAATATCAAAGCTGTAAGTAGATAATCAAGCAAAGGCGGAAGCTCGGAGTTTGAAACAAATTAGTTTATGCGAGTCAAAAAAGTATTGATGCTTTATCAAAGCAATATCTATAAGCCTTCATCCTTGCCATACTAGTACAAAGAAGTGTTGAATCTAAAACAAACCTTACGGTTGGTTGAAAATATTGAATTAGATGTATACGTTAAGGTAGATAACATACATCTCTTGTCCAAGTGATAGACAAGGATAAAAAAAAAGGGAAAAATGTTCCAAAGATTAAGAATCTTGCAAATGCTCTAATTGTAGCTGTAAAATATATATGACTCACATACATCTCACAGGTGAACATCTTGTTTTCATGCATTTTTTAAATGACAAAAATACCGATTGTGCATAGATAGGCAAAAATGTAATAGGTTTCGTCTCTTTTATCGACGAAACCTATTACAATCAACACATAATCAACGAAGATCTATATGTTGGTGTTAAATCTAATCTGATGATATCACAAGGTTCTGAACAGTGTAGTGTTACCAAATAACTAATCTGGAAAGAAAGTGAAATAACTAAAAGAAACGGAAGGTCTGCTAGAGTTTCAAAATTCTCGACAATTAGAGTGGCTGCTAAGTTCTGGAAGCGTTTTAGAACCAAAATCTGGACGAGGATTTGTCCTTGTTCAGGGTTTAGGAGTTAAAAAAGATCTTCGATTGAGCAATCGAGAGGGGAAGGGAAATCAAGGCGATCGGTTGCGAGGTGTCGGATTCTGGAGATGCGGTCATAGTGGCACATTTCAAAAGGATCGTGGGGGATGTAGTTTTTTGGAGGGAAGACCACAGCCTTGCGATGTGCATGGGTCGCATGAGAGAAGGTAGTATCTGGTAAGAGTAACGGGCTCGCTGTGTTGTGAGGACGACGAGGTTATTACGTGCATCTATTTGCGACCCAAGCGATGCAATAATTGATACTAAATGTTAGATTGAGGAAAGTGAATATGAAAACTGAGCCAACCCCTTCTTGGCTCAAGGTTTGTGTTCATTTGGGAAGAAACCTATAGAAATCTAACACTTTGAACTTATTAAATGAAACCATATCCTCATTTGTAGTATTATGTAACATTAATGTCAAATATCTCACATGCATGTAAAGCACTTATTGATATTTTGTAATTATAGAGTAGGTATACAAGGATTGTCATTTGATTCTTCTTGCATATGTACCTACTATGATCAGGAACGAGGAACACCATTTTAAGGCAACATTAAAACAACTCAGTTCATACCGATATTTGATTTGGCATTCAATCAATAAATAAGACTGCAGACAACCTGAGGCTTATACCTTTTACCCTGTATTGATACAAATGTCAAGAATATATGCAAGTGGAGGCAACATTCAACTCATTGGAAACATATAAATTAATCGTCGTGAATTCTCACCTCAAATGCAACTGGAGAGTGGACTGAGCCCCCACAAGTGCAGTAAAATCCTTAGGAGCATGGACACCCCAAAACCTGCAAGCAGCAATTACCAGAATACCACTGTTCTTCTGCTCACTCAGTTCTCTTAACACTGACCAAGAAGGATAGTCCATATGCTGATCCATGTCAAGGAGCCTATCCACTGCGGGTTTTCTTTCCACCATTCTCATGCATTTATTTCAGTTAATCTTTGCTCGTTGCTTCACAACGGCTCGGGCATGACGCGCTGCATTTATGTTCAGGCCAATACTAATGGACAATCTTTAGTCGTCAATTAAGCAATCATTGATTGAAACTTTAGCAGTATCAACGTCCAGTGGAACATTAATAACTCAAATGATTGTAGGACAAGTTTGAGTGGGTCTTTGATTTGAATCAAATTAGAAAAATTTCTTCCAATTTGCGCTGATTCATATCAGAAAAGGACACTCCGATAAGCAAACAACTGTAACCAGCTGCAATTGGTGTCACGAGGCAGAAGGATACATGTGCATCCTCAAGAAAAATCACAAGAGGCTTGTTGGCAGCTGCAAGAAGCAGACTTAGCAACAACTTTCCAAGTCGTTGAATCTTGACCTCGGGTGAAGTAGTTTTGTTGAGGTGCGAGTCTGTTGAACTTCGCCTTCTTGCCGCTCGAAGGTCAAGTTCAATGTTATCATCGCCGGGTGAGTTAGATGGACTTTGTGTTCTAGTATCAGGGGAAAGCACCTCAGAATCTCGTCTAGACATTAGTACCGCAGAATCAACTAAAAGTCTCTGTGCTGCACTGTATGCAAAATTCTCAGTATCAGAGATGGAAGTCGCGCTTTCTGTACTTAACGACTTAGAACTTCCTGATAAGCTGGTCACCTGAGTTCGTTCATCTTCTGCATCCGTGGAATGCATGGGATCCATTTCGGATCCAGAACCACCTTCAAGAGCTGGGCGTGTCTGCGATAGTGATTCTAGTACGCTTTGCTCTGGTTGTGAACTCTTTCCTCCAATTATTAGAGCTCCCTGCGCTGCTACTTTGGCCATGAACGAAACCCTCCTTCCTGTTTCCTGTTACCAAAGACTCACTCAACCCCAAACTCGTTCATAACCCAAACAACTTCATAACAATTACCTTTTTTGTGACAGCTTGATCCTCATGTAACGTAAATCTTCTCTAGTAGTCCGAAGTTAGTTACCTTCGGGGCTCTTCGTTCACTGAATGTCCGCCTTAACATATGTGATCTCTTCGGCTCTTTCTGAACATTCTTTTCAAGACTAGCATCCTGCAATGACCGAAGCATTTGGGATCAGTGTGCAGTTACTTCAGTGCGAAGCACATAATCCAGCGCTCTTCTGTCCGTAATGGGAATGAGCCCTGGAGTGAACTCATTGCTTAGCTGTTGAGTGGTATATCACATGATTGACCATGAAGCCTACATCCGGCTCCTTGATTCGAATTACCTTAAACTGGACTTTCATGACATCCTTCAGCAAATGTGCATGTTCATGTAAGTCCGGATCTAGATATTTCAAGACAACGAGACCTCTCTCCTCTGGAGAAGAAATTGGTTCAAAAGGAAGTAGATCCAGAAGCAGCTTCCCCCATACTCCGTATACCAACATGTTGCTGTTCACACTACCTACGCCAATGATCTCAACGCGGTGCTTCAATAAGCGCATACCGATGGCCTTCATCAACCTCGTCTTCCCAATGCCTGCTTGTCCAATTATGACAATAGCAGAGCACGTAACATCTTCGGCTAATAACGAAATCTCCTCGAGTGATGGAGTAATTTCTGATGAACTGTCTGTGACGTTGACAGATTCTTCGTTGGTCAAATTACTCTCATTGTTTTCAGCGTCCTTAAGTTGCACTTCACATATGTTTGATAGTTCACTCTTTCCTCTTTTCACTTTATGGGCCTCAATGGTAGAAGACCTAGTGATGAAAGCTTCAATCTTAGAGATGGCCAAGTCCAATTCCGTTTTTCTCCCAAAAATGTCAGCCGTTAGTTCAACCTGTATCGAAGCACGAGCAGAAGTAAAACCAACTTCATCGGACAAGCGTCTCACGGGGCTCACAGAACCTGCAGCTGCATTATACTTCACTACACGGTATACATGAATTAGCCCTGTTCTGCCTTTGACTTTCATCGGAGGTAGAGGCTCGGCTACAAATTCGCCACTTGTCGAATTGTACGTCTCCAAGTCAATGAGGACCTGAAATAGTTACAATCAAACAACGATTTATTCAGTAGTTAATCAGATCTAGTTCTAATTTCTGAAATTTCCTACAAACAAGAAATACACGAATCTGGTACTATCAAGCAACTGGAGATTTTTAGAGACCATAATTTGTCTTCTTGAGCGGTGAAAGCGAAAACCAAGACTCTTGAAGTCAAGCAGCAGATAGATCAGGAATATCATAGATATGGAAATAGTACAAACCAGCGAGAGAAGACTTCGAGGAAATAGTCAAAGATATTTACAAAGTGCAATCCTATCAGAATAGCCACGAAGAACCAACAAGGCTTAGGAGAAGAAGCTACTGTCACACTGTCGTACCCACAGACTGTGGATTTCATCATACTGACTGCCAGTGGGTGTGTAGGTAGAGTCAGATCGGACGAAAGCTTTTGGAAGGAGGCCAGACACAAGTAGAGATGGGTTCCAACGGAGGGGAGGAGTTGACAAACAGGTAACATTGACTCCTGTGGTCAATACAGCCCCGTTTAGTAGGACAAAGTGCCTGGGCACTGTGTGGAAGTACGTATGAGGAGCCTGACATGTTCTCTCACAGGGTGCAGAATCTAATGAATGCTGATCGATGAGTCACTTTGGGCTTCTAACAAACTCTGGGAACCTGATATAACCAGATTCTCGATTCCAACCAAGAAATAATTTGCACACTTTGCAGTAAACTCTTTGTGCTTGTGTGCGTCGACAACGTTACGAATAAAAAGAAAATCTTTGACTCGGATCAGATCAGGTCTAATCTTGACTTTAATGAGAAGTAACATGCAGGTATACGTAAGCAGTGAGTATAGCAGGTAGATGATTCCATCATCATAAGCAGCACATGTCCATCAAAGCCGTACGTCTCTCAACTGTGCACCTCCCAGTTTTCTTTTATCTTCTCACCTTCCAAATAGTAAAATTTCATTGACGGTCCAAAGATTGAAGATTAGAAAAGAAAATGTATTCAGGCTTGAGAACCGTGAGCTAACAGGAATCAGAGATAATGCCCTGACTAGAAGTAGACTGCACAGTCACTCGACACCATTTTATCAAAACGAAGACAGCCTGCATTATACTCACTCAACAACAACCTTCATACCACTTAGAGAACGCCGGCTTCAATTAGCTATCACTTTATATATACATAACTATCACATATAGGACTTATAAGCGCTTCAGTGAATACCAACGTGCGCGCTAATCGATTTTTAAAAGGACAAGGTAGAAACGACTTGTGTGAATCAGCTCTTAACTGAGAAAAGTCATGAGCTTTATCATCACCGTAAGCATGACAACCTCAAATGAAGGTGTGATTACGACATCCTAAAAAAAAACGTTCAGTTCTTAACTCATGCTCGCTCATAACTCATATACACTGAAGACATATATCAAGAGAGTAAGTTTATCCGAAGAGCTGAACCTAAAAACTTTCAGACAAGGGCCCGGGAGTACGGCAAGCGTGAAGCAAAGGCCTAATCAATGTTAAGCAAGCACGGAATGTGCAACAATACTTGTAATTCTCGTTAGATACAGACAATAAATATTGGCGGCAGGCAAATGGCAAATGCAGCTGAGTAAATTTGCAGTAATAGTTAGTTATTGGACATTGTCAAGGATGAACACTCTTGATCTACAATTATTCAATTGGATTCATCGTCGTCGTCATTTGCAGAATGGCACAAGAGCTCTTAAAGTATATGTGGTTACCTCGTTGTTTGCTTTTTTCATGAGCCTTGCACTTAGATTGATGCAGTTTCCAAAAGCTGTGTACTCGCGCCTTTTTTCGCCTCCAATAACTGTACATAGAAGCTTTCCTGTTGTAACACCGATATCGGTCGTTTGACCCAATGCTGTAATATTTTGATGAACTTCTAGTGCTGTCTGAATACCCCTTTTAGGATCGTCTTCATGCAAATTTCCAGGAAGACCAAATGCACAAAGCATCACATACCCTGTGATGAGCGAGATTTCGTCATTGTCTTGCAAGCAATAGATGTTTAAGGTATCTCCACCAAGTCCCGTCAGCTGAAGACATTATGTTTAGACTTATCTCTTTCAAAACTTAGTAGCTTCAGCTACCAGCTGTAACTCACCCAAAATAGTACTTTCATGAACCTTATTGCTCCTCTACGGAGGTCACATCTGAATAGTGGAAAATCACGAAGGTATTATATAACTATCGAATGCCATCAATACCTTAGTACCTTTTTCATCCATTTTGAACTGAACGAGCAAGCCATCAAATGTCCGGAGGGACCTCTGCACAGCAACCATTATCTTCTGAACATTGTTCAGGAGATCAGAGTTGTTGCCTCTCATGTTTGACAATCCAGGGAAGCACAGGAAGAGACATGTCACATGTCGAACTTCAGGCCTGGCACCCGCTGCACCGCCGTCCTTAGCAGAAACAGCTTCAAATTTGCTTCTTAACATGTCTGGTAGGTACCTAAGCATGGAGTCATAAGACATTGATATCTTACTGCCAACGCGTGTCTGAACAGGATCAAAATCCCAACGACCTCGTCATTAGAACTAAATTCCAAAAGGCAATTCTTCAACAACCAAAACGCAAATTTTAAAATCAGCCTGGAAGGTGCATTCATCGATGATCTAGTTAGATCCTCTTCTGAAGTTTGAACGGTGAGTTTAGACCATGTGTGTACAAAATGCTTCGTGCAGGATGAATATGGCTACTTCTGTGTTGACAAGGTCATCCCTTCCTCATTCCTCTCAACCCGTAACTGTTTCTATGATAGACTTTTTAGCGCCGGCTTGCGCCGGCGCTAAAAAGTCTATACCGAACATCTACTGAGCCTTAGGTTATTCGAAAATGTGAAATAAACGAAAGGAACCACAGCAATATGTATGCTACACTTATATTATATGTCTTAAGGTTTAACGTGTGGACGAGTATTATGGAGTAGTCCTTCTTCAGTTTTATAACGATATTAAGTGCTCGAGAAAGTCCACGAAGTATGAATGAGTCAACAAGGGAGGAGGGAGGGTTCATTTGACCAAAGTATGCGGACAAGATGTCACGAAATACAAACTCAGTAAATATAGGTGGAACATTGAACCACAAGATTCGTCTGAATAATCAGCACATTACAAGTCCATACCTTTTCAGGATAACAGTGGCAGGCGGGACCCGACTGACATCAAAACGAGTCCTTGGTGGAGGTATTTCATACGAATGAGTTTTAACATAAACAAGTCGGGCAAATCCATCGGCCAAAAGTTCCCATTTACAATCCTTCTGACAAAGAGCGCAGACTTCTGGAGATAAGATTACACTTCCTGTTTAGAAAAACCCCTCACCAGATCAATCCGCGTATCTTGTGACTCGGTTGTAGAGTCAGAACTTGTTTTGAATACATCGTGTATAACTGCAACTTCTATTGATGAAGCCTTGTAGAATCAAGTAACTAGGTTCACACGGTATATTTTCGGGTGATTATAGAACGTCATTTTCAAATAAACTTTTAAAGAATTCTCTCATATCGGAAGTGGGACGAGTCTGGCTTCTTATGTAACGGTACAATAATCAAATTAGACTCTCCTGATCTGTAATATGCTATCAACCCTAGCCACGCATGGAAGGTCTGGGACGTAAAATCATTGAGCCTGTGTCGGTGATTGAGCAGGATGTAGCCAGAGAGCGAACTTTGCTAAAGATGCGACCGGAAAAATAGAGTATCAAGACAGGGCATTGATGCACAACATGAGAGCAACGCAGAAGTAATTTTTTTTAGCCTAATGCTAATAAATAGGGGCATCGTAAGGGAGCTTACATCAGAATTTTCCACAGTCAAGCACTGTGAGTCAGCAAAGATGAGTTTCGTGGACAGATCAGAGACAGGTACTAATAAGTGTGATGATCGATTTGCAATCAGCAAGGAATTTTATGTTGTAAAGTAACTCTCCGTGTTGTGGAGCAAAAATTGTGACTTGATACGCAGGATATTCTTTTGAAGTTATTGAAAGACTGGAAGAGTATGACGTATTGCACATGTGATTCATTGAACATCTGCTGAATTCACATGTGCAAGAAATAAGTTACTGGATATCCTCCAGGCCAATAAAGCCTACTAGCAAGTGTCTTCAAGATTAGGGCTCTTTGAAGTTAGAAAAATTACCAGGAGTCGCGTATTCTTCACAGATGCGAAGCTGTTCCAAGGGCTTCCGACTTAGGGGAGCCTCGATATCGGGAGGCACTGGCAAGTCTACCATAAAGTACTCCCATCGAGGCTTTCCAGAAGGCATTTGCAAACCTCCACCAACACTCACCATGCCAACCTGGTGGGTGCGACGAAGGGGTATCAAAAGTCTCAGGCCTCAACACCATACTTTTACAGATGGAGAGCCTTAATACGTTTTTAAGAAAGTGTAATGTTAAGAACGAGGCCTGAAATTCAATTCCTGTGGAGAATACATGGTAATTTAAGCATGAGTATAAAGGAAGCCTTCTGTACCTGGCCGATTCCTACAAGAACTTTCATTGTGAGGATAACAGGTGCATCCGGAACCGCAGCTGCAGACTGGTGCATGAGCTCGTTGCTGTTTCTGTGTTTCGAATGCTTAGGTGGGTCAATCTGCTTATAAATCCCCTTTTCGATTTCGGTAACTGCTGTTGTTCCCGTACGAGAGCTGTCAGAGCTGGTTTCATTACTACGAACAGACTTCAGACCTCTCAAAACCGCAACAAGCTCTGACATAACCAAAGGTTTCACAAGGAGCTGATCCATGCCAGCAATCAGGCACCGTCCCTTCAGATCATCGTCAGATTTGGTACATACCTGCAATACAAACAGTTTGATTGACAAGGCCTTTTGGAAAGCAGATCTTACTGAGACCTTTCTGATATATTCCCTACTAGCCTGTCAAACATATTTATATTAGATATCAAGGAGTACAATTGATACAGGATGTACTGGAAGAGACTGCTGTGCAAGAGGCCTAACTAACTGATATCAAATATTTCAATATGGCTAGAATGTCAGGTAACAAGTAACTTATTGAGATGTACGAACGTAGTTTTGCGGGGAGAAATACGTACCCCGATGACTGGAGTTGTGGGTCTGCCTATCATCGTTCACAGTGAAGCGTTCAGCAGATTCAAACAATGTGTAAGATACTGAAAGAACCAGGTGAACATCGAATTTTCTTACTAGTTACAAGTCACATTCACCGAATGCTAGCAGCTACTTTAAGATACGAAACAAAATGTCATTCAATATTGTCTTCGCCCCCACATTGAATGGAAAACCCATAACAGCTCACTGACCCAAGACGGTAAGCCAACATTGTCTTCCCACAATCAAGAACGAAGATCCACTCGCGAGCACAAGAATAAAACACTGTTTTGAAACTCACATCTTTAGTGAGCCAATTATTTGACTTTGAAAGACTGAATGTTTCTCTGACTTATCATGTATACTAGAACGGTAAATATAGTTTCGTATTCTGACCTTCACATGACATAGAAGTTGAATTGCACCCAGGAGGCAACAATTGAGGACTCACTGCTCTGTCGAATAAGTCGGGTTGCGAAACACCCATCCATCACAGGCATGTGTACATCCATGAAGATGGCATCAAACTGTTCCTTGGTATTCGCTGCGACTGCCTCCTTCCCACTGTCAGCCTCCATAACCTGCAGAGGTCATTCGATGCAATTCTTACCTACATGTGAGGACATGAGACACTAGCTTCAACCGCTTCAAAGTAAGATAGAACTACCCCCTACCTGCGCGGTTCAAAAACCTTGCTTCCTACTCTCATCAAATCTCGTTACAGGTATAAACCAACCTTGCAAGGTTTGGAGAGAGGTTTAATGGGCATTTATATCTATATGCATGAATACTTATAAATACCTCACAGTTAAGCTTGATGAGCATTTGCCTAAGGACCACACGGTTGATCAGGTAATCATCAACGACCAGAACACTCAAATGCCTGTCCGTGTTGATTTCCTTGCTAAGACTCGGGCTGGAAGGCCGCAATCTCCTAATCATCTCATGTTTTTTCTTCCTCCCATCACTGGCGATCAAAGTATCTCCATATCCTCCCAGCTGAAGGAACGTTAAGCAAAAATTACCACTCAATCAACAACCAGAGAGTAAGAAAACTATTCCTAGGGGTATAGGAAATCGTCTTTTCATCGCTCTGCAAATTCCACTATACAAAGATTAATCATCAGCCTAGGGTGGATATCAGTAACTTGGTCTCCAAACGGCGACTACAAATACAGTCCCTTCTTAAGAGTCGTGCGCCTTAAATTACATACGAGACAATGACTTTGATGAGCGGAAGAACCTCACTTCAGGTTAGGCCATGTACTTGAAGAGACTGGAAAGGAAGCCATGAGCTCAAGTATGCCACATGTAGAAGCTACACCTACCTCAAATGCTCCTTACTCTAGATCAAGAACAGTTAAAACGAAGACAAAAGAAATCACCTGAGGGGTGTAAGCACCTAGACTGGTGATTAACTCCAGTCCACATGCAGCTGCTCGCAAAGCAAGGGCAGATCTCGTCTTTCAACACAGCAAAAACATCATGGATGAGATAATTCTCTCAGTGCTTGAGTTACAAATCACAGGGATACACTTTGAAATTTGAAATATATAAAAAACTGGAGTTGTAAGGAATTAAACTAATTAACTAACTAAAATGACAAATTTCCTGTACAAGGAGTGTCCTGGGTTCAGTCAAGTACGAGAATCACCTCCGCAATCGATGGGAGTATGGGAAAACAAATAATCATAGCATCGCCGGCATACTGTGCAGACAACCAATTCGTCTAGTTAACAGATTGTTGTAGGTCGTATTGTCTGAGGTCTGAGGAGCAAAGGAACGAGTTTTTGCAACCATAAATGAACAAATACCAGCTAGTACGCAGTAGTAGGTATATGACTAAGAGATCTATTCGGAAACGATCAACAAGAAGAATGTCAATGAGTAGATAACGGCCTATGTGCATGATTCTTCTCTCATTGCATCAGTCTTCTGTCCCTCACTGATGAGGCAGCAAGCACAGCGAAATATTCATGCCTTGACCTTCCTGGACAATGGAAAGAAATCGAAAAAACTTCTCTTTAACAATTGCAATATTTAAACGTCACTTCATTTGTCTCTTTTCAAAAAGAGTAAAAGTATTTACTGCCTAAATTTGTGAACAAATATAAACTGCAACCCCCAAATCAACCTACAAGACACCGATATTAAGAGAAGACTGACCTGAAATAAATTATGAGATATCTGGAACAGAAAGTTTGAAGGGGGAGACAGCTGGAAGTGCTCGATAGAGTAAGAAGCTCAGATGCTCCTTCACTGTCGAAGGACATTGTGTCTCATTACTGAGGACTCTTATCGACTGATGCGATGAAAGAGGACCCGTGTACCTACAGAACGAAGTTAGAAAGTCAAAACGATGTCCAGCCCGTTACTAACATTCCCAGAAGCACGGCCGGAACATGTGACGACGAGATGAAGACGAAGCTGGGATCAGAAACAAAAGAATTTGACAGACCCTCTTGACAAACATGCTCTTTGGGCAAATTACTATAGGTTGAAGCTCTAACAGGCCATACCTTGCTCTGCCAGAGTGCGAAGGAGCTGGATACTGAGTATAGTACTTCCTATTCCTATTTTATCTTACCCATAGAGGAAAACCATGCGATTTCTAGCCATCGTAGGTCTCGTTGCTATTTTGTTGCAGTTCAATTTGAAAGCAATTAAAATAATTGGTTCTACTCTCGTAGATTGGATTCTCACCTTGATTATATCACCTCCAAACATCGAAACAATCTCACCTGCCTGTTCAATCAACCCAGCAAGTTCTTCAGTCGGCCAATATAGCGTTCTGTTGGATGCAAGGTACCGCGAAGGCACTAGGTGTCCAACATTATATTCGGTGTATTAGGTGTATCAGGCAAGAATTTGGTACAAGGCATCTATAGAAGCTCAATCTACCATTCCATGAGAAGAGAGGGTCACATTCAAGTTTTGCAGACAATTCCATCAAAGGGTGTATCAAGGCTGAGTCGAAACCATAACTTGATTCCAGGAACTGTTGACAATCTCTTATTGTATTAACCTCTCATCATCAGTGTGTGAGATTTTTAGACTCACGAAGGAAACTCACCTCCGTGAAGTAGTTGTTCATGGCCACAAGCAGTTCCTCCACAAGCTCAGTTCCACGCTTAGAAGTAAGAGCTCTTTCTGTCAAGGTTGTAAATCCAGTAATATCGGCGATCATCACTGCCCCGAATAAACTGTCAATTGTCGGTATTTTGCTCAACTGAGTGTCTGCCACGTTACACGTATATCGATAATCAGTGCACTGGCGAACACACTGTATTTTCAGCGTCATGATTCGTGAAAAGTAGACGGCATTAGGAGAATTGCTTACTTTTGACGCATTTCAAAGTGCTATGTAATATAAAATTCTTGTGACGAAAATGTTATAGTGGTAGTAGATTGAGTCCTTTTGACTGTAAAGGAAAATTATATTGCTGTAACCTCAATCCACATATCAAAGTTGGTGGTCTGCTCTTTTTTTCTTGAGTTCTGTTTAACCTTCCATACGTGAAAAATTGTTTCTAGTATGCTCATCTTTTCTCACCTGCAGCACTGCACCGCCTAGCTCGATACAGGACCCTTCATACGTAAGCAACCACGGCTTAGGTTGTATGTATTCTCGCTTCATAGGAATGATTGATTGCTAAAGGATAACGATGGTAGCGCATGAAATGAGGTTTCGCGCGGTTGAACAAATCAGGGCAATTTTGAGACAAACATTTTTGAAGTTGGAATTATTACCATGATCGTAAAGACTGCTTTCAAAAAGCATACGAGGAACATACGGTTCCAAGGCATCAAGCAATTTCAATAATTCATTAGTGTCTGCAACGACGTCAGTGCCAACATAATCTCCGGATGTTACGAACTCCTGCCAATCTTCCCATCCTAAAGAGTCATCTTGAAAAGCTGCTTGAGGACCCCCAGACGACTCAGAAGCTTCAGTGTCCTCAAGAGGCTTGTTCACCGCTCCGGTGGACATTCGGCGTTGTCTCCCGATTTTCTTTCCATGACCGTCTCTGGGCATACGAGTAGACGAGGTTTCACTTCGTCTTCCTCCTCTAAGAGCTACTGTAGTCTTGACAATCGGCTCAATTCCCATATCATCTAAGACAACAGGAAATGTTTCGGCATCAGTAGCCGATTGAGATTCAGATTTTGGAGAAGTCTGTGTAGAACTCTGCCCTACATCAGTCGCCGAAGAAGATGTAGCCTTCTCCATGGTCGACGCAGACCTAATGTGAACCTAAAGTTAGAGGCCCACCAAGAACCCGACGTCAGTAACTTGTCTGTTGTTGAAGATTCTTGCGATGACATCTGAAACTCAAAATCGCCTCAACTTCACTTGATTGCCCAATCTCTTCACCTCTATAAGCGGTTGATTTCATTGTGTACGATATCGTGCAGGTGCTTTATACTCGAGTTATTATTGAATGACCGATGAGGTGTAAGCACAGCTCTGTTGGTCACCTCTCTTCAGCAAGGAGACCTGGAAGACGAGTGAGATTCTGGAGGTGGGAGAAGAAAACCAAAGAGCCTACGCGGAGTTCAAATCACACCGAGACGGGCCATTGTGGAAGAATTTCAAGGCCATGATCAGAGAATCACTAGCACTACACGAGCAAGACCGGACACCTACTATCAGCCTCGGTCAGCCATTGGCTCCATTGTCCCCATTGGCCAAGCCGTAAATTAACGCGACGGATCCAGCTCGAACTCTGCAATCTTCCTCGACAAAGCCATAATGCGGGCGAACTTATACCACTTGGCGGTGAAACCTGCCACATACGCATCATTCGTCGGAACGGATTTTAGTCTCGATGGAATGCTTAGACTATCGCCAATTCGGACTTTGTTGGCAAATGAGACGCCAGGGATGGGCGATTTTACTCACTGACAGTTACGACTGACGTTGCCAATTCCGGGCAATCTTGCGACAATTGGCGGGCGCCGATTCCGAAGTCGACGGGATTCTTGGCCAATCCTTCTAAGAAATCGGGCGCGCCACACTGCGAGACTGAGAGGAGCCGAGGAGCGCGTGCGCCTGAGCAATTCACATCAGTTTAAGAAGATCTCCGTCCGTCGTCGTGAGGCTAGTTCCATCCATCCGTGGCGCGGTGAACAACAGGGCTGTTTCAAAACAGGCAGTAGGAACGGGTACTCAGGAAATACAAATTCGATGGAAACTTGTCCACGTATAACAAAGCTAAGGCCTGAAGTACTTCCATTCCGGAAAAAGGATCTTCAATTATGGAGATAGAAAATATCTCATATAATCAGTCTCTATGTCTCCAGAATCGACTATATTGCCAGCTGCTTTGATCTCCTGAGTTCAGATGGTAGTTGGATGTCAAGATCAAGTGTCCCCTATCAAACTCATCATCCGTCAATCACATTTGTCAACCACGTAGGCTAATGTCCAGATTCACCGTCAACTATTTAACTAAGAATGTCAATCTTATAGTATCAACCAAGTGTAAATGTGATATTCTCAAGTACTGAATGCATACTGACTACATTAAATATACCCCCAACTCCTATCTTCAGAATGTCATTCACATTTAAGAATGATAATTTATCAACAAGAAAATAAATGTCTTTCTTGCAATTCTATGTACCTCAGAGTCATAGGAAAAGTGCTAAGCTTTGGAAGACAACCGGCATGAAATCCGATGTCGACGCTGGTGCAGCAGCAGCGGGGTCTGACGATGAGACACATCATCACATCAACAGCGAAAATAACTATGAGAAGGAGAGAATAATGATGTCTATATAAATGTTTATAAATTGAGTTTTGAATACTCAAGTGATGCACTTTATTCAAGATATGGAAGTGTGCATAAGATTCAAGCTCATTGTTGAGTTTGACAAATCTTGTTTGAAGATTCTGCACAAATAAAAAACAACATCTATGATTTTCAACATCACAATAATTGTTAAAAAAAATTGTTATAATTCTACCAATACGTCAGCAAACTTATATGTTGATCTCACTGAAAAGTTGCCTATTTATGGGCTGGAAATTGGAAACATTACACTAAAATCTATCATAATCTCAAGATCAAAAGATATATATTCAATACACACAAAATTTTTGTATAAAATCAAATCTACATTTTGAATTTTACTACAATTGAATGATGCTAACCTTTTTTTTGTATAAATTTATGATTAGAAATGATTTTGAAATTAAATAATAATATATTTCAATTTAATTGAATTTATTATTATTATAAAAAAATTTAATAATTTTGACATAATATTATATTTAAGTTTTTTAATATTATAGTTAATTAAATTTCGAATTAATTGCAAAAAAAAACAAATATATATTGATTGTGATTTCAATTAATTAAGTCACTAAAAATTACTTTTTTAATATGTTTAAGATTTAATTGAATTTGATTTTACTAAAACTAGATTCAATTATTTGTTAAATGAATATCACATGTGTGAAATGAAACGAATTGTCATAGATGATCATTACCTAATACCTAATGTATACATTTGCTTAGTGAAAGATAAAAATTTTAGGTGGTTTCATCGATAGTGAAGATAGTTGATTCTTCTAAACTACAAAGAAACAAAAATAACACATCCATCCATTGAAATTGCATAGCAAATTATCATATGAATAAAACAGATGAAATCATTTGTGTGAAAGAATCTTAATGTTTGATCCAAGTATCTGATTGGAACTTGATTATTAATTGATTGATTTGATAGCCATTACAATGAGATGAGTTTAAATGTTCAGATTTTTTTGAGTTTTAATTTTAATTTTCGAAATAAAGTATAAAAATTTGATGCATGAAAAAATATAAAAGGAGGGAAATTTTATTTAAAAAAAATAATATATTAAAAATATTTTTAAGCTATGGTAGAAACTAAACCATAGCTTAAAAACTTCTAAACAATGATATTTTAATTTCGTTTTAGTATAATACTAGAATCCTAATTACTATAATGTTTAGTACTTAATATAAGTATTACATGTATAAATTCAGTGTTTCAATCTCACATAATGTAATCCCTTTGTTCGAATTTTGCAAAAATATAGTTGCATTCATCATATATGTCAATTGTTTTTAATTGAAATCTGACTTAAATAAAAATCTAATGTGCTTCTAGTAATTGAAAACAGCCTTTCCAATCCAAAGCTATAAAAAACTGGATGAACATATTTGAACACAACCATTCTCAATTAAAAGTATATCAGATGGATGAGCATAATTACATATCAGATTGTTTCTTTGCAATATTTTTGTTCAAAACAATGATAATTATAAATATTTTTTATAATCATATATTTCTCAATATAATTAAATATTCGTAATTTTAAATATCAATAACTTAACATGATATCTCCAAAGTATAATTTATTTATTCATGTAATGCTAGTTCATTTCATGAGTATTGTCAGATATATGATAAAATTCACAAAGTAAAAGTAAAAGTAATCTACAAAGTTTAAAAGTTGAAATGTTTGAATGTTTTTACAATTTTTTATTTTTTTTTGTATAAGGTTAAATTAGGTATAGATTATATTTTATATGAAAAAAGCTCTAAATAAATAAATAATTTATTTATTTATTTATATGGATTATATTTCCAAATAATCATAATTAAATTTATTTTTTTATTCCCATGGCTCTACATTATTATATTTTACATATGTATGTATACATTTAGGTCAATGATAAGGATGAAAATTTGTAAATTCGTGTTTAAAGTGTTTTGACTTTCTTAGATATTAGAGAACTGAAAAAGTCTGTTCAACAATGTTGTCTTTTATCGATTGGATGCATCATAGTTCGGGAATCTTATAAAACAATTATATTTTATATTTAATTTAACGAAATTGATGTCATACTTTATACATGATAGAACTCAATAATGTATTTTGCATTTCACATCCGTCACATTTTTTACCATTTGATATTATGTTTTAAGATGATTTTTTTTATAAATCAGTTCTGATCTAGGTGATTTCTTCTAATTAACATTATCAATAATGGCGTATTTTGTAAATTACTAGCCTTTGATATCATATCATTAATAATTCAAAATCTAATTATTTTAAGAACCATGAAAATGTATAATATATATAAAAATAAAAATAAAAAATTTATTTTTATTGATCCAAAAGATTTTTCTTCAAATCCAAAAAATATTAACTTATGATTGCATTTTCAAATGTACAAAACTAATGCCTTAGTAAAAAAAAATTGTGATTCATGTTTTAGAGTACTGAACCTACGTTTATCAATCAAATGAATGAATTTTTTTTGGGTTTGATTTTGAAATGTCAATATTTTATATTTTGTAACGACAAGACACAAGTATGAGTAGATAACAAAAGAAGTAAACGAATACTCGACAAGTATGACATGAGGATTATCAGGATTTCAAGTTATATAGTTGGTTATAAATTTCAATATTGTCAATTTGAACCATAAGTTGACAAATATTCAGGCACGATCCTGCATTTAAAAATATACCTGCAATTTGTTTTCAGCCCGGTTGCTCAAGGTCATTCTACAAGATTGTTAATTCTACAAGTTTTCTTAATATAAATCGCGGCGTTCTTGTGAGGAGGGGTGCCCCGACCAATCAAAACGCTGAAACCACGCCGAGATCCAGTCCAGGTCCGAGTCGGATCCACCACCTGGCCCCCAGCGGAGGGAGGCCTCACAGCAGATTAACAGCCGATCAACGCTGAGCCAAAATGACGCTAGATGGAGGGGTCGAACCTCCGACCTTGCGGTTAACAGCCGCACGCTCTAACCAACTGAGCTAATCCAGCTCGTTGCGGCTAAGTTTAAGTTATAATAAGTTATTCTTGTAAAAACATTTCTCCCACTTCAATAACACTATCAGCAATAGTCTCAACGTCTTCACATTTCCCTAACTAAGATACAAGGTTTAAGGCTTGTCTTGGACCAGATATTATTTCTCTTGGGCTCTAATATTAATTTTAAATCTTCAATGTTTTTCCTTTTCAGGCCCGTAAGAGAGTTCCCATCTCTTGTTATAACAGCCTTGTCTAAAGGTTAAGATTTGCGATATACACCCATTTCAATTAATCCAAAATCACTCGACATTACTCGACATTAAGATTTTAAAAATCGATCATTTTTTGATCCTTGATAAATACGAAAAGAGGAGGAAGGACAAGACGACCAAAAGAGAAACCCAAAGATGAACAAGTGTTGCATTCACGAGACAGGATGGGACATTGCTCGACGCCGAAGCGTACGGCCTCCGGTGTAAGCTTCCCAAAACTCGGTGCGACAGCGTTGCCTCTATTTGCTGCGCGGGAACAAAAATAAATAAATACAAAAGCAAATTCCGGAAATTTCTAACGAAAACAGCCCGAAAAGACGCCGAACTCACATTCACACGTGCGAGTTCGCCGTAGTCTTCGAGATCGATGACATCTTCGTAGTCCGGGGGTAATAGCCGCCGGCGGGCGCAGAAGTTGTGGTGCGGACATGAACATGAACGTAAATCCCACGATCAGGAACGAGAGTACGTCGACGTGTAAGACGGAAGTGGCGCGGTCGCTCTGGGTCCAGATTTGCCGACGAGGCGGAGGGATGCGGGGAAGCAGGTGGTGGTGGAGTCTCATGGCCAATTCTCCAGCGAGAAGGAAGAATTTTACTGTCCGCGCGATGGCAGAGGCGAGAGGGTAAGATGGCTACGACGGACAGTTTGGATAAGGTGACACATGCGCAAGCAATCATTGTGAAGATAGTGACTTTTGTTCATGCAATCTTTCTCGTTGCCTATCGTGCATGGACTCCACAGCTTCCCCTCCCCGGCCCTGCCCTGGCCTCCCCTCCTGAGGCGATCTAAATTTAGGCCTTCGCTCCATCTTCAGCTGCTGCTGCTGCTGAAGGGGAGAATGTTCGACGCTGTCCACTTGGAGCAAAGGCCTGCATTGCGAGGGATCGCGTCGGCCAGTTGTTGCTACAGCGGCAAGCGTTCGAGCTGGAGGAGCTGAATTCGGATCAGCGAAGGCGGCCTTTTGAGCTGGGCGGATTTCAAATTCATCGGTCCGCGTCTCCCAAGCTTGTGTGCATTATGCCATGAATGTCCGCGCCGCTTGAAAATCGCTCACAGGGATTTGGCAGGAGCCTGCGAGCGAGCTGTGCTTCGTGTCCAGCCATTCCTGACGCGAAGCTGCTCTGATGATTTCCTGTGCGCAGTCCTGTCCCCTTTGGACGCCTGCATTGCGAAGCGCTGCGGATCTGGGATGTCAAGTGGGCAATGGGGCAGTGCAGGTGGCCTCTTCCAGGCACTTGTCGAATGTCTGCTCTGCCAGTAGAACAGGGGGGAGGCTGTGCAGTACCTCCAATGCTCCTCCTTCTTCTTCGAGATCTACGGAGGGATTCAAGCCCCGGTTGAATGGAATCCGGAATGAAGCGCGGCTGCCTCAGTACCATCAGAGCAAGAGAATCGAGCTGAAACAGAGCCGAGTGGTTCTGCATGATGGGGAGTTGAGATTCAGGAGAAGTTGGAAGTCGAATGGATTCGACGCCGAGAGCAGGAAGCTGGAAGGTGAAACGTCCGAACTGGAAAGCCGTCGGAGTATGCTACTCAGTACTTCGTCAGCTGTTGTGGGGATTATTAATTACTTCGGAAGGAGTGAGGCTGCCGAGGCATCTGTACAAAAGCGAGTCAAATTGAGTGACGTCGACGACCAAAAGCTCCAGGATGCTTTAAGGGCCGCAGTCGCTGGGGACTTGGAAAATGCTGAAAATTTATTCTCCGAGCTGATCAAAGAAGAACCCAATAGCGCAAGTGTGTGGTCAAATCGAGGAAGTGTTAGGGTTTCTCTGGGAAAGTTTGAGCTCGCCGCCGAAGATTTTACGAAGGCCATTGAATTAGCCCCAGAAGCTCCAGTGCCATTTTTAAATCGTGCGATCTCTTACGAAGTATGCACACTTCCTTCACTAGTTCTCGTCGAATTTAGCTTGGTCTTCCGAAAAGGCGTGCATTTCTCATCGCTCTCAGTGCCCGACTGCTGAACTACAAACTTCTTTTGCTGTTCGTACCCCATTACTTTCGAAAGCCTAGCCCTCGACATTGACATTGCTTCTGTTGCTGCAATTTCAGGCCATGGGCCGTTTCGACGAGGCGATCGCTGACTGCAAAACTGCTATTGAAAATGATCCTGAGGTGTTTCTACCCGCCATTTCCGAACTATGCTTCATTTATTCTGCAGATAAAATTTTATGTATTATAATTCCGGAACTTTACACAAGTGTTTGTACATGCCAGTGGTAATTTTGTTTGTCAACTTTCAGATACTGATTATACTCATCGAGCTTTATTTTGTTGATAAGCCTCTCACATCCTACGCATTTTTCACAGGAATTCGCAGCTTGGTACAATCTAGGAAACGTGGAAGTACGCGTCAAAGATTACGACAATGCGTTGCGTTCATACGAAAGAGCTTCACTTCTAGCGCCTGGCATTGCTGGTTATCGTTTCAAACAGGCTCTAGTGCTTTTCCAGGTATTTGCATCCGTTTCTTACTTACTTCACCATTCTCTCACTTTTCTGTTCTCTACTGCCTGCCTTCATTTCGTTGCCATCCTTGTCCACTCCTTCGAACAAGCCAGCCGTCGTTTCCTTTGTTTTTGTATAATGGAGCTACGAGTGAAGACATTAACTGATTCGAGATCAAGATATGTAAGCATTGTTAACGAGGCAGTTAAAATAGAGTTATATGGCCAGGTTTGCGCACGAAGGAAGAGCGAAGCTAGACCCAAAAAAACCCATTATTACCACGTTGTTAACACGTGTGGTCTGCTTTCGTGGATACTTCTATCGCCTTTCAGGTGGGAAGAAGTGAGGAGTCGAAGAAGCTGCTACAAGGACTGGTTAGAAAATATTCCAATTATGCAGAGGCACATGCTGCTCTGGCAGCTGTTTTATGGAGTGCGGGATCACGCAGTGGTGCTGAGGAACAATTTTCCGAAGCAACTAATCGTGAGCCTCTATTTAAAGATTTAAGGTGTGTGTTTATTCTTCCTTAGAAGGTCTTTCAAAGAGATCATCAACTCTTTCTAAGAATCTCCCACAAAATATTGAAATGTTCACTCATGCTAAAACACTTCTCTAACAAAAAGTTCCTTTTGTCGCTTTGTCACATGCCAATAATTCACGTCTCATCTGGCAAAGTACTGACTTTTGCTCTGATCGTTGCAGCTGGGTTAGTAGAGAACTTCAGTGGCCTCCAGCAGTCGTGGAGGCTTTCAGCAAATTTTTGGCTATAGACTACAAGTAGAGATTTCCTCTATCTTGCCGGGAATCTACGAGGCAACGTACTTGCTGTGAAGAACTTTGCGAACATAGATTTAACGGCTGGTATTTTGTTGTACGGGATGTCGGCTGCGTCCAGGAAGTTTTGATTGGCATTTCTTTGGAGAACTTACATTAATCAGCATGGTGTCAAGTCTCAGTGCCTCCACAACTGAAGCAAGCAATTGCGCTGTGGGTCCCAAGAAAGGGGCAATTTAGATTTCTCCCACGAGCTCATGCGTGAGCAGTAAGATACAACCTCTCGGTCATCGATAATAATATATGGACATTCACAGGAAATCACAGAACTCAGAAAGGTTATTGTAAACTTCACATACTTCCCATTCATCCGAGAAACTCAATTTTGGTTTAATGACGAACTTCTTCCTTGACCTTTTGAATACGCAGTTACCATCATCGAACTATTAAACCTCTGTGTACCATTTTTTGTCCAACAGACTTAACTCGAATATTGCTGAGAAATGATACCTTGTTTTAACTCACTACTGTCTGTCAATACACAAATGTGGAAACCTGCCTAGTCCTGTATCCACCTTTGTGTTAGTTGAGAATTATTATCAGACAGAGGAATGTGCAAGCTTTGTACATGCGAATCTACTCTGGTGTGAATATGCTCTTACACACCGTACAGAAGAATCATCTTGTTGGATCTACTGTTTCCTTAAATAGACTCTCGAAAACCAGAATTTTAATCTTTCCAAGAAAACACGGTCACCATTGTTTCCAATCCGGTGAATAAAGTCCCGTGCGAGCCACAAATATTAGTTCTTTTTTGAATGCAGCTGCCAAAGTACGTGATATCCGTACATGCAGAAAGTGGTTCAGCCAGAGCTCGAGCAGCATGGACAAATTTAGAGAACCATGCTTTCGTTTCTACGAACCAAGTTTACCAACAGATACAAGAGAAAAAGAGGTATGGATGGTGACTATGCAAGAGGTATGGAATCTTTTCACCGTCATGAAAATTATCCTCAGTTTCTGTCTGTGAAGCACTCCCTCTTTGCCCCACGTTCTTTTTGTCACTCAGTACGCCCTTTCGCCGTCTCTTAGAAAGCACTGAGCTTAAAGCAAACCGCACAACTATCCTCCGCAGGCATATTCGGAGATAATCAAACTTATGACATCTCACAAGGAAGCAACGACCATCTTACTACTATCATGCACAGTGAAAGTAGCAGTAAGGGAGAGATGCACCTGTCAGATTATCTTCATCGTCTGATTCTTATATACCTGAATGTAATGCTTGCCTCTATCTTCTTGAATAACGTGTCATTCACGGCAAGCCACTGTCAGGAAGGTTCAGACTCATGTTTCTGTACAAAGCAAGCGTAATGATGCCAATCGGGTGCACCATTTCCTTCCATATAATCTTCTCCAGTAGCAGCATTCGCAGCATTATGCTACCACTGAAAGAATTCCAAGCCAAGGTGCTTAGTCCAAGACCTGAATATGTGTACAAATTGATCTTGATACAACATGGCCGAGTTGCAATCTATTCTGCTAAATTACATAAGGATACTGCCTTTCGAGCTTCTTTCAATCTGTTGAAAAAATCTACTCGTACTTCTTTACTCTGTTTGAGGAATTTCATCTAACTACTAAATCGATTCCTAAGATTTACGTCCTATAGGATCCAGTCCTGTCACTGACTGCACATTTATTTGGACATAAAATACTAGACAGTAATGGCTGGTCCTAACATCTATACGTCCCTGCATCTACTGCTTATGTGAACACCAAACGTGGTCAGGTCGGAGCTTTCAGGCTCTTGGAGTTTTGTTTGAAGATTTGTAATTGCGTTTGATGCGAAGTCGTCCTCTTTATATGATTCAGAGCCGTGAAATGACCAAACCCCCTTTTCTTGCACATATCGCACCTCCAAGCTTCCTTCTTGGCTGGATGGTCTTGCAGCTTGAGCAACGGATCCTGAAGAATGGCCTTGAGCGCAGGAGTTTTCGGCGTCATCTCGTCCGCATTCTGTTGCGATCTCTTCGGATCGATTTTCTTTACAGTGAACTGGTCGTGAACTGAAGCGTGATGACCCTTCTTGTGGCAGATGTCGCAAGTGTGTCGAGTGCACCCGACTATGATCTCGCCTAGTTTTGGAAGGCTGATGCGGGGAGGCAGTCGGGCGAGAGAAGGATCGCTGTCAGGAGGAGAGACTTCTGCGAGCAACATCTTCCTGTAACCACCCGACTTGTGCCGAAGCCACTGAATTTCATCGATACTCTTCAGCCAGGGCTCCCGTTCCTTACAAAATGTAGTGAATAGTCTTCTGATCTGCTCGAGTGTAACGGAATCCGGTACAGTTTTCAGGATGATTACAGGTTTGAAGTTGGGCCCCTTCTCTTCGAATTCTAGAAACCTCTCCTGGATTACGTCAGCTTTAGCAGCCCTTGGCCTATCGCCTCTGGCACGAACCTCTGCACAAAGAACAAAGATTCGGAACCATGAGAATGTGACGATACAGTATTTGATCGTAATCGAAGCAGTACAGCGCGTACTATGAAGGAACTAGAGGTAAGGACTCTGATCACAACTGTCTCTCAAACGAGACGGATTTCATTGCAGAAGTGAGAGATTTGTTCGCAGCGAACTCCAGTCGACTCAGAAGTTCATGAACGTGGAACTATGGGGCTGACTTCGGTCTGATCCATCGTGAGCACAGAGTAAGCAAGGAGACAAGATCGGAGATGCAATTTGTGACTAGAGAGGATCCTATAACACTACAACCTCCTCTCTGGTTTGATCGTTAATCTAGCAGCAACTCTAGGAAACCTGGTCTTGTTTTCAGTTTTTTTGACTTCGGCAGTTGCCCCTCCATCGGCAATCGAGCTCATTCAAGGAAGATCCTGACAATGACCGCAATTTAGCCTGTGACTGATTTGGGTCTGCAGCTTATACTAAAGAGAAACAACTACCCTGCACTCTTGCAAAGTTTTCAAATGATGTCACCGAGCTGTTAATTCTCAAATCGGTGGGCTTGGAACATAATGGTCAGAATTTGTACAATCTTCCTTCCGAACACTGGAATTTCATCTGCAATGAACATAGAGGAGAGAGACTTGTATGACAGCAGGTAGACTCAGAAGCTAGGCAAGGTGGAACCTGAAATGTCTGGAAATAAAAGAGATTGAACAAAAAGCATGGGCCATCAGAACTACCTAGACACCATGATCACGGGCATCACTACACCCAGCCAGCCACACTCTGGAAAGAAATTCATCCCACCTGGTACCATTGCCAACTTTGCTGCTGTCAGAGCTTCTCTAGTTCTTCTCTGCGTACAGCTGCTACCTCTAAGAGTATCTATCGTACACGACCTCGATCAGCTCCACAAACGCGGGTGCACTTCCCTGCTCTATTGTCGAGCAACATGCCAATGGCCTCCGGTGTCCACAGCGTGTTCCTCCTGGGAGCTGGGATGAGATCACTCCAAAGAGTATGTTCGAGCTGACTTCGTAATCGCGACCCACAAAGCTCATGCAACACTGTTCTAGAATCCGAATTTTACCAGAGCAAGAATCCCTGCGTGACAGTGAGTGGCAAGTCTGACACGAACAGATAAGAAAATCCTTGTCTGTGTCAAGTTAAGTGCACCGAGAGTTGCAGAAGAAAACGTCGTCACGAGCTTTCTAACATCCTCGATCCGGCATCCAGCAGATGTCTCAATTCTGCCACGAACATGCACGCTCGTGTCCGCTGACACTGACTCGTAGCACCATCATCATCATCATCCGAGGAGCGTTACCTGCAAGTGAAAGGGTAAAGTACACGCCAAATTAACCAGAAATAGTGGTCCTTTTTTCACATCACCGCTTTTTGCAACAATCTTTCGACTGGTGGGTCCAATTTGGTCAAAAGCAGCAGTGAGATCTCAAAGGGAACATGCAAATGGGTGAGTACAGACTCTAAAGCCTGCCATGAGACCACGCACTTAATAACAAAAAGCTGTCGTGCTCTCACTGAGCTACGTTAGGCGCACCTGCCTCCTCCCAGGCCATAAGCATTATATGAGAGTGATGATGCTTGCCCCCGGCCCACCCTGGCCACTGCTGTCTTTCAAGTCGTTCCAGATTGATTCTTGTCGCCCTGCTCTTTCAATCCGGACTTCTTCTCTACCGACTTTTTGTTGGATCCACAGCTCAGCAGTTCCGATGTAGACTTCAGAGTCTCCACGTTGACGAACAGTTGTGCATGGTCCAGCCACAGGCTGCTCACCGCCTTTCACAATTTATGCGTCATGCAATTCATTGTACGTAGCTAGCTTGCAGCGACCTGCTCGATCTGTACCGTAGCTCGAGGTCCTAAATCCCAACCTCTGTGTGTGTGTCCGTCCTTTTGATGTCCGGACTTTTCGTCGAGGTCATCTCGCATCCAGGCACCAAAAACAAGAAGCAGCGCTGGGCACTCGGACCGTCACGCTGAGCCTCCCGATTAGGAGAAGTAGACATTGCGTCAGGCAGATGCACATAATCAACCGATCCACTAACCCTCGATCCTATCTACGTTTCTTAACTTTACGTGACGTACGAAACCATCTCCACAGGTTGGCATTCGGGCCATAATGAAACCCCGATGCTCTACCATATTAGCTGCTTATGTCACCGAAGACTACAGGCCGACACAAAAAATTTAAAAAAATCTCGAGGTTGAAGAGAGGTTCAATCCGGTTTCCTTTTCGCGAGCCTCCAGGAGCATCTGCAACGATACAGGCTAGCAGCTGAACGGTCCGGTGGACATGTTTGACCACTTTGGATCCTGTGGTCGGGTACACGAGATTCATGGCAATAACGTACGACAGAGAGACGAATGAGACGTCATGAGATATACATTGTGCGTATGGACGCACGTAGGCCGCGTAAGTTGTCTACCGATCTATCTTCTAACGTTTGGATCGTAGTAAACCCCATCGCTCTGATGCAGAAGTATATCCTTGAATGGCAAGAAAAGGATGAACAGATATGGCGGACAAAGCTTCTCTCTCTTTTACATCTCATGCCATAGAAAAGATGCCGTCACCAGCATTCTAGTCCTACTTGGAGAAAGTTGCAACTTTGCCCTCCGTCGTTTCCTCAGAGTCCCGTCAAACACAGTATCCGGCAGGAAGGAGGTGTATTCAATACGGTCTACGACATGTATTATCAGCTTCATGGTCACTGACCTGAATCCAAAGGTCAAATGTCAAAGGTCGGGTAAAAAGCTGATTTCAAGACCCAATACGAGCTTCATTATTTATCGATGGTTGCGTACTCTCAGCAAAGGCTCATGGACGAATGAAGTGACGAAGAGTTTTGTTGTCCAAGAATTCGCGTCTTCCATGCAATTATCTTTGCAAACGTTATAAGTACGTGCTAAGCTGGGTTGTAATATTGTTGCATAATGTGACAGATTTAGCCGGATTCAATTATAAGCGTCTAATGGGGTCTAGAACGTGTGGAGAATGAGTGGATCATGGACGAGATCACTCCACGCCATGAAAAACAGGCAACGGATAACACACTTCAATAAAAACTGTGTGCAGAGCATTTAGTCCATTTAGCGTCATAGCTAGAATCTCAGTTCCTACTGCTACTTGCTCCTTGCGAAACTTGTTCCAAGCCTCACTCGAACGAAGAATTGGATTCTCAACAAACATCTGATTGGCCTGACATTCGGATCTTTGTCTTCAAACAAATAGCAAACTTCAATGGGAGATAAGCACAAATGAAGGAAGACGCCATGGTACTGCGGAAAACTGCACTTGGTAAAGGAGTCATGAGTTTGGATTTTCCCTTCCTTCATGATTCCCCCTTGACATGGCCTTGACTACGAAATGAATTGGTCCTCGATTGAAGGTAATTGAGGCCGCCCCTTGACCTGCAACACTGTCCAGAAGCCGCCACGGATCATCTGCACATCATCAGCGTGGCTAGGAAACTGGGACGCTGTCCTCAGGACAACGAAGGAGAATCGGACAGCAAGCATCTTCCGAGTATGCTGTCCGTAAGCACGATAGCGGGGCATGTGCCACACATCCCGAGCCCATTTGTCAATGCCTGGGGAGTAGCGGACGAGGACCAAATAATAAGGGACACGTGCCCCGAGCCAGAGGAGAAGTAAATCGATCGAGAAGCAGAATCGCTCAAGAATGCCGATCCCTACGCTCCATCGATCAGCCGCTACTGCTCTCGGTTTCGTACCAGTTTCTCTCGACGCGTTAGCTTTTCGTAGAGCGAATCTTGTGGGGGCGAGGAAGTCGATCAATTTGACGAGGGGAAGAAAGAGTGTCGGGCATTGTTGCGCTATGGCCGAAACGAGCGAAGGATTGACGTCCACATCCGACCCGCAACACGTCGTGATCTGCGGGGCCGGTGTCATCGGATCGTGCACGGCGTATTATCTCGCCAAGAGAGGTGCGCGCGTGACAGTGGTGGAGAAGACGGCTGCCGCTTGCGCTGCGTCAGGGAAGGCCGGAGGATTTTTGGCCCTGGACTGGTGCGATGGCGGCCCATTGGGAAACCTGGCCAGAGCGAGCTTTCAGCTGCACGCCCAATTGGCCGACGAGCTCGACGGAGCGAGCTATGGATACCGGAAGGTCGACACTTTGAGCGTTTCCATTGACGAGAGTGCCAGAGCCAGCGGCCGACCTAGCGCTGGATCGTCTGCTCCGGAGTGGGTCACGGGCCCTGCCAAGAGTGCGAAGCCCATCGGCTCCACCAAAACCACAGCTCAGGTCCATCCAGAGCTCTTCACAAAGAAGGTACTCTCGGTCGCTGTGGAGAAGTACGGGGCCAAGTTCATGATCGGGGAAGCTCAAGAGCTCAATGTCGAATTGGATGGGCTAGTGCCGCGCGTGAAAGGGCTATTCGTCGATGGCGAATTGATCGAAGCAGATTCGGTCGTCATATCTATGGGGCCTTGGTCTGCCACTAACAAATTGGTTTCTGCTCTCACCACAATCTCGCCTCTCAAGGCACACAGCATTGTCCTACGACCCAAGCCGGAGGCCGCAATCACACCACATGCGCTGTTTTTGACCTACAGAACAAAGGAGGGAGTTACCATGGACCCCGAAATCTACCCCAGACCGACGGGGGAGGTTTATGTCTGTGGCATGTCCGAAGAGACAACACTTCCATCGGTCGCAGATCAAATCTTCCCGAAGAAACAGTCGATTGCAATGTTACAACGAGTGGCAGCCACTGTCTCCTCGCACTTGGGAGATGCAGAGATGGTCACAGAGCAGGCCTGCTTCTTGCCGTGTTCCGAGGACAGCCTTCCTGTGATTGGGAAGCTTCCCAACGTCGAAGGAGCGTACGTCGCTACGGGCCACAGCTGCTGGGGAATCCTGAACGCACCAGCCACAGGAGCTGCGCTTGCAGAGCTGATCACAGACGGTGTGTCCAACACAGTGAATCTGAAGGCTTTCGATCCCGCGAGATTTAGCAAACCGGTCAGTGCCTACTTCGGAAAGTCCACTGCTTAGATCGGCTGTCGCCCCGCAGTTGGGATGTACATACGACGACCATCAGGTTAGAGAAGAGTTGTAAATATCGTCATGAGAAGGCGTTGCCTGAGTTGGGTACTCTTACGAGATAGCTAGATCAGGAAATGCGAATGACTTAGGAGTGTGACTGTATGGAGCACCTCTGTTTGTAGCCCACAATATTTTGAAAAACGAGATGAAGCACTTTACTGCGTGTTCTCGAAAACTGTTCCGGAGACACAGTGGAAATATCAAATTGTCTCCTGAATGTGTCCGAGTTCAGAGTGTAATTTAGTACTTTCTCAGCTCATTTCCTACCGCAGTAAACAATCTTGTCCACTATACGAGGCAACTAGTGTCAAATACGTCCTACATCCACATCATCCATTTACAGCACAGGAACTCCTCGGAGAAGTTGGAGAAAACATCAGACTGCTATGTTCAATCAAAAGCAGTACACGCTTATAACGTAGAGATCATTTCAAAAGCAGGCATAGCCTGGGCATGGCACAGAAGCTCGTCTCTTCAGCTGTTGTGGCTGGAGAACCTTTATGGACATCTCCAAGTCTTCGCTCCCCAAGGGCCAACAGTGATCCATCCATCACGACAACATCGAAATTTGTAGAAGGATAATGTCGTGATTGCTGGAACATTGTTGATATCAAACTATTGTCTGGTAAGAAGAAACACTATGCACGAGGAGTAGCTGTAATTAAACGTTCGACAAACTCGTGTGAAAATTCTGAACCCTACATTACTAAATTATATTCTCTTTTCAGCAAAAAATCGGGGCATTTTACATATGTAGAGTGCTAGTGGGTGATATGGAATACCTGATATATGTGAAGTGCGTTCATTTGAATATCAGTTCTATACGCCGGCTGCGGCCAGAACTCAACTTTGTCATCACTCACCGACTGGCTGGCTTCCATACTTCAAAAAAATTCTCCATGGGTCTTTAAATCATCACAGCCTAGATAAAACCCCGGGCCCAGTGGTAATATATACTTGTCAGATTTTGGCTAATTACTAGAGACAGCAGCCTGAAATTGTAGTTACTTCCATGCTCCTGCAATCCCCATCCTGTCTTCGTCTCATTTTGTCGTAGATTTTGGAAGTGAGAGAATAGGCTGAAATACGACACACGCGCAAGTCAACACTACCCATCAGCAACTGTAGTTGAACTTTTTCAGGAAGCTAGCAGAGCTATATAAGACAAATCAGAATGTTCGGTGTTTTAGTTTGGCGACTACAACGTGCTAAGTTGGCAGTAAAGACTCAAGTGGTAAAACCAGTCTACAGAGAGCAAGTTAGCTCTTTCAAGGCGTACAGGTGTAAATCAATAGAACAAACGCTAAACCAACGAATTTGAGCAGGCTCAAATTCCTTACCTTTCTCCACCTATTTGCACGTTGCATCGCTTGAAATCCATCTTAGCTTGTAGAGCTTGCAGTCTGCAACTTCCGTACAATCTGACTGATTGATCTACGTCAGAACAGTACAGTGCTGGAAGAGTTGAATGTTCAGATCACCTAGCTTGCATGCTGTCACTTCAACCATCCATCAAGAGAGCGTTGTCTTGGCTTATTGTAGAGAAGCCTTTTGCTGGCCTGTGGACAACGCCATTCTTGGGTCTGCTCATGGTCCTCGGGCACTTTAGCTTTTGCATGGTGACTATTCGACCCGACAGGCGATGACGATTGGGTTTTTACTGAAGAATGACTTTTCCCGATAGTGCTTGTAACCAACAGTGTAATTTGCTTGGGTCCTGCGTCCAGGATGTGCGACTGTTTCAGGGTCTGGAAGGAAGTTTTAGAATGATTTGATGAACTCGGATGCTCCTCACCAGGAGGTAAGAAAACTGCAAAACGAGTATCACCTACGATTAATTACTCTGGAGATGATCTACTTCACCAAGGAAAGGCGTACGTATCGATGGAAAGCTTGATCAGAAACATACGTACCGTTGTCGGATTGCAGTTCTCTTTTTATTGTCTTGAACGTGGCCGACATGGCGGCATCCAGTTGCTTTAGTGTTCTATGACAGCCCACGTTCTCCTTCCCCGTGGGATACGTTTGCTCAGATGGAAAGATCTCTCGCACTGCAGCACGAGCCAAATTCTGCAAAATAAAATAAGTGTATGTCAGAGGTTGAAGGAACCATGTTGAAGACTATCTGTATGTCGATGCGATAACTCCAAGTTGAAATGCAACTGAGAATGACCAATGAAACAGCAAAAATGCACATCATGCAAGGACAGAACTTGAGTCATCGTTGCTCTCCGGTTATGCAAGTATTAAATCGAGATCAATGAACTCTTTTGACAAACACATATGATCTTCTAGTGGCCGATCTTCAGTTGAAATCAAAACAGACGAAGTTACCAGTTCATACCTCAAGACATTCTGCCTCAATTTTCACACCCTTCAGTTCGTAGCTCTGTTTTGCTTCGGTAACTCGTCCATATTTCTCATCAGTAACAATGCTTGAAGATAATCTAAGTGGTCTCAAAGGACTGCGACATGGAGCGGTATTGCCTCCCAATATTCTGCCAAGTTTAATAACGGAGCGCGTTGGAGTAGTCGGCGACCTCATGTCATCACGCGATAAAGGGAGGTTCTGATTTTTTCTCTTCTTTATACGGCCATTTACAATACTGTGTTTTTCTGTCGTACGGTCAAATACAGGAACATCTAGCAAGCCCGCAGAGATACCTGTTTGAAGTGCAGAAACAGTGTTCAGCCCCATGAAGTTAGGCTCAAATGGAGCTGGACGAGAATGGCAAAGATCATATCTTGGTATTGACAGATATCCCGATGGAAAGAAGCAACATTTCATAGCTGAGTAGTTGTCGCTTCGAACCTTTTGTTTCTGCAAACAAAATTCCCTCTTTTCCAACAAGCACTGTCGACAATACTATCCACCTTGAAGTCAAGAGGAATTCATCAAAACATTCCAGCCAACTCCCCGCCCAAGCAAGTAGCGTTGTCATTATCAGGCTGAAACAGAAGAAGATTAAATACTGAACTGAAGCATGACTAACGCATTCACCTGCAGACCCAACTGCCACCTGAGATTCGGTTGTCGTCACTAAATCTTGGGAATGTAGAAGTGGGAAGCCGGTCTTAGTTTCGTGGCCTATATGCTCAGCGCTATCGGAAGACTTACAGTTGACAAGACCATCCTTTGAAATATCTGCGTTATCCTCGACATCTGCAATTCACAATTTATGCCAATTGAACATTTGTGAATAAGTATATCACTTTCTACTTTACGACAAAGGAACATCTTCTGACGTTTGCAGAGCTTGAGGGGAAACTGCAATGCATGTATTAGCTTCAGCTCATATAAAACCTTGAAGAAATTGTACATAAAATCAAGACTAACGTACGTACCATTCCTTTGAGAGTGTGACTCGCTCCGGTTGAGAAAGGGACTCACTTTACTAGAATTGTTTTCTGCCAAGTCCAGGGACGCAATAGGTTGTACAGCCGATAAGTCCTTACTGTCTACCCATGGCGAAGGAGCTTCTGCAGGCAGAGTTCAAGTTTATGTTCAATATAGTGTCCTGTTCTCTCGACCTTATTCTGCTGCTGACCTTGATGGGTTTCAAAAGGTCACTTGCCAAGACAATTGAGCTCTGAATTTTACGTAAATGAAATGGAACCTGAGAAGAGCTACAAACATACCTTGATGGGTCCTCGAATGTACAAGACGGGGTTGTTTTCGAGTGTCATTATGGAATTCATCGAGAGGTATCTGCGATTTCTGCTGTCCACGAGTCAGTTCTGCGTGCTCCAAAGATTTCAATGATAAAAGATCACTTTGCCTGTTGAATCCCACCTCCAAGTCTGCATGCCAGACTATGTGATGTTAGTCTTTTAATCCATATACTACAACTTTAGCTCTGTCAGGTAGCTGGCAACAAGTTGTGGACCTGTTGCAAGTTGATGAAGCGAGAGGTGAAAAGGCAACATACTGTGTTCATGATCGTCGAGAGCCGCGGGAGACCGAAGGGTATTGTTCTCGCCCACAAAAAAATTTGAAAGAGACCTTGGACTATCCTTGATATCGCCCGAATCCGAAAAGCCCGATGTATTTGGTGATGAATTCATTGGTGTATCTAGATAGTTCACAGATGTCTTGCCTACTGGTTCCACGCATCTTCTTTCGAATTCTGCAAATCCACATTTAGGGTGTGAGCAATCTAGGCTATGTGAGGTTTTCGAAGGTGTCATTACTTTCAACGGAGACATCAGACTTTGTTAAAGACATGCGTGTAGCTACCTTGAGTTTCGAGGGAAGCTTGAGGACACGGCGGTGTTTCTGCTTCACGTAGAGGACGAATGAGAGCTTGCGAAATGGCCTCACCGTCAGCAAAATCCCAGCGACCCAGGGATGACCTCTCTATGGACTCGCACTCTAGAGACGATAGATGGTCTGATCTGGCAAATCTGATTTCAAACTCTGCATGTCCAAGTGCCAGAAGTGTCATTCGAACCGATTACTTGCGAGCATTGCATTTGCCAGTGCAAAGACATATGTGAAACTATACCTTGAGTATCGAGGGAAGGAGGAGGACACATTACGGCCTCCGGATGATCAGCGGAAGCCTGAGACTTGGCCTCCCCAGCTGCCAAATCCCAGCGTCCCATGTCAAGCGATGCTGTTGTTTCGATACTGTCTGGAAAGACCGCTGGAAACAACGGGTATTGGCTCACACATTTGTCTTCGATAACTGAAATTGACAAAATTGAGCTGTAAGCAGTCCGGTAAAAACTACTGTTAAAAGCATCAGTCAACTTCAAATTGACTTCAAAACAATCTTACCTTGACTGTCGAGACATATGGATGCGCTCATAGGAAATTGAGAATCGCCTACGAAGCTCATATTGTTTTGATATTGAACTTCAGATTGCGTCCAGTCCAAGCTTTCAGAATCACAGAGTGAAGAGGATAAGAGCTTATCCATTATGGATCTTTACAGAGATTGCTGTTTAAAGCTTGTGGCTGGAAACGTAAATTCAGAGCTCTGTCATTCTGCGTTCCCTATCACTCTTTTGCTCAAACTATGCATCGATTCGAAATTATTCTCAATTCCCAGCTGCTTTTTCCATTCTTGCACTTCAAGGATGCAAATTGCAGTAACAAGTCCAGCACTTCCGATGAAATTTCCCCAAACATCCATCGATCCGAGACTCTCAATTTTGCACGGATTACTTAACAAGGACGGTTCAAAGACAATTCATTGAATAAACTTAGAGCCGGGATCGTCGACAACATCGAACGCAGAATTTCACGTTTGGAGTGTGGTCCACAATTCTCGCTGTATTCAAACGCGTATCGGGCACTCTTTCTCGGCGCGCCAATTTGGCACATTTGAAACTTGTACAACGTGGAAAAAAGTCCACGTCACATTGTACACGTCAGTCCAAGCCGTTATTGTTAACTTCAACCAAAGCATAACTGCGAAAGCTATGACTGGGCCTGCAAGGGAAGTAAGCCTTGACCCTGATGTTCATTATTGATACACCAGTTGTCATTCCGTTGTGATGCTATCTGGGCCTAGCCCCATCTTACTCGTTCGGATTCATCGATGTTCGACTTGATGAGGTATTCCCCGCCCATAGTTATAGTATTCGGTTTCTTCTCGACACACGTGGTGATAAAGGGAAATAATATATGTTTGGACTTGTATACCATTAACGCCCCCAAGGCCGAGGGTTTTACCGTGACGTCTGTTGTTTGACTTGGTTCTTATGTCCTGGTGGGTGCATAACGTGATTCTTGTAGCAGGAGTAAACATTAATCTATCCTCCATAATTATACTCACGAAAATAATTGGTCACAATCTATACGACTGGATGATGATTCTTTACATGATAAGAGAGAGAAAGAGTGGTAGATTTATAGAAAAATTTATACATCCAAGACATTTACAACTGGATAAGATTCGCAATCCAAAAGAGCTAATAAAGATATCACAGAGTCACGCTCGGTAGAGAATCATAAATAAGTAGTTGTCAAACTATGAATAATTTAGTAATTTGCATGTTGATTCTTACTCTCAATCGTCATAAGCCATGAATAAGAATTTGAATAAAAACATCAAATATTAACATGATACTTCTACATTGATGAAGTAATGTGATACTTATGTTCGTGTGCATGGCAAACGCATCAATATATAATATAATATCCAGAAAACGACTTTCGCCAATATTATGCTTTTTTTATTCTACATGTCTACAAATAAGCCTTCTTTGTAAAACATAAGATACGTCGGTGTAATCTTAGATTACGTTCATGACTTCATAATGTTAGCGTGTGATGTATATACATATGTAAAAACTTTACTGACGGTGATGAAGTTGTAACTACTTACAGATCATAATCCACCGGCTACTCCAGACGAAATCACATGCATGTGCTCAGGTATATATTTATCTTGAAATTATTTTTTTAAATTCAAGGTGTGCAATATCTTAGGTATATAAAATAAATTGATATATATATCCCACTTTATTGTCGTCATCGAGGTTGGCACATGAATTGACAGTCGTCCTATTCTTGAAACCTCAAAGAAATATTTTTTTCAATGCTGATTAGAGAGTAGAAACATGTGTGAGGCACATGAAATTAAATAAGTGAACACCGAAGCATTCTGAAGATTCCACAAGGTCCAGTGCACGGGAATTTTTAAGATTCAAGCATTCATCTCTGCATGCAAAATGGGGTGATACGGGTTTTTCGTGTCCCTCTGACCGGTTCGCGAGGTTTGTTACAACAGTAAAGCCTCCCAGGAAACTTCGCTTCAGAAAAAGTAGAGTAACTTTTCCCTACTGGGCATTTTTTAAGGGAGCTGAAAGTTGTACCACGATCACTCATGAATTGCAAACTTTCTGCTTAAATATTTGTGATAGCCTTAAATAAATAAATAAGTATCCCTCAAGCGCTTTAGAAATCAAAAGGCAATCCAGAAAACATTTCTTAATGATCGGTTCATATTTCCTTTTGCTAACTATGGAGCTTTCCTAAGTGGATGTCATCAATAAATAATCTTTAAAGGGTGCCGTTCAGCTGCCCATTAAACCAACGCATTTGTAATCAGGAACACGAAAACTCATCGTTGGTCATCTGAAAGGTACGGGTTAAACTTTAGAGGAAAATTGAATGTATTGCGTAACTCTAGACTAACTAAAAGTGTCGTAGATATCCATTTGTCTGCCTCGAGGTTTGATGGACATGGAAAATACGTTTGACAAACAGGCTCATTGAGCTACGCCTCATTGTAGCAATGCTTCTGAGGACCATATAGCGAACCCTATTACGTGCAATTGATAGTTCAGATGTAGAAGATGCTCTATGACATATATCTCATCTACCGGGGTCTAGCCCCTGTTCTTTGTACGTTGTTTGGCTTCACAAAGCTTTCCCATATTAATTATCTAATCCACATGGCCTCGATTAATCTATTTACGTGTAATACAAACATGATGAGTTTCGGTTTGGTACTCTAAACTTTGTTGATGGAACGAGAAATCCCCTATGACAAGATAAATTGTATATAATTGTAGATAAGCTCATATTGATAATTAGGATATATCAAATGAAATACTACATATACACTATTAAACTGATCATATTATTCGAATAAATAATTTCTTTTTGTTCAGTTTAATGTTTTCCCATTATCTGTTAAAGTCCATGCGAACCTAATTCTCTATTGGAGTTGATTTTACGAAGCTGCGAGAGATTACTGTACTGTGAGATATGGGCATTCTGCAGCGGGGCCAAGTGAAATGCAAAACGTTGGCTGCGAATTCGTCGGCGAGAGCAGAAAGCTAGCTGAGCAAGGGAACAGCAATAAGACAACCCGTGACTGGGAAATTTGATTGCGAATACTACTAGTCGGTATTGCAGTAGTAAAATTGTCGCTGAGGGGTGGAGTCTGTGACCTGCTATTGCCGGTAACGACGCGCGACCGTCCTGTGGGGCCGCCGCGCACAGCAGTTCAGATTCCGGAGAAGTGGAAGACAGAGAGAGGATGGCACGAAGTCAGCGAAGTGAAGGGAATGCGTACCCGCTAGGCCCCCTCGTGCCCGGGCCCTGGGACCATCACTTCCCGCCCGTTCTCTTCTTGCGCCTCGTCGTCAGACAGTCAGTCACTCATCACTCTTTCGTTCGCTCCCTCGCTCGTCCCGCAGCTACTCACTCTTCCGACAATCAAGCAGCCTCCGCACTGCACCTCGAGCGTATCCGAGTCGAGCGTCGAGAGCTACTTGATCGCGATCGAAGGATTCTGTTCGGGATCAGTGTCTGGACAGTGTCACTGTAGATGCGCTGAAGCTGGAGGAATTCTTTTTTCTTCTTCTCTGAAAGTGGGGACTCAGAGCGCAGCGAGTGGAGTGATCGTGAATTGTGCCGCGTCGCCGGCTTGGAGCCGGGTCTTGGGTGCCGAGGATCGGGTCGTGCAGAAAACCGACGATGAGGTAGATGATCCGGAGGAGGAGCTTTTTGAAAACGCCGGACGCGAAGGAGGATGAGCATTGGTGAAAACTGCCGTTGATGGCGTCGGCCGGCGATCGAAGAGCGTTCTTGGCTGTTAGCTGCATCATTTTGGAGAAAAGTTGGAGATTAGGTTTCTCTGGAATCATCTCCAGCTGAATCCAGTCGGGGGCATGGAATTCAGTGATACTTACAAGCATAGTGGCCCTTGTTACTTCTCACCGGATTCGAGGTTCATTGCTGTTGCCGTGGATTACCGCCTGGTCATCCGCGATGTGACCTCTCTGAAGGTTCTGGCACCTTCTCTTTCATACCCACCTGCTGTTGCCCGACCTCTGTCAGTTTTTTAGTTCGATCGATTCGATGCTTATGCGTTCGTCTATTTGCCTCACAGTTTTTTAAAACATATGCATTTTAGGAACTTTCGCATTGTGTACATCACAGCAGTCGAGTATGTTGGCCAATGTTGAGTATTATAGGCTTGTGAGGTCCTGTGAACCACGGAGAAGAAATATGCCATATCACTATTCGCGAATCTACTGGAGAAGCGATCATGTGCATTTTAAAAGCATATTGATTGTCTGCAGCAAATGATGGTTTTTCAGATTACATCAAGTCTCTCGTTGTATGACGTTGGATGTTGCAGTCGTCTTCCGGATCATGCTTGAATGTATGAGGTCACCTGGGGGAGCTTTTAACCCTCTTTCATGTGCAATGCAGGTTGTTCAGCTGTATTCTTGCCTTGACAAAATTAGTCATGTCGAATGGGCACCCGATTCCGAATACGTTCTTTGTGCTCTGTACAAAAAGTCTATTGTGCAGGCGTGGTCAGTCACACAGCCTGAATGGACTTGCAAAATTGACGAAGGAGCTGCGGGCATGACTCATGCCAGATGGAGTCCTGACAGTCGTCACATACTCACAACTTCGGAGTTTCTGCTCCGTGTAACTGTCTGGTCGTTGGTGAGCAAGGCTTGCGTGCACCTACAATGGCCCAAACATGCTTCGCGAGCTGTCTCGTTTACTCAGGATGGGAAGTTTGTGGCAATCGGCACTCGCAAAGATTGCAAGGATTACATCAATTTGCTTTCATGCAATGGGTGGGAAGCGATGGGCGTTTTCGAGACGGAGACAACAGATTTCTGGGATTTGGAGTGGTCTCCGAAGGACAGTACCATTGCCGTCTGGGATTCACCTCTTGAATACAAGGTCTATTTACCCACTTTCTCTAGCTAAGCCACAGTGCCTAAGATGAATGCTTCGACTATATTCATTAATGTCTTCTTCATGTTTCTCCTTAGCTGGGTGGTCGATTATGTTTTATCAGCCCACCTCAGTGATACTTCTTGCTCATACTCTCGCACGTCAGTCCACAGGTTCTCATCTATTCTCCAGATGGACGTTGCCTGTTTAAATATTCAGCCTACGAAAATGCTCTTGGAATAAAGACGGTGGCATGGTCACCATGCGGACAATTTTTAGGGGTGGGTAGCTACGATCAAGCAGTACGAGCATTGAACCACCTAACATGGAAACCTGTTGCAGAATTCACACACCCGATTGTCGTGAAAGGCCCATACAACGCTGTTGTCTTTAAGGTACTTGATCATATCAGCAGCCCCTTATTTCAGCTGGTTTATTTTTTAAAGTATAATACACATATCATAACATGTAAGTGTTTCCTGGTCTGAAGTCTAATCTTAGTATCTTCATCGTTGGATATTGTGCAGGAAATTGAGGAATCTCTTCACATGGACATCTCGAAGTTGAACATAAATGGAAAGAGTTCACATGATCGGATGGGTTTCAAAGGAGATCATGGTATGGATTACCATTTTGCCCAATTGAAATAGAAAAGTCTTCGAAGGTGTAAAGAATTTTAGATGCAAATTTGAAATACGCGAGTCAAATCAAATGTGAAATATGAAACCAAAATATTGATTCCTGATTTGCATTTTATCTGATGTCAGTCTGTTATTTTCTCTTTAGAGTTAAGAGCACTGGAGGCAGATGTTTGTTGTTAAGTGGACCCTGTCTCGTGTTTTTTTGGTGCAGGAGGCTACAGAGAAGATGATAGACATGAGGGCCCTACGAGAATCCGCTATGATGTTCTTGAGTTTCCAGTTACAATGATATCTGTCAAGCCGCCTCTCGACAAACCTAATCCCAAGCAAGGCATTGGTTCGTAATACTGGGAATCTTCGAAATATTTTTTCCTTGTCATGTCCTAACGACTGTGTGAAGCACATGTTTATTCATGCTATTTGCAAGAACACTTTTGCGGCATCTCTGATTGTGATCTCTGTTGGGCTCACTTATTGAAGTGTTTTGGCGTATCGACTGCCTAAATCTATCTATATATATTTATGCAAATACGTATCGTGATTCATCTGGTTATAAGGTTTATTTAGGCTAAACATAATTTGTTGCAAGTAGTAATTTTATGAACAAAATATGTGGCTCATATTTGTAGTGAAAGTTCCAGATACACATTGGGAGTATAGATCGATGCTAACAAGGTTACAAATTTTGACTTTCAGGTATACTTTCATGGAGTCCAGATAGTCGGTTCCTTCTGACTCGGAATGACAACATGGCAAATGCCCTTTGGATTTGGGATGTTGCACGCTTGGAACTTTCAGCTGTTCTTCTCCACAAGGATCCAATACGGACTGCCGTATGGGATCCTGTCCATACTCGTATTGCTCTTTGTACTGGAACTTCAAGTCTCTTTCTTTGGACTCCAGCCGGTGCTTGCTGTGTGAATATTCCTCTGCCACAGTTTGTTGCATCTGATCTTAAGTGGAATCCAGATGGGTCGTCCTTGCTCCTGAAGGATAAAGAAGCATTTTGTGTTACATTTGTGCCCTCTATCTCTGATTTTGAGGAAGCTAATGGTCAATGACGCAAGTGGTGTCTTGATTTTCCTGCAGTATGCCTGCTTCTATGTCAGGGTATGTAAAATTTCCCTCGATGAAGTTAGTCAAAACTGTCGAAGAAGCTGAATGCCAAGCTTGACCTGAACCCTGTACTAGTAGAGAAGAGGCAGCTTTGTTCTTTGAAATCTTGCGCCACTGGAAGTTGGCAAACTGGAGGAGTAGGTTTTGTAGCTCTAACAGATATGGGATAGTTGTCGATGATTTAGCTTTTTCTGCAAGAAAGGTAGGACTATTGCAACTCATTGACGTTTTTTGTAATAGACAGTTCAGCTTCATTTGTTCAGCCGTTGATATTTCACCGGAGCTAAGTTGCGTCCAGGCCCAATAGTGGGGATTGTATAATCCTAACATGGTTGTTGTTCGAATTTCTGAGACAGGAGTTGTAGAAGTATTTATTGGGGTTTCATTCTACCCCACAAACATGCGCTTTTCAAGCAGCATGTTAAAATTTGTAGTACCAGGACGGTCTAGAGGAGGAAGTCAAAGAATGATGTAATGCCGGAGAACAACATGAGCTGAACTTGTTATGCCGGAGAAAAAAGCGAGCTGAACAACCGGCTAACTTTTTTTGCTGTTCTCATTATGCAAGCTACTTTCGTAGGATAGCCACTAACTATGAAGAACTGAATTTCCTCTGTAGTAGCTCGAGTAGGAGTTCATGGAGCATCTGTAGCCTTCTGAACTCTCAGAAGTTGACACCAGGCTAAATAACTGTCCTCTTTAGCAAACTTCCTTGGAAGTTTCGGGTGTAATCTATTGTATATGGGGACGAACTCAAGTCTTGAATAAAGTAATGGTCGAGAACATCTCAAATTGTGGTTTCATGTGGGCTAGTCTGGTCTCGTGAATTCGTTTAGCGACTGTCGTAAAGCCAGTTGCTTCCAAGATATCAGAAGCTTAAAGACCTAATTCGGGGCAGGTTTGTTACCGGAAAGTCGGGTTGGAAATAGCGAAAGCCTGCCCTGCTGACGAGGCAGCTCAAATGCCTGTATTTTGGGATGTATGGCCCCCGCTCTGCTCCAGAGCTTTACGCTAAAGACTGCCGTCTTTGCTTATTATTATGAAACTTCGAGGTTAATCTGCTTTCTTAGAAATATAAAGGTGTCTAGTTTCATCATGACTTCCACGTCCGAGTGTGGCCGAATCACACCCATGTGCATGTGAAGCCACACATGCATTGACTCCTTCATTACAAGGTCCAAAATTTGCCGTTTGTTGGTTATATATTCTCTTTTTGCTAGTACCATGTTGGTTTGACGCTAGCGATGAAGCTCTCTGTGATTACAGCACTTGACCAGCGGATCAAGTAAGAGCAAGTAGAAAGCATTGAATGACAGGATACTAGAGGCCAGGAATTCGTCTTATTCTATATGACCATATCTATCAGTAGCCCCCGTTCCCGAAGCCATTGCAGAAGCCTTTTTTTCCTGCTTTCTCTACCCTGTCAAAACCAAGTGCTCTCGTTTCGGTTCGTTATCAGTTGGAACATTTGGAACTTTCTTATACCCCCTTGAACCCACCGTTGGCCCTTCTATAGCTGAACAGGAGACAACTATCTACGTGTCAAACTTGTTACGATGGAATATGTGACACAATGATTGTGAGACGTACGTATCCCTACCATTTTGGAATTGTGTTGACGTTTTTAAATCGTCTTGGCGTATGAAGCCACCAATCTTATAAGAAAGCGAAGGCCAAGATAAGGCTCGACTTTCTTTTTCGATGCGAAGACGAGAATGTCGACCTGTTTGTCGTGTTCCTAACGAACTCCGATACTCCACATACCAACTCTCAATACTGTAGTGCACAAACTTGCCTGACCGTATCGTGAACATGTGACCACATTAAATGCATGCCCCCTATATATATTTCTAAAGCAATATTTGTGACACTCAAAGTTGTTATATCTCCAATCCAATCGAGGTTAACCCTGCCTCGACTAAAAAGTTTCTAAATGTGTATGTGAGGAAAATTCTCGGAGATGTTGCAAGATATATCATGAGACACGAGAGATTTGCTTGATGGTACCCCTGCGGAAAGTAATTTGCTTGGTGGTACCTTTTAGGTTTCATTTTAACCGATGGGACCCCATGAACGATGCACCGTCACCCATGTTCTAATAACAACTAGAGAGAGTCCACCGCACCCGCAGACAGAGTGGACTTCGCACTCCATCATACATTTGTTTTTATGTTGTCATTCTGTATCCGGCCACTCTCCAAGGAGACGAGCAAAAAAATGTTCATCCGGAGTTTATTTGTTCGCCACAAATGGGTGATCGTGAGATTTGAGCTCGGACCACGCAGGGTTACGGAAAGAGTGTGCAGGTGGGAGTCAACAGAGAAATCCGCGAATCTTTGCGATAAGACGAATTGAAGCACAACAAATTGCACTTCGAGCAAAATCGATCTTTGTCTCCGTGATAATCCAACAGAAATTATAATCAGGGATTGATCTCTGATTGTAATTCTCGCATTGTAACTAGTAGTAATCGTAGTTACAAGAACTATGTCTGACGGCACACCGTCGTTGGGGTCCCATCAAGCAAATTACTTTCCGCAAGGGTCCCATCAAGCAAATCTCTCCATTAGACACCCCACGTGTGCATGAGTGTTAAACATGCTCAATCATTGAGAAGTGAGTTTTGACATGTCGAGTTACAGCACGCAGAGGTTTATATCTAAGAATATATGTCGTTTGTGACATCGTCTTGATTCTGATTTTGGTGCATTGGTCTTGCAAGTGAATTTGGACTACATTTGAAATTGGATGAAGAATTGTTGTTCAAATGAAGAAAGGTTGCTCATCAATGATTGTTGCTTGAAACCAAGTTCAGCTTCAAGTAACTTTATTCTCATGATATAATAATATTTTCTAAATACTAATAACAGTTCATATCCAAAACTATCATAAAAGGTACCAGAAAAGTAACGTTTACGATTTTAAAAGAGTTCGATAAATAATATTGAACAAAAGTTAGGGTATTTTCAAATCTGCAGCATAGCTTTAATATGCTATTGCGTAGTCTTTTTGGTATCAACCGTAAACGTTAGGGTTAATGGTCTAGTAATGCAAGATCGTAAGAGAATTTTAAATTTGTGGTAAGGACTAAAATTATATCTAACATTCAGTGTCATGTGTTTCATTCATCTCTCTACATAATTGTAAAGCTTTACAAGTGAAAAAAATATTTTTCTTGGCATTATTTCTCACTTCGTATACATTTCCAGAATTGCAATTTGAAAGAAATTTGTATGAAAATGACTTTCTATCAATGAAAAAGTCATTTTCATTGATATTGATTGATCATTCATATTTATTGCGAAGATACAACATCAAAATAGTTTGATTTTGTTTTATTTAAAAGATCAGTGAATTTAAGTGGGTAAATAAGGTCCATCTGAATGTTTTTACAATATTGTTCAAGATGAAGATAATATTTTATTTGAATTATTGTGATATAAATTGATTTCTACTTATTGTGTTATGTGAAGCTTGTGTTACATATAATATCTTTTGTCTTTAAGTCTGAAGAATAACCCGGACATCGCAAAACCAAGTTAATGTTGTTGGTATTGGGTAAGGTAATTTTGGCTGTAAGTCTAATTAAATCTAGTGTATATACCATACATTTCTTTCTTTCTTTCTTTCTCTATATATATATATATATTATTTATGTTATAAAATGATAAAATGTGATTTTTAATGATAGAATGCAAGTTTGATGTTGTACTTGGTAACTAGAATTGGATGTAATTCAATTAGTCAATTGAGACAATGTCAATCACGACAATAGTTTAAAGTATATATTACTAATAAATTTTTTTTCTGTATTTTGATGGATATGCTCAATTCATTCATTTGTTCAGTTTATTGTTGAACATGTCATGGCAAGTACTAAAAACATACATTAAAATATAATTTTGATATTTGAATTATTGTTATGAATATTTCGTGCTATTTTTCACGCAGTAGATTATACTTCTAAGTTTTATTTGACTGTTTTACGTGGCTTATTCATGTTGTTTGTAGAAAATTACCTTTCACCTTTGAGTACTCAAACAAGTGGAAATAACACAATGTCAGTCTCCAGCAAGGAGTCTCTAAGAGAGGTGAATACACGGTGATCTATATTTGGCTGTGATCCACTCAATATCTATCGAAAAGACAAAAGAAAACCATGTATATTTAGTAGGATAGATCATGGTTAGTCAATATCCTGTCTTGTCGGACCTTAGTTCCCGGTGAATATTGAGCTTCTTTGCACAAGGAGAGGGTGGGTTTCCCAACTTTCTAATACTAAATCTCCTGTTCACAGACACGTGGCTAATCTGCTGCATCGCAAAGGCTTCCCTTCACTGTCCAAAGCTGTTCGTCTTCGTCGTTCAATATCACCGAGCATCCACCTCCACCACCACCACTCCTTCTACTACTACGACGAAGGCGGTCAACGTTTGCATCACCCCCCCGTTGAACCGTGGTTGGAGCTCTAAGAAGGGGGCCTGGAAAAAGTTCCCGAGTGCCCAGTCAAAGCTGGAGACAGACGGCAACGGCACAGCAATGTTGTCCTCTGCGGAGCTTCCACAATTATCGGAGCATGTATTGTGCTCCGATGGTCGTATAGAAGGACCAAGCAAGGGAGTACCTATCATCGCAAGCACGGGAGTAGACCAGTAGCTGGGCGATCCCTGTCTTATCGGGGATTTGACGGACAGTCCGATTGTGGTCCAAGGCAGTAGAACGACTTCTGTTTCATGAAGAGGTCTGAATCTCAGATGTGGTGGTGACACAGCAGAATTGTGTGGGTTGGTGTCGCAGTTCCCGAGAATATCAGACTTCCTCAAAGAATCTCCTTTCAGTCGCAGAAGATTGTACTGCTGTGGGTGAGGTGGAATTCTCACCGTGGTGGGATCGCCAGTGCCTGAATCATGTGCCTTTTCTCGTCTGGGTAGGCGTCGAGTGTCTTGCCCGGAGTACGGTGGCGACTGTCGGATGGAGACTCCTGCAATGAAAATCTTAACGCCAGCTAAAACTGCAACCAACTTAACTGCGATTAGCACCTTCATTGACATGCTTCATACATGCTGATAAACGACGATTGACCTCTGTGAATGATATTGTCGAAAGCAGATCAGGTCTGGTCAAAGGGGTTCGCTTTGTGTTGAGATCGTTCAAATTTCGATATAATCTCGCTTTTCTCTGACTATCGAGAATCAGATCTGTTGCGGATTGGGGCATGAGTAAGGAGATTAGTTCAGTAGCCTCTGGTCTTTATCTCACACTGGAATCAGATAACTGATCGTACAACGCTGCTCCGTATAAAAATCTCGATCGGCACATTTCGACAGAGTGAAAAAGTGAGAAGCAAGTGGAAGAGGTTGTCAATGATTGCTCGTCCGTTCGAACGTGCCGAGTGGCAATAAGAATGTTCGTTCATGCGTACGCTGCGATGTGATACTCAAAACGCGCTTCCTTGTGTTTCATGTGGAGCAAGGTCAGATCTTGTGTCCTGTGAAGAGTCGGAAAGGCCGTGAGATTGACATGATTGCCTAGACGATGAGGGAGAAAAATTTAAGAAACTGCAAAAAGATTTTGAATCGCCTCTGAGAACTTTCGTTCGAGATTGGTAAAGATGCCAGGCAGGTGAGAGTAAGATGGTCAGTGGCAGCCCGAGTAAGGAATCCAACTTCTACGCCATGAAGTAGTCAATGGCTTGAAGTTCGTAAAATTTAGAACACCCCAGCGGGAGATTTGGCTTGGCTACTTTGGTTGATAGGGTTTCTTTCTTAACTTGGTCAGGTCTCCGCGGGCTGCGTCCTCTTATTCCAGTCCGACCCTCCACCTGCTGCGGCAGCAATTGACGTCTACCGAGTTTTCGTTCGTCGCTGTCGACGCAAAGGCTTGCTACCGACGACCAGGTCAACATGACGAGTATGACTGCACGGAGCATTCGGTGGAGCCCCGAATGAAGGAAACTGCCACGGGTAGTGAGTAATTAATGCTCGTCTCGAACCAAATACTGATCCCACTTTCGAAATTTGATGACGATTTCGAGCAACGAACGACATTTATTCTCAGAATACTATTACAACATTTGAAAACAGTCTCTCTGTGCAAGAATTTGTTTCATCCACCATGATCCTCGAGGCCAAAGAGGAAAAATAAAAAAGTTTGTAGTAAGGAGTGTCTGCAGAACTTATACAAATTGTACATCTGTTCTTGGGCCTCGTGCGAGGTGATTTTGTGTGACAACTGATCAGTAAGTACTCAATTTCAGACGGGCTCAGAATCAAAGCTTGGAGCCCTAAGAAACATCAATTTCCAAATGTATCGGATAATTCTACTCTACGGGAACGTGCTATTGTACACCGGCGGGAGTCTGTAGTTTTCTCGTTCTACCTAATCGTGATCTGTGTGTATAGTACCGCAATCAATGGACTGCGAACGTGTTTGATGTGGCTCAAAATTTTAATATCCTACCTATAGAACATCCGGGCGAGGAGAATGAACGACCGGAGGCGTGATTTCCCAGCTATGTCCTCTGCGCTCGCCGATGATTGTCGACGGCGATGGCCGCGGGCGTGGGATGAAGGAACTGCAAAAATTGATCGCGCTGACGCTTCTGCATGTCGCATGTCAATTGGTCGGCGATTTCCCTGGGCAGCAGGTGGTGGAAGATGAGCCCCAGGTGGCTCATGATCATGGTCACCGTCGACAGAGACATCTTATCCAGGCGCTGGGAGGCGTAGCAAGCGTACACATGCCGCAGCATGTCGAGGCTCGGGGCCAGGAACATGTTCTTCTTGTGATCCTTGAGGAATTCCATCGCTATGGCGACGAGCCGCAGAATCACCTCGCCCAGCTCCAGCGACAGCTTCTGCGATACGGTGGCGTACAGCAGGCTGACGAGCAGCTGGAACCCGGGGATCGACGAGCCATTGCCGAAGTGCTCGAGCAGCACTTTGATTCGCAGGTAGCGGCGGGGTCGACAATCGGAGCACCTGCAGGAGGAGGAGCTCGTCCGCCGCGGGGAGTCGCCTGACAGCTCGGGGCTCGGCTCGCGCATCTTCAAGCCGGCGAATTTCGAGCACAGAGGGCTGTCGCCGCCGTGGGGCTCATCCGAGAGAGGTCCTGGCGGCAGGCTCGCGGCATTGGTGAACCGGCGGAAGGGGTGCGAGGGCAGCCAGGAGGGGAGAGGCATGTCGGCGTGCTGCTCGTGGTACGGGGTTTTGCGGTCTATGGCAGTGCAGAGCGCGCGCAGCAGGTGGATGCCATGAGACACTCGTCGGGGCTCGCTCTTGCTGCTCTCGGCCAAGCTGCGCAGCACCAATTTGCACTGATCGATCAGAAAGGCCGCGGCGTGCACCGTGAGCTCGTTGATTTCCTGCTCGTCCACGCCTGCCGGGTGCTGCATGTACGCCTCCAGGTACTTGGACAGGTCCGCGCTGTACAGCACATTGAAGTGCACCGCCGTGTCCTTGTCTCCCACCCTGTGCTCCGATTCCCATTTCGCAGCCGCGAAGAGCGACAGCGTCAGCTCCTGCATGTAGATGGTCATGTGCTGCTGCGCTTTCGTCCCTGTCCCCGACGGCGTCTTGCCGATCTTCTCCATGCTCTGCAGCCGCTTCTGCAGCTCCTCCGTCGTGATGCTTCCCGGCCAGTTCCTCGTGTGCATCCAATGAGTTTCCCAGCCATCCTGCAACCACTCCATTCTAAGCTTCGACGATTGCTAGCACTCACTCGGCTCTAACTCTCGTCGTTCTCGTTGCTCTCGTTGCTCTAATTACTGTCGTTACTCCTCTCGACAACGACGAAGATGTCGAAGATTCAGGACACCGGCCTTAGAATCGAGCTCGACGCGTGCACTGAGGCGAAGGTTGAGGTTCAGCTGACGAGGAGCCACCGACCCGAGAAGGGGTGTTGCTGTTCGTGTGATGATGATGATGAGAGGGAGATCTGAGTTCCGCTAGGTCCGCATCGAGGCTTAAGTACCGACTCGTCGTTTACTTGAGGATGCAGGACACCATGCGCTATCGGCAGGAATAGTCGGACGAGATGACGACGGACGGCCTCGTACGGTCAGCTCCCCGGGGGACAGCGTACATGTCAAAGCACCAAATCTTCAGCTCCAGGTGTTTGCGATGTGGAGGACTCGTCATGGAATCGACGGCTTCGTCTCTGCCCATAGGTTCAAGGCCCCACGTTGGGCCGGTCAAGACTGAACAATTCCCCTTTCCCTCCCCTCCCCGCGTGAGGTGAGTTACCTCGCAGTTTTACGAGCGTTCCAGAGTGAGCAAGAAACTCCATCCGGATCGAGATTCCGCTGATCGGAGGAAAGTGATTCCGTGCAGTTTATCTGCTTTTCGTTGGCCGGGGTTCTAGAGAATTTGCCCGCCGCCAAAATGTGTTTTGACTTCGATGCTCCTTCACTGCCTTAAAGGCACTCGATTACGTTGTGAGATTCACTCGGCAGGAGGCTTGACCCACGAAGCGATCGGTCCAGAGGCACGGCGACTGTGAACCTCTCTATCGGGAAGCCGAGAGATGTCGAAGAAGGGCGTGAGAACCCGTGGCCTAGTAAATTTCGAACTCATGTTGCGTGTCGGTAGCGCGAAATCGTCGAGAGCTTTCGGCTCGGCGCAGGTCAAAAGCTCTTTCTCGAACATCTTGCGAAGCACTGCAAGCTTGAAAAGTCGCGGGCTCGGAAAGAGCGGGTCTCGCGGAAGGTGAGGCCTCCCGAGCCACAGCGTCGACGGGTAAGAAAGAGCCTTGTGGAAGAGGATAAAGCGTGAGCCTAAGCTACGAATCTCGCCATTCCTTCTCCAGGTACACTACTGAGTGGAATGGCGAGCTTCGTATTTCTTTTCGGCCGTATGCCTCTTCTTGTCAGGAGCATCCATCCAATTGCAACCCTCCGTCTTCTGGGGCCTTCTGGTTCTGAGGTCTTACGAAACGTACCGCGGTGGTCAACATGTTTGGTTCACAAGGGCCTCAAGGATGAAGAAGATCCATTGTCTCGCATGTATGTGGTCAAGGAGCAGGAGTTTGGCCGTGGACGCGATCTGAACCAGTAGCAATTCTGGAACCCGGTATTGTCGAAATAACCTTGTCCTGATCGATAATAATTTTGACACATCGTGAAGAGCTTCTTCATTGACTTCGGATTTGCCCGCAAACACTTTGATTTCAGCGAAATCGTGACTTGAATTTACTGTTATGTAAGTGGATCATGTGTAAAAGAGAGTTTAGCCAAGAGCCTTGACAACAACGAAAACGACAGTAGGAGCCAAGAGATAAAGCAAAAGTGACAGGCACTCGACATTCGACTATGTATGTGCAGTTTGGCCGGCCGGAACGAAGGACGTCAGCCAATGTCAGCTTCTTCACAAACCATAATATTTTTAGGATGATTATGGTCAAAAGCTTATGAGCCTAATGAGTTAATATATTGAACCACTGGAATTTGAGCAATGAATCTGATATTGTCGACCCGTCTCTACTCGAGCTCGATTCAGACGAAGCTTTGTGTACGAAAAGGAGCAGAACGGTTGGCTGTCTACTAGTGAGCTTTCCTTTTTGCTTCGAGATCTTACCGGTTTAATACATTATTGTCATAGGATACATGTTATGTGTTGATAGCTACATTCGATATTCCCGAAACTTCTCCTGGAATGTCCCTGATCTTGGGATGGATTACTCGTTCTTGTCTCAATAGTCACATGCTTTTTGTAACCAATAGAGAGAAAGTCGGAGGTAAAGTTTACATTTAAAGAGCAAAAAGGGATTGAATGTAGGAAGAAGCACATTTGCAAGAATGGGGCCACGTTTACCGTTTACTGCGTGTACTCCTCCTGCACATTTTCTCCCAGAATTTGTTTCATCTGTGGGCAGTGAGGGATCAGGTATTTCCACCACTCCACAGGCTTTCTGTTTTGAATAACTCTACACATAAATAAAGCTTAACTAATGTTAAGCTTTGTGTGTGTAGAGTTATTCGTGTGTCTCTGCCATTGGTTTGCCATTGCCATTGGTTCTCCTGTTTGGGATCAATATGCGATGCCTGGTCCACATCTCTCACTCCCTTGTCAAATCGCAGGAGCTATACAGCTTCAGCGGTCTCCCTTGGGCTCTCATTGCTCTATTCGAAGATGCCTCTTGTCCTTCGGTTCTTCTGCCTTGTCCACACTTTTTGCAGTTCTTGCTAGGTCCTCAGGTTTCTCGCAGAGATTGCTTCAACTTTTTCCTCCTTCGAGCCCTTTGTTGCACTTTTTGAACCTTTCTAGTGCATATTATATCATATGGGGTCTGCTTATGGCTTTTCCACCGATCACCTGCAAAAATATGTGCCTCGATCACAACACATACAAACAATTTTTAATTTCAGGGAGAAATATGGTTCTTATAGATTTTAAAAATTCAGAAGGTTCTTCGTATCCAGCGAGAACAGGTGAAGTATAGTAATCAATATTATGACGGTGGACGTGAGGCGCAAGAAATATGGCGAATAAGAGCATGCCAGTTAACCCTTTCCATAATATGTGAATCTTGTAAGTATAGTTGTTCATGAGTGTTCCCTCTCGACAGATCGATGCAAGAGATCAATCACTTTCCGATTTCAATGTGCGAGGTAGAAAGATCGCGTCACTGATTCCCCACCGTGTGTTTCATCAAAAGTCGTGAGAAGCATGTCTGTCAACTGGCACGCTGCAGATCGATTCTTCCTCGTTGATTTGAGAAGCATTTCAAAAAGTTTGGCACATGTTTAATGAGTTGTCCTAGACTGCATGAACCCGACACTGTTTCTAGATCGCTTTAGGTGATCACGAGAAGAAGGACTGGAGTACCGATTGTCGTACACAGGGTCCTGATCATTACTGCAGTACTATCAATTATATCCAGCATCATGTACTAGCCCATAATACAAAATTCTGACATCTATCAGTTTCTGGCAATAACTTTATATATCATTAGTAGTACGTAGCAAGAAGTATATTCAACTAACAAGCTGCTCGTTTCAAGTTTCTGGTTTAATAATTTACAAACAGTGGTCTTGTTAATGTTTCTTTTGAAACAAGCTTACTATAAATTCTTCCAAACATGTGTGAAGTTCTAGGAGTGGAACCAGGGTGATTAATGTCAAATTCAGAGCAGAGATTTATGCGAAAGACATTGGTATTCATTGAGATGAGATCTTACCTTGTTATCGTGAAGTCTATGGGATACAGATTTCATTGAAATTTTTTTGTGAAGAAGACCGTATCTTTGCAACCGTTTTATGCAGAGAGACCTGAAGGGATATTTGTGTACTTGTATGAGTTAGCCAATAACTACTGAAGGTGATGATAAGTTCAGTTAATTTACCTCCTTGATGATAACCCTAAACAGCAAGCCTTGGAAGATTACAGAAAGCGTTGTAAATTATAGTCAACACAAGCAAAAAATCTTGAAAGTGATAATTAGTTGTTTCTTTAGTGAATTCCAGGAGAACCAACTTCAAGAGGTTTTGCTAATTTCATACTCTGAGATAGTCACCTTTACTGCAAAGGCCAGAGCAGCCACATTATTGCGAAAGATATTTTCCGATCAGCTTTGAGAAGTTTCCGAGGTTATCAAGCATATCGTGGTGAACTTTGTACTGTGACACGCACAACGAAGTGTAGTTCTTAAAAGTTCACGCGCAACTGTAAAGTTAAATATTGGATCGCGTTGGGCAAAATAAATTCGTTAAGTCAAGTTTCGAGCTGCAAAGTTGGAACGAAGTCGAACAATCACACACATCCAAACCAGCCTTGTTGCTCAGTTTGAGCATAATCTTGTCCGTAGAAGGTAAAATTGAAATTAGCTGCATCTCTATATTAACTGGGGTTAAGGTAAACTCGAAAAGATATGTATATATATATATATAGAGTGAACGGTGAATTATCTCTATTTTAATGCTAATTAGCCTTCATTTTATTCTAAATTCTTCTCTTATTGGAAAATGCAGGGTTATAGATTCTTAGATGAGTAGAATAAGGGTAAAATGTAAATTGTTCGACCAATCAAAGAATATATATAATATATATTATACACTATTTGTTATGGTTGTCGCCAAATAACTTAAGTAAGTACTAATTTTGTTGTTAAAGATGTCCATGCATGAAGTAAACCTTGAAATGAATAAAGACGAAGACTGACAATACGCATTGCGACTGACATTTCAATGCTCATAACTAACAGGGAATAAAATTGCTGCAGTATGTAATACTTTTTCCGTTATTCAACATTGTATGACATATCATAGGTTATCAAGATTCACGATAAGATACAAAACCAAAGTATGTTATACTACAGAATTTATACAAACACTAGAAATCAAAATTCCTTCCTCCAAGTACTCTCTCACTGTAATGAAGAAGAATTCACGAAGTAATCTTTTGCACTCATTTTGTGTTTTCTTCTTTTGAATTCAATGTTCCTCATCTATCCAACTTGAGCGTCATATCTCCCATAACTGCGGCATTTTAAATATACTCAAAGACTAAACCTCAGTTTTTGAGTTTCAATCTCGTTTAATTAGTCCAAGGTTGACTTCACTTTCTAAATGAAATAATTCTGATTTGTTCAAATGATTTTAAACTACACTGGATGTGCTTCTCTCACAACCCTAACATAAGCAAGTCATTTCATTAACTGAGACAGAGTTTCCCTATAGTCAAAAGTTATGACATATTTTTGCTTCTTAGACCCAATCAACCAACAAGTCACTTTAGGTTTGGATCACTCGTTGAATCTTGTAGCAGATCATTAGTGATTGAGGTCTTGTTTCTTTCCTTTGCGGCTATGTTGGACTCTTAGCTCCTGGTTTGGTCTTTAGATTTGATGACTAGGTCTTAGGTCATAGATCCAGAGTATGGCCCTAAGATTAATCCATGGGTCTTAGGTGGAAGATACAGTGCTTGGTTCCGATCAAAAGTTTTCTATCTAGGAGGATCTATCTTGAGACCAACTTGCAGCTTAACACATACATGTGCACCAATTCTTGCCTTAAAGTTAGACATACCTCAAAGTTATCTATGTAGAACCTTGGATGAGAGGGCATATTATGGGTCTTTCGCTCACTCATAAACACCACTAGCCTCATGTTCACATATATTTATGAAGTTATTTTTGCCCATCCTGAAGCTTGATCTTTTAAATATTTACGTCAATCTATTTGTTTGTTAGTTTCATCCCACGAAATTGATCATATTTTCAAATTCATAGGTTCATTTGCCCCAATTTTCGATGACTTCGGGATTATCATTTCTGGATATTTGAATGTTCAAAAGTCATGTACACATGAGTTTTTGAGAATAATCATCTATCAAAATCAACCATGTATTTATCAATCAAGCAATGGTGTACCATTTGGTCTACTATCTATCACCACCAACTAATACATGATTGATTGAATCAACCATGTACATGATTGATTGAATCAACCATGTACATGATTGAATCAAAAAGCACATAATTATTATGATGATTTTTTGGTAATCAGAAACAAGAGCAAGAATTTGAATGAGCAAGTGAAAGGTACTTAGTTTATTTTCTTGAATTTTATGTATCCATCAAGGTAGTGTCAATGAAGTGAAGTACTGTATATATCCACAAGTGAAGTAACTTAGCCAATAGAAGAATCTAAACTAGCAATTATCACACAATATGATCATATGGTGTTGGCTAGCCAGTTCAACCTACTCTTCGGATTGTTTGCTGTAATCAACCATTGCCAAATGATGAGTTTTGAAGTTCTAGCTCTTTTTTCTTTCTGACTACATAAAAGCATCGTACTTATCATGTGCTTTTTGATCTAACTTAGACTCGACGCTCGATTTATGTTTCAAGGCAAGAATAATGATATCTTTACTCTATTTAATCAATTTCTAGTTACACTAAATCTTCTGTGTATGCTAATCTACATTTATTTGTTTGTCTCTTGATGCTAATACGAAGTTCAAGCGACTATCATCGTTAATTTAGGAACATCAAACAAGTTTCACTTCACTTCAAGCTCATCAAAATTCGAGTGAAAGTCTAAATAAATGATTGATTATGTAACCTGAAGTCTAACAACATATTAGATCACGAGATGGTTTCTTCACTAAGCGAACCAACCATCACAATACTTTATTGAAAAACTTGTCCGTTACATGAAGACAAAAAATCTAAGTAACTATCTAGCTTATTTTTTACAAGTGTGTGTCTGCCTTTGGGAATTTTTCTTTGATGTAATTAAGACTTCTTCAGCATTCTTCAAATTTGTTTTAGGCAATAAGTCATCGTTTTCACAAGGACACCTTGCCAATTTATCAAGTATTCTTGAATTTCTTGATACTTTTGTGATACAAAGATACTTCTAACATGCTGTTCTTGCTCAAACTTTGTCATTTGACGAAATGGTAACGACGATTTCTTCCATTCTAGCTGCATTCCATCAAGAGGATATTTTTGGAGTAAAAAATTTTGGAATCTCGGATGTACGTCAGTTCATCTTTAGAGAAAGTTTCAAGCTGTAGATTTGATGGAGAGATCTCATTTTGATAACAAATACTATAATCACAAACTTGCATGTAAACCTTTTAGGTTGTATGAAATATTTCACATTTAGCCAAACTTTTATGTTGTGTGTTACCAAATCATGTATGTATGATGATGTTGATCTCATTTCAAGAGCTGAGAATATTAAGTCTCTTGGCTCTTGTCGATAGACCCAAATAAGATTTCGTGATGTTGTCAAAACATTATGTGCAACACACACTAACAGTATGATGTTAATGTTCTTTCACATCTAATCAAACTGTATGCATATGCTTATTTGAAGTATATTGCTTGTCCCTTTATTTTGTCGGACAGTTTTTGGGTTTTGTGGTGTCCGACAAAACAAAGTCCGGGGGCCGGCTCCAACCCTGCAGTGAAACACAAAAGCTGGGAGATGGGTACCGACCCTACCAAAGGAATTGACGGGGCCTGCACAAGTTGATAAGAAATCAAGTTTGATTACTTAAAATTAGCTTATAACTATGGTTAATAAAAAATCTATATATGCTTTCAGACCTGTTTTTGATATTCAATTTGTTAGTGAGATGTCTTATAAATAATTATTTCATCACCTACAAATCTACATTATGTAATTATGTGTCACAAGAAATGTATCGCTAGTCAAACGTTTCATAAATTTATCATTATTTTAAAAACTTACTAGTTAGGAAGAAATATGATTAGCCCATTTGGGCATAAAATTATAAAAATGAAAAAAATTTCTAGTCTCATGATTATAATTTTCTTAATTATTTGATACTATTCAAATTCATTCATAATATGCAAATTTTTTTTCATATTAACATAAAAATTAAAAATTATAAGATAAAAGAAATAATATTAGACTAGATATATTATAGTTCTTAAGTACTTAATATTAAGATATGATATATCATTTCATCATCAAATTTTGAGAAAAAAATTATTATTGATATTTTGAGATACATTCCAATGTCAATAACTTATTTTTTGTATCAAGTTATATGAAAAACTACTGTGGTACTGAATTAGTATTTTAAGCGTTAAGTCATTATTTTGATTTAAACAGAATAAGTTTTTAATATTTTATATGAAATCAAATAAAAATTTTCATTATATATTTTTATCGAATTGAATGAAACTAGGAATTCAAATCTTCATACTAGTTATTATATAAAACCATGAGACTAAATATTTGAATTGAAAATTTTTTTTCAGCTGAAAAACTTAAATTATGTAGATTTCAATTCAACTATCTTTTCAAATTCAAAATTATTATACATTGATTTTCAGTAAATTAATATAGATTTAACATACATTACTTATGGTACATCAAAATTAAATTTATTTGGTTTTATCCCATAAAAATTACTAGTGTTTTTCAAAGAATTTAAAATCATATGAAGTTTTGAATAATTTTTTACTTATATTATATAAATTTATTATTCAAATACGTAAGCACATGAATTTCAATTTCAAAATAAAAATAATATTTAAGATGAATTTTAAAGTTTTTTATCGCACAATATATAAAAAAAGCATATTTAGGTTTTTATAATTAAAAAAAATATTCATAAATTTGATGAATCTGTTGAAGATATCACTACATATACATGTTTGTACATCATCAAAGTTGTTCTACTACTAGATTTTACTATATTCTTGTATTGAGTATAGTAAAATCTATTTTGTTCTGTAAAGAAGACTTTGTTTACATTTGGATACTGTGATTACATCCAATATTGCATTTTTCGGATACAATAAAATTTAAGTATGAACTTCTTAAATATTTTAAAAGTTTTGGAATGTTTGTCTCGACATATGTCTATGGTCCTGCAATATACGTCTCTTAGAAATTTTAATATGTTTAAAATCTGATGGAAAATAAAATTAAATAAACACCAAATTCACAAAGTTGGTGAATATCATATTGTAGTAAAATTTTTCAACATAACAAAATCTAGAAGTTACGCAACGTTATGATCAAGTAACTTGGTATGTAAAATTCTGCCAACTTATAAGAGCTAATTATGAACTATACAAAACGACCAGTGACAAGTTTGTTGCAGTACAGAATATTGCAAAGATTTTTAACAACTTAGAAATCAATGAAGGTTGATGCAAACCATGCTTTCCTATTCTGCTGATAAAGATTTTCAAAATCTCTTCAGAAAATTATAATCCTTTCGACTCTTCGAATTTCTCTTTCACATGTTTGAAAAAGCTTTGTGAAATAATACCTTTACAATTCTTGCTAGAGTTCTAAATGATCGTGTTTCTTGTTGCTATCCGAAAAAAATACTTGTGTCTTCAAATTTTGACAGAAATTGGGGCCGTGATATCGTTGTGAGGAGAGATGTTTGTCGGAAGAGAGGTCATCCATATATGACTACCTCAAATGGAAATTCCAACAAACTAAAGAACGTCAAGTGGGGCACAGACTCATTTGCAGAAAGTGAAAAAGGTGAACATCTCTTCGAACCGTGAATGCTAACTGATGAACGACTTGCAGGTCTGGTTTCTAGTACAAGCCTTCGAAGGTTGCAGGCTTTTACTAGATTCTACAAAATGCGGACCTTATTTACGCCACAAAATAAAAGAGAACTTCCATTTCCAGTTTATCAGATCTGCGAGGATCGAAAACATGCTCAAATAATTCAGCGTTCTGATACAAATAGTTGATGTACATTCCACACCATTTGTTGAAACCTCAACCTGTGTTGCGACTCATGGCTGTTTAAAATTATATCTTGTCAATATGAAAGAAGGAAGCGTGTGCATTCATTCTATCCTCTGTCATGAAGAGGCGGCCATGCAAGTCTCGATTCCCATGGAGGTTTGGAATCTGAATCGGCGAGCACCGTGTATGTTGGACTCTATTCAGCATAATCCTCGATCACTGTAGGAATGGACATACGTAGAACACCTCTGACAACCAAAGAAGAGAAGGGGATCTTCTTGCAGCTGCAAGGAGATGCTCGTGGAGCAAATATCTGAAAGGCGTGAGCGAGTGGGCTTTTGTCCACAAGGAGAAGCGTCTGGGTCGGAGAAGCTCGGAGGAGGCGAAGGCATATCCCGAAGGTGGGGACGTTCCTTCGAGCTTCACCTGCCATCACAGCACAATGCCCTGTACTGTACTGTACAGAACAGTCAGTGAACATGTGCAACAATTTGCATGACGGCCGTCTCCGAGTATCCACAGCTGACGAAGCTGGGCGACTCTGCGCTCGACAAATCGCAAAGTCACGTCATGTCATGAAATCGCACATGAGTCAACTCCGGACATTGATGATGAGTCTACGTCCGCCCGTCGAGCAGTTCGTTAACGTCGTCGCGGTCGGAAGGAGGGAGAGCACGACGAGTGGGCAGAAGTTTCTGAACGCGGTCACGTAGATTCCGCCAGTCTCCCGACGCGGCGAGTCAGCCAATGAGAGCAGCGTCGCGTCGGCTCGTCAGAACTGGCGCACTGTCAGCTCGGCGGGCGCACGACGGCGCGACGTGCGCCGACTTGCAGAGCAGACCTCTCGTCGGAGCCGGCGGGCGACGACGGATGGAGAGGCACGGGCGCTCTCGAGTCTGATTCTCGACCGCGGTCAGCCACGAATTTCACGATGCTCCACGAAGTCTGCTCCAGAGGCGCAGAGTCAAACTCCGTTTTCTGGTTCGATTCCGCTGCTCTGCCTTCCTTCCGCCGTCGTCCTATAAATCTCGCAAAACATCGCCAGAGAGCTAAAGGCACTGAGAAAACTTTCGAGACAGTCGTCGACGAAGACGACGACGTGGTGTGCAATTTCGAACAGGCAGGCAGGCGATCGGGCTGCGGTCGGCTAAAGGTCCATTGGGTCTCTGCGTGGGGAATTGGAAGGTGGGGGACGAACAGGTGCAGGGGAGTCGATCCGAAAGATGGATTGGCTGAAGGATGGCTGGGCGACGCCGTGGATGATTAGCAGGAAGTGGCCCGAGGCCATCACGGGCGAGGAGCTGCAGCAGAGATTGGAGCTCGTCGAGGAGGCGGCCAAGCAGCCGTGCGGGTCCGGGAAGAGTCACATTACCAGTTACTTGCAGCATTTGGCGCTGGCTCTGTGCACGGCCGCTAAGTGGGAGCACGACCACAAGCTCGTCGACAAGGAGGCCTCGCATTTCTTCTCCATTCTCTACAGCGCAGATCTGTCGGAGCATCTGGAAGCTTATCTGCAGCACCCTGAGGGCCCCGACGAGACCGAATTGAACGATCTCGCCCTCCATTGCTCGGCATTCCTCATCGATGAATGCAAGCTCGTGCTGCGCAGCCTCGCCGAGACCGCCAAGGTCGAGCCCCGCAAAGTCACCCATGGAGTCCACCTTCTCCGTTCCTTGTGCGTAGCCATTGACAGCAAGACTCCTTTCAATGAGCAGATCGCCGACACCCCTCTCCCAGTCTGGCTTCCTTCCCACCCCTTCAGGAGATTCACCAATGCGGCCTCGTCTGCCACCGCCGCCGCTGCGACTCAGGTCGAGGAGCATCATCACGGCAAGAGGAGCTCTCGCTCTGTGATAGAGCATCAGCATTCTCTGATCCTCCTCGAGCAGGAGCTCGGGAAGGGCTCCAAGCCCAAGGAGTATTTGCGGATTAAGCTGCTTCTCGAGTACTTCGGGAATGGGTACTCGCTGCCGGGGTTTCAGCTGCTCGTCAGTCTGCTGTACGCCAGTGTGTCGCAGAAGCTGTCGCTGGAGCTCGGGGAGGTGGTTCTCCGATTTGTGTCTGTAGCAATTCCGTTCCTCAAAGACCACAAACGGACAACATTCCTAGCGCCGTGCCTCGATATGCAGAGACATGTCGTGTCGTGCTACATGTCACAGAAGCTCGATAAGATCTCCCTCGCCACCGTGACAATGATCATGAATCACTTACGAATCATCTTCCGCCTTCTGTTGCCAGCCGAAACGGCAGAGTACCTGATCATTGACATGCAGAAGCGTCAGCGCGATCAGTTCATTCAATTCCTCTATCCGAATTCTGCTCCGGAGAAAGCGAGCAGCAGACATTTGTTCAGCTGAATCCCACTCCATTAGTTTCTCCAATGCCGTTTAGAAGCCCTTATTCTTTCATAGTAAATTTGTTTGAAACGATTTACATAATTCGGAATGTCCAGACGAGTAGCGTTGAGCGAATATGCACAACGAGCGCAGCAGAGACTGGAATTTGCCAGTGAGAGTGATCGCAATTTGACTTCCCATTTTGGAAAATGTCCTGGTCTGGATTTTTCCCCCACCGACGATGAGTCTGAACATGTATAGACATGGTTTCTTGTGTATATAATGAATCCAACAATAAAACACTGCATTCTGCACATTGAGTAACAATTCCTTCTAGTGGATTCAATTTCATGGTGCTATTTAGATTATTTTCTTTCATCTGTACATGCAATGTGGGTAGCTTCGGAGATGTTCCGAAGAATAGCCCATAGAAAGAACCACGGTCTTTCTTGTCTTACTAATAATGATACAGTGCCTCGATCGAAGTTCAGTTTATCGCACAAGACTATAAATTCTTCTTAAACACTAAGGAGATGGGAATTCCGATTCACACATACAATTAGAAATGGATACTTCCAATTACATCGAGCAGGTTGCTCAGCTGAGAGGCTCTGAAGTTTTCATTAGACTCTTATTCCTCCCAATATCCTCTTTTGATTGCCTCCGACTTAAGTTCATCAATCCATATTAACCTGCCCAGACACCGAGTGGTGAATGCACCTGAGCTCAAACTGTCGCGGTCGTGTATCGTGCGAGAAGACATCGGTTAACAGATATATTGCCAAGGTATACATCGTGGCAAAAGTTATTCTCTACGGTCTTTTTCTTGAAGAATTTCTGGATCAATAAGACGTGGACCATAGGGCGACACAGGTTAGAGCGGCATTTTCCAGTTGGGATAAGTAACCCAATACCATTTCAGGCTCTTCTGTCCCTCGGGCTCAGATTTGCCACAAGACTGACCTGCCAGAATAGGTGAGAAGATCTAATGATAGTATGAAAATTGGAGGCATGATGTCCAATTGCAGATGGGTCTACATCTAAATCTTCATTATATGCGGTTCAACTCGATCACGTTCTGATCTGTTGTACGTTAGAGTAAACATGAAATGAGACTCTGTCGAAATATCTGTACGAAGCAGGGAAGTAAGATCCGGTTTAAACAAGAGACTTTCAATGGGTTGCTACGAGATTGATCTACTTTGGAATACATCCATATGGGATGACTTTGACGAATCAATTGAAATAAGCATGCGCATTGATAATTCCTTGATGTTAAATATCAATTGCGTGATCACTGCAGAGAACTATTCTCCAGATTCTTTCAGATTAAGACTCAGCAGTGAGAGAGATCTATCTGAGCTGTCTCAGAAGGTTAGAATCGCAATTCGTGTTCATCGCCCGGCGCCTCCGATCTAGCTCATGGACAGTACGCAGGGAAAGAGATCTCGACTGAGCTGAGTGGGCAAATGAATTTCGTGCACAAAGGATTCGCTCCAATTTGACATTAGCGGTGAAACAGATCTCGACTGAGCAGACTTAGAATTCTAATGGGTCAGGGTTTCAGTTAAACGCCGATATCAGGAAAGAAGGGTGGTCAGCTTGATGGGCTGAACCTATTGACTCTATTCAGGATAAGCCTGACCTACATTCATAGACTGGGTACGAATTCGAGGTGGGGGGCGGGCCTCGGCAGGCACATGATACGGAAGATATGCATGTGCCCATGTTTGTCCAGGATGAGCCTCTGAGGGCAGTACGATGTGGGTCCGATTGGACCTCGCCAAATAGAGCGGAGGTAAAGCTGCGCTACTACTGGATATAAAGTCTGATTTACAAGGGAGGTAGATATAGAGGAGGGCAACAAAGATGCCTGAATGTCTCTTTCTCTTCTTCTGGAAGGAAGAGGGACAAGAGCTAAGAATCAAGCTCAAGGAAAGAAGTTTAGCGTTCTCTCCTCTATACTTGTGCTACTTGCCTCCGAGCAGACTTTGAGGTGGTACTTCGACTTAGAGCTTGTTGGGTTTGACAGAACCTGAACCTTCTGGCATTCTTGCTACATGTGTTAAATTTATTCTGCTCTCTTGCCTTAGCATTTTGTGCCACTGCAGTTCTTTCAAAAGGTAGAATTTCTTACTAGTCGCCCTCGTTGGGCTTCCTTTCCTTCGGCCCTACGGAACCTCTGAGACCGCTCACATTTACGTGTGTGTTTGGCCAACCAGCCTGAGTCGGATCGATATCTCTGACAGTCTGTGTAGTTGTGCATGGAGATGATACATGTATCAGATATGATGTTGTTTTGGTTATTCACCAATTCCCGGGATTGTGATCGACATTCATTACACTGGCGCTAGCTTCTGTAGGGAGAAGTTTTCGAAGCTTGGCTTCACTTGTGTGAAGCCACGCTCGAAGGTTATAAAATCCCATTCAGAGGACACCTGAACAATGTGAGCTGCTGCATTATTGAAATGTAAAGCTGGAGTGCCGTCCTCCTTTGTGACCGCAATTCTCAAGACCATGTAAATGTGAGGCTCGTCCCATGGTTAGGGCATCAATCACGAAGACTGTCGATGACAAATAACAACGCAGACGACTTTGACAAGTGTAGCTAAGGCAGTCATTAAGCTCAGTTACACTTTTCACTTTGCCACACAGTCCTCTAGAAAGGTGAACCCTTGCGAATATGAAGCTCAAGATAGGAATTTTCAATTGCCTGCAACGTAGCCCATAGAGTGGGTTTTTAGTGATCTGTCTCCATTTGTCATCAGCTTGATAAAGAGGCGGAAATTATTGTGGCAAAAAAGCGACGTAGGCTTGCCCGAGCCGCATTCGATATTGATAGCGGTTCACATGAATGTTGATCGACAATGCTCTTGACGCACGCGCGCCTATTTCCCATAAGTTTATAGGGCTTCGATGTAGGTAAGACTTTTGTCTAAAAAGTGCCATTGCTTTGCAGCATTCGTGAAAAGCTTGGTTGATGTTGGAAGTTCACATTCTCAAGCATAATGCGATTTACTACGTTCCGTGTAAGGTCAGAGTCATACAGAAACAGGTTCATCGGAAGCGAAGGAAAATAATCTTCGGAGTAGGTCACATGTGCTTGGTGTCTGGACAAATAGAGGACACCGCATTACATTTCTAGCCCTGTTTGCGGCAAGAAATCCCAAGTGCACCAAATCTACGTCACAAGCCGGGATCGGACTCTGTGTCTCTGACTAACCGAATGTTTGAGCTAGAAAGTCGTGGGGAGATCACCCGTAAGCTTGGAAATGGGAACGATACAGAAAAACTTGATCTACTCCCTCGAGCTAAGTATGTGGAGGAATCTAATGAGATCCTAACTGTTTTCAAGGAAGGCCACAAAATTTCCTTCTCACAGCCATGATACTGTACTAACTACTGTAGGCTAAGAGCTGAAGGTGCATCTCTGCAGTTTACGCGACTGTTTGAGAAGTGTGCCTCTGGCATGGCATGATCGTTTATGCAGATCTAATCTCCATTCAGAAATGGATGGTCAGTTCGATCCATCGAATCGTAGTGATCAAATGCGTTCGTTCTGCTGAGCAATGTAACCCCCTACGCACAAACTTTGGAGCCGTCTGGAGTCAGAGGAACCGCAACATCCTTGCTCTCTTTGTCTGTCTTGATGTTCTCATCACCTGCTTTTGTGAACGCAGTAACAAAATTGAAGAGAATTGAAGTCACTGCAAACAAAATCCAAGCAGCAAGCCTCAGTCTTAGCTTTGTAGCTTTTCTTCCAAGGACTCGATCAAAGAGGGCTACAAGGCATCTTAGTGCAGGATATATAAACCTACATACAGAGTAAATATATATCACATGCTAAATTCGTTTACGAGTTGTACTTCAGCGCAGGCAGGGAATCACTGGTGAGTAGTGTATTGAGTTGGATCAGGAAAAGTGAAGGTATCCCACCTCGCTCAAATGAACAACGAGCAGGATCTCTATCGAAAAATTGCACCAACAAATCGGCATCTCTTCCCTGCAGACAGAATCATTTCGTCAGACCGAGTACTTCTCATAATTTCAAGTGTTTTAGTTTGTACCGCTTGTTCTACCAGTCACCTTCCTTCCTTAATAAGTTTCAAAATGTTGCTATGACCGGTTAACCGATCATAACTGGAAGTAACAATATCTAAGTAGATGAACTTGATGCAATTCAAGCCTATGTAGATCTCGTTAGGGTACGGTTCAATTGTGTCGCATGTTGATCAAGAAGTGAAATGATAACCAGCCCACCACTTCAAGGTAGAAGGTTGCCAACGATCTATGATCAGATTCGGCTGATTTGAGAAAAGTCTTCAACACCTGGTGAAAGCAAAGTATCTCCTTGTTAGAAGTGTAACATTCGCTGTCATATCCAAATTACAGCGTGTACCATTGACTGTTTCTACCTTCAGTTCCTGCAAGTCCTCATGCAATTCAACATTACCAAATGAGCAATGTGTTGGAGGCTAGAAGGTGACGTACAGATCGGAACCCCTCAGAAATGGGCCCATCCTTTTCTGAAGCATTTAGCTCCTGTCCCAGTTTTTGCAATCCTCTTATAATGCCTTGCATTTCGTCCGCCATTGTCGTCAAAAGGATCTGATACATCCGACACTTGCGTGAGTTTTTCTTCTTGCAATCCATCTATAAACAATTGGTTCTCTCTTCGGTTTCAATCTTTTATGTATATATATATATATATATATATATATATATATGTCGCTTGAGAACTAGATTGTGAAGTTCGTAGTCTCTAAGTACTACATATGCTGGATATGCACAATAGATGGAATTGCTAATTAGTTCTTTGCGGCGCAGGGTTATATATTTAAAATACTGAAGGAAATGTCCTCCACACGAAGAAGTAGACATCGTCCTAACCTTTGAAGCGCCTTCCAGGTGTCGAAGATCTTTGTGAAAGCCTAGCAGATCAGCTTCCTTCTCAGAAATCATCTGTGTCGAAAAAGCACGGTTAGGATAATCAGTACATCGATCTACCCTTGGTCAAGAGGTTTCGATTATAGACCCAAATTGGTTTTAATAACAAAGACGGATAGAAAACGAATTTGGCGAAAGTACCTCAGGACAAAATATAAATACTATCTATTATAATGTTATAACTTAACACTAAACTACCAATCTCTTAGACCCAGACTGGTTGCACTGCATGTATGGTCCAGCGTATAAGCGATATTAAACCTTGTAAAAGTTCTCCATCAACTTCTTTTTAGGGTTGCTGACAGGCGAGTCATCTGTGAGTTTGAGAAGACTCTCCAGCTTAAGTCCTACATCTGACTCTGCAACACAAAGCATCTATTTCAATTTATATCCATACCAGATTCGTATAAATGATGAAAAGCAAACCACGATAAGAAAGTGTCGTGGTGGGGTAGTTCTACTGTGGCACTTACCATTGAGGTTTCCTTGGTTGGATGAAGAATTGGCGAACGTGATAGCGTTTTGCATGATACGCCGAAACTTCTTCGACTCTGTAACCTGATGATATGCAAGGGCACATGGGGTCGAAGACCTCAGTCGTGAGTTACTCATTCTATCAACATGACAATTGTCAAGCATTTGTAAATCAGCTTAAAAGCTGGCTGAACACTATGTCTTACTTCAGGCAACACATATGCAGAAATCCAGAAGTTTGATGTGCACTTCAAACAATCACCTCTTTGGAAGCTTCTTGCAATGTCATAAGATTCTTCCACAGCTCAGCGACCTGTTGAGAGAATTTCCATGTGATGTCAGTATTCGAGCTGTAAATCACATTTGAGATAGACAGTCATGACCACCCAAAGGTCATAGTCATGTACCTTTGTCGTGAACTGCAGCTTGAACGAGAAAACTCTTAATTTGATCTCGATTCTCGGTACTCTCATCATCTCCAAAAAGAACTGCACAAATCAAGTGGCTTACTTACTCAAAGTTTCCAAGATTCTTTCCTTGATGTTCTGTTACTTGTTATCATTGATTCAGAGCTAGCAATTTGCATCAGAAATTGTGAGTTGAGGTTGAACTTAAATTACTTCGTTTCCTCATACCTGCTCAGAATTGTCTAAACTTCGTTCCTCACCAGCCTGTGCAGCAGAAACAAGGACAGTCAGCATATATCCAGATGTACCAACTTTTAGGCCCGAAGATTTCTCGAAATATGCATGGAGTAACTGGAGTAGATAGGCTTCTGGAAAGCATGAAATGTTTGATCTTATTGGCTAAGTCAATTTTGCTAACTCTCATTCAAAACACCAATGAATTGATGGTCACTCAGCAAAAATGTACCTTCAACATGTCCACCTCCTCCTTTGTGGGGCAAATCTTTATCAGATTTTCCACTTGGTCCATGTCCAAGACTGATTCATCGAGGTTTAAGAGTGCTGTCTGTAAAATGTAATATGTAAAAGGTAAGGAGTCCGACGAGTATCAGAAACAACCGATCTCCAGTCTAATCAAGTTTGACTCATAAAAATTTCAGAATGTTTGAAATTGGGAATGGTTTGCACAAGGAAGAGATGAAAAGCGCTCTCTGAAATCTAAAGGTGGGTAAAGACGGTAAGGCCGGATCTGCTTACGAGCATATTTGCCATAGACAGATTGTCCTCTGTTAACATAGTTGCATACGCAATTGCAGCAACAGACCAATGTGTTGAGTTGAAATTCCTGCAGACAGTGGGTAAGCTTTTCTGGGACTCGTATGTGCCAGACGAGATTCAATCTCAGTAAGCAGCATATTCACCATCACAAATTGAATTCGTGCAGCCTGCGTACCGATGAAATCATTAGCTAGGCCTCTTGTTGACAAGACACCTTGTAGACTGGAGCTTGAACTCTATGACTGCATCTCGCCCACTCATATTCAATCCTCAGTAGAATGTGCTCCATCCTATGCATCAGATGACAGGCGTGATCACGCATGTCGATTTCAGGTGCTGAGAACAAAAAGGTACGGGATCACTTGAGGCAAACGACGGGCAAACAGCCTGATTATGCACCCTATCCACGTGACACATCTTTCTCATTCTCCCCACTTCCCAACCGTAAATATAAAACTTCGTGGACGCTTTCACTCTACAAGCGTGAGCAAGTAGATGTGAACGGAGCTGTGGAAACTACTGTGATGAGAAAAATAAATAAGATTACATTCGGCGTTAGGTTCAGAACTACACGATCGTGCACAACAGATTCTTTTGTAGGTCTTTGCTTTTCAATATCTGCTGTCAAACTGCACTGTACTGCCAGAGGTCCGGCCAGTCTTTGACAGGTGCCGATGTCAAACGATTGCTCGCGATGCTGATTAAGTCTGAGCATGCCATGTCCAGCTCTGGTGGAGTAAGAACAGGAGGACTTGAGGACACAGCTCATTCACATGCGGCAGGTGAGGATCTGTGGACAAACAGGTGCTCTTCTCCAAGGAGATAAAGTAGGTAGAGGAGGAGGAGGAGGAGCAGGAGGCACAGGCCTTGCAGGTGAGGGGGATATGCAGCGGGATAGTAAACGCCTCAGGTGGTCGCGGGACTCCATATGCATGGGCGAACAAGCTGGGTGCTGGATGACAACCAGTCTGTGTATAATACATCCAGAGGCCCAATATGAAAATCCACGTCATTTCAGTAATCTGTTCAAACTCAGATCCGCTGATGCGGGGCATTTTTCCGACTCAGAGTGCTACCTTCAGCTGTGCATAGTGATCATTCACTTAGAAACATGGAGCTGGAAGTCAGCATTCAGGGCTGGAACATACATACACGTGAACTGGAGATATGTGTGCTGATATCTTAGTCATTGACATAGCTCCAAGTCTCAATCATGAGAGAGGATATTAAACGGTCAACACTCGAGGTTTCATCCTTGGAGTCGTATAGATATGTGTTGAGCTTGGGCATGGGCTCCGTACTAGGCCATGTCATAGATTCTCTTTTGATTATAAGAGCTCCATCTCTGCATATTCTTCACATTCACAGTTTGAAGCCCAGATTCCTTCCACCGCATTTTCATGGGCTCATCGAGGTCCTGAAATGCATCAGACCTCACTTAAGGACAGTGACGTAGCAGATAAGAAGTGATTCGATTTTGCATGCATCAAACCCCGGACTACTTCACGACTTACGACGCCCAGTGATGTTCGTGTTCTGAGCAGCGATAGTCTTCAGGGCGCCTCATTTTGCGCGTGAGCCATGTACTAGTATGAGTACTCAACTCCTCCTACTTTGTAATGCATACTGACTGAACTACAGAAGGGTACTCGCGGTCCACGTGCTCAGGGTGACGCATGAAGTCAGTAGGCTGAGCTTCTCCTCTGCCTTAGGAACATGAGTTCCATGATTGTAGAAGATTTACTAGTGAACAAAGAAAATTATATGTATGCCAATGTGAATGGGGTTTGAACGGAGCCTGGAATTTCACTATCTTCATCGTCTCTCTCATAGAGGGTTCTCGACCTTTCAGTTGATATTGTTGTTGTTCTTAGAATTGGGTATGAACCCAAGTTATGAAAAAATTCAGAGACAACATCAACACCAACATCGATTTATAAGCTAAAGTTTAGTATCAAGGACTCATGTCATGTTGTGTGTGGTCTGAATTTTGTAATCTTGAGTTTGAAGATACAAATCATTGAGAGGTTCCCAACTTCTTCTTCGCCATAAAAAGCAGAGTGGACGTACATTTTGTTTTTCTTTTTATCATGAAATCAGACCCACAGATCATGAGTTGACCACATCTCAGAAGACGTCATTATATTGCTTAGACCTTCTAATATTCGATGAATTTTTACACAGGAAACTTCTCATCGAAGATGTAATTTTCTTCACCAGTCATGTACTCTGATATCTTGCACCATGCTTGTGATAAAGTTAGTTCTTTAAAGACGCTTAGGACGATACTTAGGTTGCAAACTGTTTGTGACAAACAAACAGTTTGCAGCCGAAGTACCTTGTCTCTTTAAAAGCCAAAGCTAGATTGGTCTTCGTGTGCCAATGAAAACTCAGGGTCCCATAAGGACAAAAGGAAGCATGAGAGAATTTCTTACGTGAAGAATTCGAATCTTTGAAGCAGCTTACAAGACTACAACTGTAAGGATCCAATGGTAAACTGTGAAGCGTTTCAAGGGGACATGAGGGTTAGGACAATTTTCATGAATATAAGTGCACAGAGGTTTCGATCCCTGAATGGCACTATAATGAATGGTGGCTAGATTTTAACTAATGCTTCTTACTCTAATGTATACCAGCAGGGAAATGTCTAATGTGCACGTACAATGTATGCTATTCATCAAGATAAACTGTTCATGAAACGGTTTGACACATCGACAGGAAGTTACTTAAGCGAGTAAGAAACACATCTCGGCATGATCATGATACCTCGCCTAGCTCAACTACTCGACAATCAATCTCTTCAGTACTAACACTTCTCAGACGTCATTGAGTACAGCAACCTACTTACGTCAACTGGGAATGTCGAGTTAAGAAGCGCCATGTGAGTCAAATGCTCTACTGGCACTTGCTCCGGCTTCAAGGGTGATAGCTGTAATCCTACGCAACAAATGTCTGTACTCCTGACACCGATGTTACAGCATAGAATTGGCCGAATGTAGCGAATTTGTTCAGTTGGGATCAAATAGTTTCCGATCTTCTGTCAGCCTCGCAAACGATCCAACTCCATCTCATTGTGTGCTTGACTATGACCTCTACCTACCATTTAGTACACCAACTTTCAGAGCTGCAGCAGGTCACGTCGGAGGTTCATGGGATTGAGATTTACTTCGGACAGCAGATAACGGAGTGCTCCAACATTATGCTGCATGTGGGAACTTTGTAGAACGTCACATCGTGAACCTGAAGATGATTCAAATGCGGAGTCTCAACCGGGGCAAGAACCAATGGCAGGTCACCATAAGTGAAATTAAACAATCAAGCAGGAAGGAACAAGCATCTCAAAATCACTGGAATTCCAAAGCATATGTTCTTTGAGCCATGTGATCCGAAACTTGAAATCTGAATATATTTTTTGGTGAAATCGAGTAGTTTATATAACAGGTACTTCTAGACTCCGAGATCAGCTTCCAATAATCAGTGCAATAGTTGGAGCAATGTGTGCTTTGGCTTCGACAATTTGTAAACTAAAGCCACAATCAACAGCTGAATCTCGTTCTTATGTTTGCGCAATTGATATGTCTCATGGATTCTTCGTTTAACCAGTTTGAATATTTGAATGTTGTCTCCATTCAAAAATACAAATAACTGAGCACCCAAGCCGGAAGAATTTTGTCAATGTTGATTGTTGAAATGCGCATTGTCTTACATCCACAGCTCGAAAGATCTTCTGGCGATTTTATATTATCTCCTTGTGTTCAAACGGAAGAGGCAACGTCCTCGTGGCTCTGCACCATCGGAAACTAAGATGTAGCCAGTTTTAGGTGTAGGTTGGTAAATGAACAATGGAACCAGAAAACAATATTAAGATCTGAGACAACGCTGTAATAAGTCAATATCTACCAGCGCCCAATTTCAAAAAAGTAACTGAATGTTGGTGAGAGGTAGGCATTTCAGCGCCAATACTAGAAGGCGTGGGTTCCATACAAGAAATACTTGACAGACGTAAAGTACTTCGGTTTCTGGACGTTTATTACAGAAATCTTAGCAACAAGTCATAGTTGTGTTTTTTAGCCTTTTGACCCTTTGGGTCCCACGGGCTTGATTTATTTACCATTTACCATAGATATCTTTATTAGACGCCACGAATAAAGAAAAATTAATATGTTTGATTAGTTTTTTTCGGTGTAGCATTTCTTCAACATAATTAAACGGTGATATAAAGCCGAGAAATTCACTGTCCACAGAGAATTAAGAGGAATCAAATTCGATGAGGAGTTTTGGAAAATATCTGGCTTTAAAGCTACTCTAGCCTTGTGTCGATCTCCATCCATGAGAAAATAAGCTAACATTGACTCGACCCATGTCAATAAAAAATCCACGTACAGACTTCAACGGAGCTTTGCTGAGTTTAATATGCTTTTGTCCCATCAGCACAGCGAGTGTCCCACTTAGAGAGAAAAAGAGAGAGAGAGAATTGTTTTAATATTTCCGAGACCACCCATTTTCACACTCAGCTAGTCTAAGTATGAAAATCAACCCATATACAGATGAAAGCAGCTAGTCTACGTGCATAATAATCAAAGATCAAAATACGTAAATATGTGAATAATAAAAAATACGCCTTTTGTCTTTGGCTTGCACGTGAAACAGCACGATAGCTTCCCAGTCTATGGTGTAAGCGGTATCAAACACTAAGAAACTTCAGACTGATTTTGAAATCAGAGTACGAAGAGAGTTAGCTCTTTCTTGCGTACGTATTGAAGATACTCATCCTCAACATGATTCATTCAACCCGATTGTGTATTTCTTACAGCACTTTCAACCCGTAATGTAAGCAGTCACAGTTGAGATCATTCGAGTGATAGTTCGTGCAGTCTGTTTCGACCCTCCTCTGATCCTCCTCGGGTCTCGAATGCATGCATCCTCTATACTACAACACTCGAGAAACTTTGGCTACAAAAGTTCAGCCATTGCGAATGGCGCTGTCATACAATTATCATGCAGAATTACCACATTTACCGGAGGACTGCGATCATAATTGCGTAAGAGCACTCGGGTCCAGAAACATTGACGCCTCTTTGACTCATAATCCACTCAGCTGAAATGTCAACGTTCTCAACAATCGGCCTGAGGGCCGAAGCGCGCGAACGCTACGTGACTGTGGCATTCACCAATACACAGGAATCTTGTTCTCAATCAGTTGACCTGCACGTGGCTTCTCGAAGCTCACTCCACTGGTGGCATTGTCTACCTTGCGTTCTAAGTACACGCGAGCTCAATCTCAAGCTTGCTGTCGAGAACGTGAGATTCCAACTTCTTTCCTGCTAGCCAGCTCCCTCATAGACATACTTACCAGCCACTCTACATGATGACTTAGTCGACTTCATAACCTTTATCGTATTCGTATTTATCTATCTTGAGTTTTTCTCTTTGATATAAGTGACCACTGTTATGATTTCATGGACATTCAAAGTATTCAGCATATTAATGTTCACATTAGACTTTTAGACTCGACCTCCATTTGTCATGTATAGAAGTCAATCAAGAGTGTGAAGATCGGTGGGAATGGATGGTATACTACTACGAGTATTTATGAGTGCCATTTCGATCATTCATATGCGAGCGAACACGTCTTTTCTAGGCCTACATGTAAGTTTCTTGGCTATTTGAATTCAAATAAAGTTTCAATGAACAGGACCAGCTAGAGTTCAAATCGAAAAGCAGAAATCTGAGACAAGAAGCGAAGTAGTAGAGACATGGTATTAATATTTTGCATAATTATTTGATACTCTAAAACCTCGAGATGATTAATTTTACTAAGCTCTCAGCGTGGAGCATGATTCTAAACTGAAGGTTGAATGTTTAATACGAAGTATCTAATGAAGTCCAAAAGCCAGATATCGAGTCGAATGAGACGAGACTCAAAAATTTTATTCTGGTACAATAAAAACATATGTGAACAAATGTTCTGACAAATCAGAATTTGTGTATATATATATATATATATATATTTATTTATTTATATATTTAGACAAAGCAACATGCTTAGTCCATTTCCACTGTTGGTGGTTAAGATAATATTGACTTTGAAGGATCCATAATCCTCGTATTTGCTAGAATGAAAATCATAACGTGGTCACCGTCGTCATTTATAGATTGCTAGTAATTTTTGTATGGATGCTGAGCTGAAAGTTGTTGGAGTCCTGAAAACTCTGATCATCTTCTGCACTCCACAAAATGTAGAGCTGACTGTCAAGCATTTCCTGCAGGACTGAACTAACATATGTGAAAATCTGCACTCGCGACGAGAACAACGAGTTGGAAGGGAAGTTGTTTGATACAGCAGTATACGAGTCTGATCGTTCTGTCCTACGAGCAATCTTTAGAAGTTTATTGAATGAAATCCATCCAACATCTGACAGCACGAGAAGTAGGAAAGTTGAGATTCATGCCTGGATAATCACCCCAACCAGGTTACGCTGTTGGCGAGCTCATAATTACCCGAGGCTATGCTATATACGTTGATGACGTAAGTCCTTGGGCTGTAGTTCGTAATGTTCACCTTGGCATCAGGCTCAATCGCTATCACCAAATTCTGCTTGGTCCCAGCGTTCCCTACAACAGCAGTGAAATTCCAGTTCACGGTAGACACAGGTGCTGGTACCGTGTAGTAGATGGTCGTAGACGTGCCTCCAGGGAGGGTAGCCGATGCCAGCAGAGAAGAAGCATCGTTCAATCTGATACCGAACTCCGCATTGGACAGGTTGTCCACAGGAGACTGGTAATTGACGGCAGATGAAACTGCCGAAAAACACATAGCAATAATGAGAATCAGAACGGCCTTCATGAGAACTCCGTGTGTGGTCTTCATGTTGGCAAATTGACTGCTGACGGTCGAAGCTATTGTCAACGAACTATCTGAAAGATGAGAGACCTTACAACTGCACTTGATCCAGCTTGCCGGTTGCTGGGATTTATAGTAAATTCGCGGACTCACTGACGATTATTGTTGAAGATGCGTTTCTATCTGACTATTCACTGGTCAGAAAGAGTCATGCTGAGTCAAGTAAAGTCAATCTATCTCACATGTCATCCATTGAGGTGGCTTCAGAACGTACATAATCTTCAGACCTTGCAGAAGACCCATTCCAAGTATGGCAAGCTTTCCCGTACACAAATTTTGGTGGAAGCTGGTGTCAGATAATGCTGAAGACTGCCTACTCTGTGATCGTACATCCGCAGCAGGTAGGCGTCTCTTTCGTTGTCATCAGTTAGGTGATGTTGGCATTGGCTGCTACGTAAGTCGTAGCACACCGCTCTCATGTTTGCGAAGTAAGCGACTAAGCCATAACTAGTTACACAATGCCCAGTGGAATGCTGCAAAGGTAAGTTAGACAATTGCCAGATTTGTAATATATCCCAGTTGCGGAAGATCATGTGATTCAAGTCATTGAGTATTGTACTAGAATTTTGAGTCTCTAGTTCCGAAGGATCAATGCGCAGAAGATGGACATTAATGCAACAAGAACATAGCACATATGGGGCTATAATTTTTCCGAGGTCACAAGTCAAGTGCGTTTAGTTTAAACCTGCATGTAGAGATATAATTGAGAAGATTTGTTTGCAGTTTTTGATGGATATGGTACTGTAAAGCAGTGCTTTAGAGTACAATGTGCTTTAAAAGCACATGCTTCTAGCCAGGGACACCGAAGAGCAGTTGGAAATATGAGGTCTTGTCAACACCTTTAGGTTTGACCACAATAATCTGATAATGTTGTGCTCCGCTTTCCCGTAATAGTGCCCAAGTTCTTGGATTCGTTGAACGCACGAATACAGAGTCAAAGTCTTACTATCATGAGGTGGAATTGTCAACTCTCTGACTTCTCGCTAACGACACTCCACATCTGGACTGACGTAGCCTGCGAATGTTTATCTATTTGCAGTAAGTTCTGCCTCGTGGATGTTACTTTGCTATGCTTTCTAAAAGCTATCGATCTACTGTACATATTATGTATATCAGCTCTTGACGATATGATTTTCCATTCGGACTTGGTCCTACTGTTAACCTTGACTTAGCTTCTGCATCGTCCGTGGATTTCAAAACTCGATAGTGCGGCTTCCACCAACCAGATTTCGTCAAGTCTTGAAAACTCAGATATCTCAAAGTATCTCTTGTCAGAGTTTGAAGGACATTGAACTGTTTCCCAGTGGGCCAATACTGCGCATGTATCTCATTAGTACCTGGTATGACCTTTACACTCGCAATCAGCTGAGACTTTATGCAGCTTAAGGGCATTACATGCATCTCGGTAGACGGGAAAATTTGGGCCTTTCAGAACTGATGGAGACCAAGTTCAGATTGGAACGCCTCGTTGGCTCAGAAAGACTCATTGCGAAATTTACTATATCCATGTCTTCTGCGTGGATTCATTCTTGGAGGTCTTGATATGTCGTTAACGAGCAGGGCCTAAGCTAATATGCTTCAAATACGCATACACCCGCTTATATCTCAAGCTGAATTGAAGATTTAGAAAGTTTTCCAGAATGTTAGAACTAAGGACTAAATTGCTTGCTTCATTTATCCCAAAAAAACTAATTTAGTACCGATTGTACTCCACTGAATATAATTTTAATACTCACTATTAAACCCATGGATCAATCTCAACAACTGGACATTGTGCACAGATCACTTTTAAGGACAGAACTGCGGGGGAGAGACCTCAGTCTATTGAAAAATACATGATCACATTGATTGTTCTTAGAAGCTATTTAAGCCACCTCGCGTTAAATAGTTTTTAATTGCCAGCGTATATACTCCAAGGTTTCATGAAGGAAGCTTGTCCTTTATGCTTTCGTATCTCTACGGCTTTAAATGAAACAAAACATTATACGGAGTATTTCAAGTGTACGTGTCAATTGTAGATCAAAAGGTGAGACGAAACAGCAAATTTCACATCTATACGCGATGTAGACGCACCGGTACAGAAGTAGATTATCATTTGACAAATTTGATCTGATGACAACAGATTGGCGTCATCTTTTCTACAAAATTTGGTCATACATAGAACAATTACGCGAATGTCAAAAGGGAGCAAGTCAAAGGCATACTTGACTTGCACTTCGAGATGTGCTGAGGAAAAGTAAAGTGGCTGTCAAATGCCAGATCGACAAGAGATAGAATTGTACATATGAAGATCGTATGTGAGTGGTTACCTGAAACTGATTCAGTAGAACGAGTTTGGATCATCAGACCTGTCTGTTGTAGATATCGCTACTTAGCTGCCAACGATGTAGAGAATTGTGAAACAGATTATGATGTATGATGATATACGATGCTTTGAATCACAGATATGGAAGGAATCTAGGAACCTTTCTCTTATACGTGAAATTACATGGTCCTTCATCGTCCCAGATACTCAAACTGAATTTTGATGTAATGAAATCGATCCCATTGCATGTGAAGCTGGGTGCTTTGCACTTCTTCAAGTTCCACTGCAAGTCTGCTATAGTTCAGCATCGAGATCGGCTGAAGCAGAAGCATCCTGAAGGTTTGTTATTTCTTGGTGAGGTCTGATGTGCTGCCGAATGTCTTATGTGCTGGTAGGGATTGGACCGAGAAAATCGACCTCGTTTTAGCTCCTTGCCGGGAGTTCAGCTAATTTGTCTTTTTTTGGCTTCAGGCTAATGCTAGAAGCCATAATAACTCATCGCATCGAATCGAAAAGACTTGCATCAGCCGTCAGGCATGGAGGGAAGGAAGCCTGAAGAAGGAGCGATCATCATCTGATCATCATGTGCTTCAGGTGTGCCTGCTGAACATTCGTCTTCCTTTTCCTTGAAATTTTCACACAACATCTTCATAGACTGCGTGACGCGAGCAGTATGCGGTATTTACACAACCCATTGGAAGCATTTGAATTCAATCAATTAATCAAACAATCAATAAATTTTATTTAGGCCCAGTTATGTGAAGAGAACACCATGGTTGACTTCTGAATCTCATGATAGAAAACTAAACTTGTGAACAGGACAATTCCTCCCAGCAACATCGACATCCACCTGTTCATGACATGTACAAATGCATGGAAAGTTATCGTGACTGGATTCTGTGTCTGTTATATACACAATCAAAATGCATATTAGGCAGAGACTTTGAATCTTTCTGCTGTGGGGCCTGCTCTATCCACCTGAAAGGGTTGTACGAGTCAAATCGAAAACGGGTTTCACACGCCAGAGAGTCAAACATCACTGCAGGCCTTATCTGCAGTGGATGATAAAAAGGACATTTTTCTACTGAAAGCTGGCATCGCACAATGATGTGCTAAGCCCACATATGATGAAATAATTCTGCCAAATCTGGAATCTGGAAGTCATATGAGCGTATACCCTTTCTCGACTTAAATTTTCTTCATCTGAAGAGTCTCTCACGCTATTCATATGTGAAGAAAGAGACTCGGGCTCATAGGAGCCAAAGTTTGATGTACAGTGGAGCTGTAGTCTAATACGCGATGGGTATACAAGAAGAATAGTTTCAAAATTTAGTGTCATTGATTTCAAATATCTGTATTGCAACCCCAAGTGAGAAATTCCAAAATTTTCTGCCATTTCTGTTTTAGAATTGCAACCTCAAGTGAGAATTTCCAAAAGTGGGTGGGTGCTCAATACGTGGGTGAATGCTAATATCTGAACTGGGGCATAAAATAAACTTTTTCTAAGCAACTTAGTTCTATCGAACATTGATGCTGGAGTATGGAGGGATCTTCATCAGACAATAGCTTGTTTGATTTTGGTTCTCATGAAATAACTTGTTTTCTTATTGTAGACTAGAAAAATGTATCTCTCGGTTTTCTGGTATTTTTAGTAGAATCCTAATCGCGGCACATAAACAGCCCAATTTTTTTAATTTTCAGAAATCGATAAACTTAGTTGTATGAATACGATCATGAATCAAAAGAATTTTAAAAATATGTATATTGCACATTTCATCTCACTTTATTGAATTTAAAAGAAAATAAAATCTCGAAGAAATGAAATAATTACAGGTATAACATCAGGTCCTTATGGTCCATCCATGTACTGTATACATGCATTATATCTTTCATTCCACGTGTCTTGCCGAAACTCTCTTAATACAGGATAGAAGCGCATGTGAATTGTATGTAGTCTAGCCAACTTCGTTTCATGGCTTATTTGCCTTGTAGTAGAATATGAGCTTCACACCATTAAGGTACCTATTGAGACTTTCCGTGTTCTGATAACTCCGTCGGATTTTAGATAAAAGAATGAGGTTGAAGATCACATGTTTACCAGATGTTGGAACTGATGTGGAACTGCAGGTGGCTAAATTGCTGAAAAACTCACAATGCAGAGAACTAGAGAGTAAGATTTCACGCTCCTAGACGATATGACCCGTTCATTCTTCTTAACTGCAGAAGGGGACATGCAAATTCGAAAGTCATTGCCTGCTCGACTTTAAAGATTGTAGGTATTTCTAGCCTTGTGTTGATAGAGCAACTCAACAGAAAATTTCTGAACACATTATGGTTACAGTTCTGTTAAAAGTGTGTTCATACTGATCAAACATTTGCTGTCTAGACATCTATATATATAAATAAGCATAGCCAGCGCTTTGTACACTCTTATCCGTTAGAATTTTTTTTTTGTACGTGCTATGGCAAACAGTTATGGTTTTTGAACTCTGATATTGAAGGTATCAAAGTATGCAAATGGTCTTTGCACTAATGCAATACAAGACTTAGTGCAAAGACCAAGTCTGATGAAAGCCAGAAATCTGATTTTTATAGTGTAACAACTCGAAAAGCAGAAATTATTCACAAAAACACTGGAAAGTTTTAGCGTCATGTGCAAGAACAAATACCGTCACAAAAATTTGATTTCGTGCCTGACACAAAGACAAATATTTGTTTTACCAAGAGCATTTTTTCTCCAGTCCTCTAAGTGCCAGCCTTTGAATGTGAAAATATGGGCACACATGAACGCTATGCCAACCAAGAACATGATTTTCATTTACAAGGTATATATCTTCACATGTCTCGCACCTCTTTACATCCATAATCTTAAATATTTCTTGGAAGAAAATTGTTTAACAGAGTTGAGTTTAGGGGAGGATCAGAACCGCATACATATATTTGGCAGCTCAAATACAAATTTGTTTGAAATTTTCCTGATTGAAGAAAGACAATTGACGCTTTCAGATTTACCTTACATCCTGATTCTGGATCATATCGATAGTCAAAAAGAGCATTCTAAGCCTTCAACTTTCTGGTTGTTGAAGCAAGTGTTACAAGTGAAAAGAACCGTCTCACGTTTATAGAATGCAGTGTTTCAAAGTAAGTTCACTTGTACTTTCAATGTCTGTAGCCTCTTTTCTGAAGGGATCTGAACATGTGCAATTGCTCGTCAGAGGTTCTCGGACAGACGACCCTGGATGTAGATAGATACTTTCCTTGGGCTTTCAAGGATGAGAGTACGAGTTGAAAATCACTTGCTTGCTTGCGTCTGCTCTTTTACAACTAGTCGAGTAAGTAAGTTTGAGCTTTCTCAAACTCCTTGGTTCCAGATACATGTCCATATTCCTCCCACAGGACGGCGACTGACAAATTGATCGCTCTGAGTTTCAGCAAGTTTGGCGAGAGGTCCACTCCTTCATTACTCGTAAGAAAGTCAATATTTAGTATATCTTAATTTATTGAGATAATTGTGAGGTACTCAAAGTCATGGAAGGTTATATCCCACTTGTTGAATTGACCGCAGAAGGGCTCCACATAAACAAGCTTCAAAGTTCAGTTAGAGACGTACCAGAAGCCGAATCTGGGAAAATGATGACCACTTCATCAGTTCTGATATCATTTCGTAAAGTACATCCAACTCCAATCAGGTCAAAAATCTCAATATTTACATTACTGTCAACACTGATGGATCACTTTTCTCTGCAGAGTCCACAGAAACCAGCACATCGCTTTGTGAGGCCATCGTCGGTATTGTAAACTTCCATAAATGTAAATAACAAGAAATTCGTGACCCATGTTTGTCCTTTTGTCCTGACAGTTCATACTCATACGCTTGGATGTTGTCTTGAGCTCTGAAAGAGCTACCGGGAGCAGCTAACAGCCAACTACTAGGAGATTGCTTTTCAATCAACTGAAGGCAAAAGCTTATTACCGAAGTTTGTCGGTGAAACAATGACGTTATGATACCTACGTTCTTAAAAGCAATGACATTTACCGAACCTCTCCCAGATTATTACTTTTTGAATCCACCAAGAGCAGAGTTGATGCCCGGCATCACTTCGTGGTCTTTATCTGTTAAATACTTTCTGAGACCGTGAAGTTTGTAGTTCTTCCCTTCTTTAAAATTCTCCAAGTAACCAGCTCCTCGATCCTCCTTAGAAATTCTGTCACCGTGATTCAGTTGTTAGCTGCACGTTTTCATCCTCGTTACAAGCATTTTTCGGTGAGGCTTTGATTTGTAGTCAACATTGCTTAGAGATTTGAAGTTACAGAGTAACCATGCACCACAATTATCTCGAAAACTCATTCGAGATAATTGTGCAGAGGCATTTATCAACGAATGAGCTCGCTCTAAGTAACATCTCAAGACTTTTATCGAGAAAGTGTACACCTCACGTCGGGATGGCCGATTGCGTTGCGGGCGATGGAAAACACGTTTATACCAAGAGCAAAAGCCATCACAGCCACTATGGGATAAACCTGCAGCGGACAGTACAATAATGTCCAATTGGGATGCAACGAGTTAACAGATCGTGATTCATTTTATGAACTCCTTAGACCGCTACTGTCAAGAACTCAACACATGAATGGAAAAATTTGCACTGCACAGCTAATGATAGGAGCACTCCAGAAATCGATGACATCAGGATCTGATCTGTCGATGCTAAGGAGTTCCTTGATCCCCTATATCAATTCTGAAATTTGGTGGAATCAACGGGAGGCCTCAAAAGCAAAAGGTCTCTGCACGGATAAATCCGACCGCAAAGCGCAGAATAAGAGATAGAAGCTGAGAATCTCGTCGAACCCGAAGCCCGACTTGCAGAACCACGACACGAAGCGACCGGGAAGTCAAAATTTAGAGACATTCTAGTGGAACAAAGAGTGGCTTTTGTAATTGGGAAAAGCATCAATAGCTTCGGGTGCTACTCGCCTCCGGTCTGACCCATCTGTTCCCACCGTGACCCATTCTCGTCCAAGTTACTACTACTTATCTGAGTCTTCCTGCGCCGCAATATCCCCTCTTCGATCGATCACATGCGACCGGCCGTCCTGATACGGGAGAACTCAGATTCTCGAAGATGTGAAATCCGAAAGCAGTGGCACGGGCGAAAGGAAACAAGAGGAAGAGACGCATCTTTTCGCTCGTTCAGAGCCCTACAATGAGCGGTGCCTTGTTCGGTGGGAATGCACGTGCCGACCGGGGTAACGAACTGTGGAACAGGAGCAATGTCCGACAATTTCGATGATGGTTGCGAGTCTCGAACGATCGACATCGGCGACGGTCAGTGCGAACGATGGCACTGGCTGATTTGCCTCGGGATTCGAATCCCAATCACATCTCGAAATGAGATTTGTGAAGAGTATCATCACAAATTTTTATTTTTTATTCCCAGAGATAGACTAGATTCTTAAAAAAAAACTCAGTTTGTTATTTCATAGAAATTGGTGTCTATTTTAGAATTTATAGTAAATATGCATATTTTTTGAAGACGAAGGTTTCAACCTTATTTTTAGATGCTGAATACCTTGAAATATTATACTATATGAATCCATACACAAATTTGGTCATAGATTTATCAATGGTCAGATCTTGCAATTATTGAATTTAAAACTATTGAAATTTCTTGGAGAAATAACTTATTTATCACTGACCCATGTTAATAGTAAAAGTCACTCTTTCACATCAACTAATCTTGTCATACATATACTATGGAGACAACATACTTCGATTAAGCTACATTTTGTTTTATTTTTTCAAATTTAAAAATCAAGTATATTGAAAATCAACCAAATGGTTTCGAATGGAGAAAGCTTTAAGGACATATGTCAAAGTCCACATGTTTACTTATTCATTGTATGGTTAATTATAGCCTATTTCTGGAGAACATATTGGAAATAACCTCATAAACCTACATCTACAGCATCCATTGTAGTAACCAAGTTGATCAAAATAATGAGCTTGCAAATGAGTTTGTTGACAATATGAAATTTGTAACTGCAAATCAATAGAAATGTGTAATTTATCTTTACCAGGAAACTATTTTGTTAATGAAAGACGTATGTATCTACTAATTTATCATTCACACATTAGGTAAAATTTATATTATGAAGATCTGAACATGGTTAAGTATGTAAAGCAACACAATCTTTGATTTGTCATTATTGTTACAACATATACCTTTATATCATAATACCATTATCAAAGTTGGAATTTTATGATAACCATCGTTTTGAAATAATATACTATAGCAGAGAGTAAGATTGATTCTTTTGGTCATTTTATGCAAGCTATACAAGGTTGACAAATCATATAACAGTATTTCATGCATGTGGTTTCCTTAGATCCCAAAAAAAGTTGATAAGTTTCACAATAACCAATGAGCAGAGCTCAAAAACTGGCAGCCAGTATCCGAATCTCTGGCGCTATTCTAAAATAAGGTGTACGGGTTAAATTTTAGACGTGTGGATCTGCAACGATATAAAATGTTCGGGGAACCGCACATGCCTTTGTCTGACTAGCGTGCATCTCCGTCTCTTTTCAAACTGTTTGTAACACGTTTAAGCACGTTTATTCGCGCGTTTTCCTTTTTCTTTTTTGGAGTTCTCGTATTATTGACAATCTAAAATTATTGAAAAGTTGAAAAATTTAGTATGTTATATATAGCGTAGTATTTGACTTAATTTTTCATTTATTTAATAATATGACAATGAAGAATATGTTAAAATATAACTAAAGAATCTATACAAAGTCCAACTGTTGCAATGTTTGGTTCTATTCGTCCAAAATATATCGCGTTAGCTAGATAACTTTCTGAAGTGATACATACATGTTACTTGCATTATATTCCTCTTTCACAATGCTATCATTGAGAGACTATACCATTTCAATTACAAGAAGAGAGAATTCGTAGCTCAAGTTATCTGAGCGACAAAGTCAATTCTTGGACGCCTACAAAACCTTGAAGTTATGCCAAGAGAATCTTGTAAGTTCACCTTTGGACTTTCAAAAGATAACAGTGGTTGTGAACATAGAAGCACAAGGACAGTGTGGAGCTAACCTCGTCAGAACCTTGCATCGAGAAGAACGATTAGAGATATTCAGCAAACCTTCTGAGTTTGGAGACTCCACAGGCTAGATTGAAGATGAAAGCCATTAAATCATATTTGCAAGAGATTGCCCATCCCTTGGCTTTTTAGTGTTGCATTGAGGTCAGATGCTGGAGATAGCATTCGTATAAATTTCTCATGGAGCTAGAAGAATGGAGACCTGCATGTGTGCCAAGTTTGGATCCTCATGTTTTTGATAATGAATACATGGATTTAATCCAAACAATGCATTCCGTTTGCGAAGGTTACAACGGAGCAAGCTTCGGTGGTGTGTCAACTCACAATTACGATCAATCTTGATCACCTCGTCTAAGAAGAGCCTAAGAAGAGCATATCGTGAGGAGAAATTCCAAAAGTTCATGCACACTTTGTGAAGACATAATCTAAACTCATGGGGCGAAACTTCAGTTTGAAGTTACTGAAATATGAAGCTGAGATTTAATGAAGCGGCAATTCACTCCTGTAAAAGCGGAGACACCCGCTCGTGTGCAGAGGTTTACAAGATTCTCTCGCAGGAGGAAGAATCAATTTAGCCAGAGAGTTTAGTGTAAGAGATGAAAAAAATGTAGGGCACACACGAGATTAGAAAGAAGAACATAGCTTTCGGCATAGAGTTTTGCTAGGAAATGTGTCAGAATCCTGAGAAGATTTTGGCCGACATGCTCAAGATGCAGCTCAAAATCCACTCATCTGCTCAAATCGGCATGGGCAATGAATTGGGATGCAACCCATTGAAGGTGCCCGTTTGCAAGAAAAAAGAAATAGAGGTACGGTGAAGGGAGACATCGGCAGAAGGAATTCTAAGCTCAAAATGGAGTATGATTTGTAGTTGAGCATTTTTTTTCTTCACAAGAAATAGATGATTGTGAGCCGCAATTGTAGTCAGGTTAGAACTAGCTCACTGACAAAGTGACGACTTTGAAAAGTACCAGTACTCACAAGTATATATTAGTATTCGCCCATGAGTTGTCATGAGGCTTTACTAACTAGTAGAAATTTGCTGTTTAATCTGAAGACTTGGGCTTGTGAGTGAAGGAAACCCTTTTAATAAAAGAATGAGTGAATCTTCAAATTCTGGTGTTCTGCTCTGTTGTGGATGGGAAAGGAGTTGTCCACGAATAAGAAAGAGGTGCCTCAATTGGGGATTATGTAGTGTTCATAGTGGTAAAAGAGGCATGACCTTATATTCTTAGTACATGAGAGAAACACTTGTCATTACGATTGCGAATGACATTTACTTTCCCTGGGACTTCCCTCTTGGCCCTATAAGCCTGCATTGTAGAACATGATGTATGTCCAACCTTATTTCTGTGGGACCTTAAGGGAAGGATGAGGCAGGGACTAGCGGGACACTCATCGATCAATTGCAATGTATATTCAAGTACTATATGCTTGAACAAAATTTAACCTGGAAGTTGAGAACACTGTTGTGAAGTTTAAAGATTCAATAAGATGAAGCCTGCTGCACTATATTATGAAACTACATCAATATTGTGATGTGCCAGTAGATTGGACTCCAGCCGCTACATATCTGTGGATTATCAAGGATCGTACTTCAGTCTCCCAAAGTCACGATAACATTTAGCTTTATTCAAGAACTGCAAGCTCTTTCGTCTTCTCAGATTCCAACGTTTCAATGGCATCTCTCTCTGGACGTTCCGAGCTTGAAGCTTCATCCGTTGTAGAGTTATTTCTTTTGATTTCTATCATGTACCTGCCTGATGGATTCTGCACCAGAACATCTCGAGGCGTATAACTTTTCACTCCATTGAAGTAGACAAAGAAGTTTTCTACTGCTTGTGAATGAAGAATGTGACTGCCATAACATTCTCTAATTCGAATTTCAAGAGCTTTGATTTGATACGACCATGAGAAATAATAGTATCCTGGTATAATGATTCCCAAAGCGGACATAGCAATTGTGATGTAGCCGATGATGTTCTAGCGCAGTAACTGACACTTGTAAGACTCGGTATCATTCCCTGCTGCAAAATCCATCCCAAGGACCGACTACAGATTGCCGCTTAGTTCTGAGAATGATCTCAGACCTGCACAAAACTTGGTGACCGAAATCAGCTTTAGAATGAAGCGAGTATAGCCGTGAGATCTGATCAGCTGATTTGTACAATTTGGAAGGCTCGGAGCCACAAGAGAACCTTGAAGTTCTCACCTTCCAGCAAATGCAGCTTGAAGGTCTGCACAGCGAGGACATAAGAGTGAGGATTCGAAGGTTTTCTTGCTCACGATTACATCATGAGCAGTTGCATACCAGTGTTAATCTTCTCGACCATATTGTGCGCCAAGTCCCAATTTGCTGGTCTGCTAATGGCTGAGCGCACAATCAGAACTCAGTATCTTGTTCATTCCCAAGTAGAGATGACAACCCCTGCACAAAGCCTGGAGAAGCTGCCACTCTGATAAATCCACTCCATCCTGTAGGTACAGCATGAGGTGGAAAAACCCGGAGTTTAGATATTAAAAAGAGCTAAATAATGCCAATGAATACGCGACTTTGGATAAGTGATCGAGAACAAGATCTTGAGCATGTTCCGACCATCAAAGATCATATGAAGCAAGGCTACCCGTGCCCAGTTTTCTGCATGGTAGCCTAAATAAAAGCATGTCGGTGAAGGGAATCTCAACGCTGAAAATATACATAAAAGGCCTTCGAACACCATGGCTCCTTAAATCTACGTCTTACAGTAACCAAGCCAGATATTCGCAGAAATTTTTGGAATGTAAAGCTCAAGACCACACCGCGAGTAATGAGGAGAATATGGGCCGAGCATCTGCCCACGTATAAGACTGTTACCCCACTCTTACGGAATTTCTGTTAATGAGGCTTAGCGCTGGGTCGATTCGAGAAAACTTGGAGTTGCAGATGACAAAGTCCACGGCACAAAGTCTGGATTATATCGCCCAGCGCTCGCTCAATTCGAGAAAACTTGGAGTTGCAGATGACAAAGTCCACGGCACAAAGTCTGGATTATATCGCCCAGCGCTCGCTCAATTTGAGAAAACTTGGAGTTGCAGATGACAAAGTCCACGGCACAAAAGTCTGGATTATATCGCCCCACTTTACGTCAGTGTAAGTCTGCTATGTACAGTAGTGCTTCTGTTGGATCGGGGGCCAATATTGCAATGTTGCAGAGTAGTGCTTCTGAGGGATCGGGGGCCAATATTATACAAGAATCTGTAGCGAAGTCAATGCATGCAAAGCTCTGGACCAGGAGATCTCTCCGAATGGTTCCGAGATCGGTCCAAAACATTGGCGCCTAGCCGTGCGAGCCAATCGTGAGCACTCCAGCTGCGCTGGTATTGGTTGAAAGAGAGAGAAACAAAGTCCTTGACTCTCTCTCCAATCAGTATAAGATCACGCGCAGATGCACCTGCAAGCAGAACACAGCTGCCTCCGGTTCATCTCTGAGTACTCCCTTCGTACTCTTGTGGTTCGGTTTTTTGACGTAAGTTCGCTCAACGAGAGCTTTGACATGAAGGTGAGCTTGAAAAAGGTTTTAACGCCATGATCATTTACAATTGGAGTCCCTCCCTCGCTGACAAGACCTTTTGCTCTTGATTTTTTCAGAAAATGGACAGTGTCAGAATTCTGATGGTTCGTGATCTGCTTAGCTTCAACGTTCTGTTGATCCTCATATTTGCATCCACGTCCGTCAATGCCGGGCCTGTATACGCTAACACCGAATGGACGGACTCCCATGCGACTTTCAACGATGGAAATAATGCTCAAGGAACGATGGGTGCGTTCTAGATTTCTCACATGAGCAGCATTAGCATTAGCATGTAACCTGAGCTCTGCAATGCTTATCTGAAGCTATTTGAACTCCTAGAAGTGTGCATGTCATCATCATTCTGTGCAACATAGTCAACGTGTTCCGAGATAATTCGTGGTGAATTCCTCTCGACAGATACGTGGGGACTGATTTTGGGTAGTCATAGTAAGCGTTCATTCTTGAAGGTTGAAATTTGAGACTTTGCATTTCTCCTATCTCCAGGAGGCGCATGCGGATATGGAAATATCTCCTCCAGAGGTTATGGTCTGGAGACCACGGCCTTGAGCTCAACTCTCTTCAACAGTGGGCTTACTTGTGGCGCCTGCTTCGAAATCAAGTGCAAAGTGGAAAACAGCACATGGTGCTTTCCCAACGCTGGTTCCATCAAGGTCACTGCGACGGACCTCTGCCCTGCAAATCCTGCGATGCCCACCAACAATGGTGGATGGTGCAACCCGCCCAGGACTCATTTCGATCTGTCGTATCAGATGTTCACTCGCCTGGCCAAAGCAGAAGGAGCCATCATCCCCGTGCAGTTTCGGAGGTGATCATCTTCTCACTGAATTTGCATTGCATCGACGTGAAATCTTACATCGCTCCTGCTGTTTCCGATTATGTTTCTGTCTTCTTTCCACGGTGACATCGAACTTGCTCTAACGTAGGGCTCATGAGGTGCAAACCGCTTGCATAAATGCGAAGATAGCACCATAAATAGATGCATGGCCATTTCTGAGATTGCAACATCTGTTATGGATCGTGAGTAACACGCATCAATAACAAATTCCAAACGTCTGACGGGTCCTTTGGTACTGCAGAGTACCATGTGTGAAGGTTGGAGGCATACGTTTTACAATGAACGGCAATCCATGGTTCAACCTCGTGCTCGTTTCCAATGTGGCTGGAGCTGGAAATGTGGTGAACCTGCAGATGAAAAGTTCCGAAACCAACTGGTTTTGGATGACGGCGAGGCAGATTTCGGGACAGTACTGGGAACTCAATCAGAACCTGATGGGACAAAATATATCGTTCCGGGTGACACTTGGTAATGGAAAGGTGATGATTGCCAACAACGTGGTCCCAGCAAACTGGAACTTCCAACAGACATTTGAATCCGATATCAACTTTTAGCCTCCTCGAAAATTGCGGAGGAGGTGAGATAATCAAAACCACCCGCCGCAACAATGTGAGGTGTTAAGTTTCACGATCAACAGAAGCTTGAAGTTTTACCGGTGGTCGCGACCCTGCAGCTGGAGTGCCATTCTGATGCTGTGGGCCGCTGAACACATGGCGCATGTTTTTCCTGAAGCAGTCCACCGCAATGTAAACCAGATATGTCATGTACATAAAGCTGATAGCTTGAGGTGTAGGCATATGATGCCCACCCGCTTGACGTTGTAAGTTTGGTGTTCGATGAAGCTACTGACCAGACTGTGAACTTGCAAGACGAGATGGAGGCGAACTTATGCCCATCCGCTAGATTAAAATCTACAGTGAGGTCTAGAAACAGACAGTCCTATAGTTGCTGAGTTTTGAGCCAATGTGCCAACCAGCTCTATAGTTAGTCTGGTACAGAATAATGGTCGTGGACGTTTTTTGTTCATGCAAGAAGTGTCTTTGTTTCCTATACGTGATGCTTTGACTGGAAAGAGTCATGTCTATCCTTCAAAGCCATGATGAAGAACAAGTTTCAGGATCTAGATATGAACGCTGATGTAGCTGCCATCAGTAATATTAGCTGGCTAGCTGCGAGGCTACTTCTTCATCATTGAACTTGAAATAAATAATGCAAGTCAATACGTTTTAAAAGGATTTCTCAGCCTTGTAGAAAATGCAACAATTACAGCTTGTGTAGGGAAACTTGTGTTCGGTTCACACATCCTATTCGTCCACATTTCTGGAATCAGCCTGGGGGTGATCTAATGGCTAAGGTGATGCTCTTACTGTTCTTGTATATGCATATCAACCATACTCAGCATAATCGGATTCTCCATTTTCAAGAGCGAGCGAGTTGTGCTTACAAGGCTGTCGAAAAACAAAACTGGGTTTGCTTGAACACAACATTCAATTGGACTTAAACTGAGTTTAACAATTGCCGCTTGCAGCAGATGCCATGCAAATCACAATGTCTCCTACTAAACTGTATCAAACTCTCTATCCATGTACGATATTAGTTGTCGAAGATTCTTCTAGATCGCCTATAGAGGGTTTATTCTGCTGTGATGGTTGAAGCAATAGTCGACGAGCAATATCAGATCCATGTTCTTCGACTTCTGAACTTCACACCCGGGTTAGCGGTCGATCGGAACGTAAACATAATGGCCTAATATAATATCAGGAAGTCAGCATCGGGACGCTGAATAACGCGAGATTTCCCTGTTATTACAAATTAACCATAAAATTTCGGTCACGTCTTAGAGATGACTTGGCCTAATCAAATGTCCAGAAATAGGCGTATTTAGTATCAAGACAAAAAGAGAGCTGAACAAATAGTTCACGAAACACGAACACTACCGTTGTGAACATCACTGAGTACGAACTAATTTGGCTCTCGGAGCCAAGCTTGTGACATGACAAGTGGGAGATGTCCACCGAGATTTTCCGGGATAATGAAAGTTTTGCATGGAATGAAAATACGATCCCTACAAGGTAAACTAAGGTTACTCAGATGAACTGTTTCTGTTCGATATGATCAAATTCTGGCGTATCGGTAGCAGTTTACTTGTTCCATGACCATCAAGTGACTGCTTTAAAATCGCATCAGCAATCCTTATAAGGGACTCTGCTGACATAAAATCTAAGAACAGGCATTTATCAAGTTTTAGAATGGGAGACCTGCGGACCATGCATGCCATCGGCTATTTTGTTGAAAAGTCAATGGAATGCTCTCCATTTGTTTCAAGGTGTGAGCCGATACCTTGGAAACAATAATCATAACGTTTCCACAAAAGGATTCCTCAACCTAACCCAAGATTACAGAGTGCCCATACTTAGAGAAATGTGCTCCAATTCCAACTAAGTTCACTACTTCAAGTCCCCTTTGGATTATTTTAAATCAGCATAGTACATTCATGTGCAGGGAAGCAAGCACGTAAAATGACAAAAAGTTTCTTGGCTCAGAAGAATATGATCCAGCAAGTTTGTCTCAGGTATCACATCATTTCAGGCAAGAACGTGCTCTTCATGTCTATGTCTCCATCGAAGAAGCCAAAGTACAAGATTATTAAACGGCCAATATTATAACAAAGAAGAATCAATTGGTACACGAGTATTGGTTCTCATATTGTTACGCTTTGGGAATTTCGTGCAGTCTGTATCTTATTCTGACCCTCCTCGGGTCTTGATTGCCTGCATCCTCTACACTATATTACAATAGTTGACAAACTTTGGCTACAAAAGGTCAGCCCTTGCGAATCGCGCTGTTACACAAATATCATGCAGAGTCACTACATTTACCGGAGGACTGCGATGATAACTGCGTAAGAGCACTCGGGTCCAGAAACATTGACGCCTCTTTGACTCATAATCCACTCAACTGAAGGGTCAACATAGTCAACGTCCGGCCTGAGGGCCGAAGCGGCGAACGCTACGTGACTGTGGCATTCACCACTACACAGGAATCTTATTCTCAATCAGTTGACCTGCACGCTACTGGAAGGTCACTCAACTGGTGGCATCGTCGACCTTGCGTTCTAAGTACATGCGATCTCAATCTGGAGATTGCTGTCGAGAACGTGAGATTCCCACTTCTTTCCTGCTAGCCAGCTCCCCCATATACAAACTTACCAGCCACTCTACATGATGACTTAGTCGACTTCATAACCTTAATCGTATTCGTATTTATCTATCTTGACTTTTTCTCTTTGATATACGTAGCCACTGTTACGTTTCCATCGACATTCAAACCTTTGAGCATATTAGTGTTCACATTAGACTTTTAGACTCGACCTCCATTTGCCATGTATAGAACTTTATCAAGATTGTGAAGATCGGTGGGTATGGACGGTATCCTCCCGCTAGTTTTTACGAGTGCCATTTTGATCATTCATATGCGAGCGATCTGAGATCATTTCGATCATTCATATAGTCCTTCTAGTGCTACATGTATGTTTCTTGGCTATCTGAATTCAAATAAAGTTTCAATGAGCTGAACCAGCTAGAGTTCAAATCGAAAAGCAGAAACCTGAGACAAGAAGCCAAGTAGTAGAGACATGGTATCGATAATTTGCATAATTTTTTTGATACTCTGAAATCTCCAGATGATAAATTGTACTAAGCTCTCAGCGTGGAGCATGAATCTAGACTTAAAGGTTGAATTTTCAGTACGAAGTAACAAACTGAAGTCCTAAAATCAGATATAGAGTCGAACTCAAACGTTTTATTTCGTTAGGATAAGGCCAATAGGGAACAAATGTTCTGACAAATCTGAACTTGTATATATAAATAAATAAATAAATAAATATATATATATATATACAAAGCAACGCGCTTAGTCCATTTCTACTGTTGGTGGCTAACATACTTTCACTTTGAAGGATCCATAATCCTCCTGTTTGCTAGAATGAAAAACATAACGTGCTCATTGTCGTCATTTATAAATTGCTTGGAATACTTTTATGGATGCTGAGCTGACAGTTGTTCGAGTCCTGAAAATTCTGATCATCTTCTGCACTCCACTCAAAATGTCGACCTGACTGTCAAGCATTCGCTGCCGGACTGAACTAGCATAAGAAAAAAACTGCGCTCCCGATTCGAAGGGAAGTTGTATGATACAGCAGTATACGAGTCTGATAGTTCTGTACTACGAGCAATCTTTAAAAGTTTACTGAATGAAATCCATTCAACATCTGACAGCACGAGAAGTAGGAGAGTTGAGATTCATGCCTGGATAATCACCCCAACCATAATCACCTCAGCTCATAATCACCCGAGGCTATGCTATATATATTTATGAGGTAAGTCCTTGTGCTGTACTTCGTAATGTTCACCTTGGCATCAGGCTCCATCGGAATCAGCAAATTTTGCGTTGGTCTCGAAGCATCAATGCGCAGAAGATGGACATTGTGCAACAAGAACAGATCACATGTACACATTGGGCTTTGGGCTTTGATTTTCCCAAGGTTACAAATCAAGTGCGTTCTGTTTAAACCTGAATGTAGAGATATAGTTGAGAAGATTTGTTGGCAGTCTTTGATGGATATGGTACTGTAAAGCTCATGCTTCTAGCCAGGGACACCGAGGAGCAGTTGGAAATATGAGGCCTTGTCAACCTTTAGGTTTGACCACTATAATCTGATAATGTTGTTCTCCGCTTTCCTGAAAAAGTGCCCAAGTTTTTGGATTCGTTGGAAGCGCGAATACAGAGTCAAAGTCTTACTATCATAAGCTGGAATGTCAATTCTCTGACTTCTCGCTAACGACACTCCACATGTGGACTGGCGTGGCCTGCGAATGTTTATCTATTTGCAGCAAGTATTGCCTCGTGGATGCTACTTGGCTATGCTTTCTAAAAGCTATTGTTGTAAACTCAATGGAATGTTCTCCGTTTGTTTCAAGGTGTTAGCCGATACCTTGGAAACAATAATCAGAACGTTTTCACAATAGGATTCCTCAACCTAACCCAAGATTGCAGAGTGCCTTTACTTAGAGAAATGTGCTCCAACTCGGACTCAGTTCACTACTTCAAGTCCCCTTTTGAGTACTTTAAATCAGCATAGTACATTCACGTGCATGGAAGCAAGCACGTAAAGTGACAAACAGTTCTTGGCTCAGAAACTTGCTGGATCACAAGTTTGTCTCAGGTATCAAATCGTTTCAGGCTAGAAAGTGCTTTTCATGTCTATGTCTCCATCGAAGAAGCCAAAGTACTAAGTTATTTAACGGTCAATATTTTGACAAATAAAAACAATGATGTTTATCGAAGAGATGTTATGCGTCGACTTCAGTCTTTGAAAGACAGAAATTCGCATAGAAACAAACTGCACAGATATTTTTACCGCAGATACCAAAAGTATATCTCCAAATATATATTTTTATAGCATAAAAGTATATTGCATGAAATTGTATAACATATTGAAAAAAAATTGCTAAAATTAAAAAATAAAACAATGCGAATACAATTATAGTACGAAGATCTAATCATTTGTTCAAATGAATAATCTTTTATGGAAAGATAAATATTTATATAAATCTAAAAATAGGGATTATCGAATTATATATTGTTAGTTCTTTCCATCGCCCACCATTTACGGCTTTGTCTGCTTGTGAGAGGATCAATTTAAGTATGTTAGAAAAGAGGAATATAGCTTTGCTCCTTTCTTTTCTAGAGTGAAATTTTATTCATGTCGTCGTTGTTCATTGGAGTGGCCATACTTGACAATTCCATTTGGGGAGGAGCTCCTGAGAGCCCAAACGAAGCAACTCGGTAAATTTGGTCAACAACAACATTGAATTTTACAAGGTAAGTCCACGTTAAATGTAGAGATGATTTATTTTCAGAAAGGTACTTTCAATTTCTGTTTCTCACGTTTGGATTCCGCCAGGCGCAACCAGAGAGGGTAGGGGGTTAGCGCAATAGATTTTTATAATTGTCGTTCGCTGTCGAAGAAGATTCGTTGATGACAGAGCTTTCCTGCAGAAATAATCCTACCTTCGTTGAAAGTATGCATTTCTTATGGTGTACTCTGTCTCCCTCAACCAGTGCAGACAAGTCTATGGCCAGAGTACCTTGAGTTGATTCGATACTCCGCTATGACAGGCGCGAAGACTGACCTGAATCGAAATTTTGACCCTTTGCTACAAAACGTATGAGAATTTGCTGCTGATATATCATTGCTCCTTGACTGCGGGCTAACGCCCATCCAAAGTAATAGTCCTGCGAATCTTAACGAACATCCATATACGAGATGCTAACAAGGTACTCAAAATGCAGATCCTGTTCCGGGAGTTCGGGAAAAGAAATTGTGCTACCGGGTGCCAGTCTCTGAAGCTTAGCCATTTTATTGTAGGTGTAAAACAGTATAAAAAGCCTCCTGTAATTCTAGATTTTCTAATCATCAGCAAATTCCGTACACAAAATTCTCATCTGTAGACTTTTAGTTCGACTCGTGTTGATTGCAGTACCTAGAATTACAATACATTTTATTCTTATCTTACATATATAAAGTTTCTAGGACAAAGTTTTCAGAGCAACGTTTGCGATTAGTATGTATATGTATGATACACAGAACTCAGATACTCAGTACTCCGGCAATCTCGAGATTCATGCGATCTGAAGTAATCACAAAGCATCCAGCTTGATTTAAGCTAAGACTGGTGCATGTTGAAAATTGATAAACCTTCTCAAAAAATTTGTATCCACCGGCCTTCAATCTACTGGGCTACGGAGTTGCCCCCGCCATTGAGCCAGAAGTCTTGATTCTGTACTTGTCTGGCTCTGTGCATCCCGGATGTTAGTTCTCCCCCATCCGGGTCAAGAGTATGTTTATCACATTCACCAAATTCTGGAGGAAGTAGAAATTCCTCAGTCTACTGACACACGGAGAGAAGTAGCAGCCAAAACGCATTTTCCAAAGACTAGAGTTCGAACTGATGCTGAGCACTTGCAGGATCTACAAGATAGATGTCAGGAATTTCTGACAGATCTGGAAACAGGTGTAGTTCCTTGCGCTTAGAAGTTACGTGAGAAATTCCTGACATACCTTCCAAGCAAACTAAACCTGTTTCCAAGTGGAGAAAAGATAAATGCGGAGACCACAAAGTGGGTTGCTGCGAGTCTGATCCAACAGAAACATAGAATCTCACAAATATGCATTCGTTGAGCACGCGGTTGATTGCAACGGTGAAGTCTCTAATATTACCGGTGATTTCCGAAGTGTTAATCTCCAGCGACCGTTGTTCTCGTCAGGAATTTCAAGCTTGTTGATTAAATAAAAAGGAATCAGATGCCTTTGGACTTGGAGATGAACTTGTTGCTATCGGTGCCAGCGGAGCTGACAGCTACTCAGTAGCATAACCTTCAAGAGATTGAATTGTAAAAGGATTTAAAGACCTCGAGATACACATAAGCGTTGCAAGTCTTCAGTAGATCGGATCTCTGTAATACATCCGTGCCATTAAAGATTTCGAACTCATACCTGTCAAACTGCGAAACCAGCACAGCTCCAAGACCTGGAGAAGGTCTCAGATCGATGATTCAAATTTCATCAATAACGTGTATATATATACCGTCACGGTGCTAGTGGCGTGTGGGAGCTTCCATTGTGGGACACTGGTCCTTTTTGGTGAAGGTTCGCTGGCGAGGACCCAGTGCTACTCGTATCTGGCCTCGCTGTGCAAACCTTCAAGCCGCATATGCTAGAAGGTGAGAACTTCAAGGTTCTCTTGTGGCTCCGAGCCTTCCACATTGCACAATTCAGCTGATCAGACCTCACGGCTATACTCACTTCATTCTAAAGCTGATTTCGGTCACCAAGTTTTGTGCAGGTCTGAGATTATACTCAGAACTAAGCGACAATCTGTTGCCGGTCATTACGATGGACAACTTAGAAGGGAATGACAATGATTCTTGCAAGTGTTCAATACTAGGCAAGAACACCATCGGCTACATGACGATTGCTATGATTGCTTTGTTAATCTTTGTGCCAGGATACTATTATTTCTCAACGAAGTTTCAAATCAAAGCTCTCGAAACTCGAATTAGACTATCTTTCAACCAGCACATTCTACATTCACAAGAAATAGGAAATTTCAGGGACAAATTGAATGAAGTGAAAAGTTATACGCCTCGAGCTGTTCTCGTGCAAAACCCATCAGGCAGGTACATGATAGCAATCAAAAGATATATTTCTACGACGGATGCAGCTTCAAGCTCGGAAGGTCCACAGAGAGATGCAGCTTCAAGCTCGGAAGGTCCACAGAGAGATGCAGCTTCAAGCTCGGAAGGTCCACAGATAGATGTAGCTTCAAGCTCGGAAGGTCCACAGAGAGATGCCATTGACAGTTTGGAATCTGAGCAGACGGAAGAGCCTCCAGTTCGTGATGACAGCTAAACGTCATCATGACATTTGAGGACGGAAGTACAATCCTTGATTATCTACAGATATGTAGAGGCTGGAGTCCAATCTACTGGCTCATCACAAAATTGCTGTTGTTTCATGATATTGTGCAGCACGCTTCATCATATTCAATCTTAAAAATTTTCCACAGAGTTCTCAACTTCCACGTTGAATTTTGTTCAAGCATATCGTACTGGAACATGGACTGGAATTGGATAGATGAGTAGTCCCGCTAGTCCCGACCTCATTGTGAACCCATTTCCAAAGTTGGGTAACCCCGTTAGCGCGAGCTAGCCATGAGCATAGATTCGCACTACTCATAGTTAGCAGGCTGAGCAGCAAATCCCCAGCTCAATTGTACTTCTATGAATATTATCATCACTAAAATTGGGTAAATATGTTCATCGGTGCTTTGAGATGTAGATGTTTTTACTTCGTTGCTTTATCTTCTGTTTCTTCTTGGAGTGCTATACGTGGGAGAAGATTTCGACAGAGCAATGGAGGTTTCTGCAAACTGCATGGCTTTAATCTTTATAGTAAGGCACTCTACACATAATTCCCCTGGTGTGAGGAGAGGGAACACTAAACGTAGCTGTGTGTGTCCAAATAGAAGATATATCATTATGCATGAAGAGATTCAAGATACTCGAATATAAGAAGTGCTTGCATGTCCAGATGCTTGAATTTTATTTCAAAATCCGTGAGATCTCATAGTTCACATCAACTCTGCGGACATCTTAGACGGTTTTGAAATTGCTACGGGTAATTTTCAAACACCCACTTCAAAATTCTCCTCATCCGAAACTGCATGTCGGTCTGAAATTATGTGCAAAGCAATACCTCGACCAAATCATGATAGATCTCGATTCCAGTGATCATTTCACTTGCTTCAACACAATGTGTCCTGCGTAGAGCACAATTCTGTAGTTCGACCAATAATAGCCATCAATAAAATGATATGCTCAAATGTTCGCAATTATTCGAAGAGTTGCAACCCATCATTCGAATTAGCAAATCCGTTTATACCAGGACACGCTTTCTACGTTAACAAAATGCAATATCCTGTGCTCAGTACAGTATCTTGCAATCTTTTCCGCTAACTTTGATCTGAAACTGTATTCTTTGGAAAATGCGTTTTCGGTGCTCCTTGTCTTCGTTTGTTAATCTACCACAGCATACAGTCCAAGGAATTGTGATATCCTGCAGAATTTGGTGAATGTGAAAAACATACTCTCGAGCTAGATGGGAGAAGATGCAACATCTTGGATGCACAGACAGGTACAGATTCAAAACTTCAATGTTGAAGAGAAACTCCTTTAGCAGCAAGGGATTAGGTTCTAAGGCTAGTGGACACACAAGGGTTGAACATGAGAAATTTCCAAGATGGGCGAGCATTACCTCGAATCAATCTGGAGGATTCGTGAGAAAAGCAATGGAGAATCAGAAGCGACCGTCGTTGACTGTATTTTGGTATTTTTAGTGAGTTACATCATTTAGACATAACAGTAACTGCTTCACTATTGATATTTACTAGATCGGAATAGTGGAGCAATTCCTTTCCTGGCTAGCTGACATAAAGCAGTGGATATTGTCAGAAATAGAGAACTGACCAGAAAAAAGTTGTATTAGTATTCGGACATGAAACTCGCAAATCGCAAGCACAGATTTGAGAGGCATGAGAGCTTCATGTCGACAGAACTGTGAGAACCAAACTGCTTTCATGAGATAAGAAATTCGGAGAGAGGAATGCAGATGGTTCTAAGACCTAATCGATCAGATGAGCTCAACGTGAATTGGGTTGATACTCCCTGCCCGTGAGGAAGAAGAAATCATTTGAAGCTTTGAATCCGCGAGAGGCCAAGGCAGCGTGATCGTTGTGAGAGTCCATGGCTCCTCTTGCTGGGCTTCGCATCTTTCCGATTGCAAGCGCTAGGCCACCAGCATCAAAGTTTGGCTCTAGAGATGCTTGATGGTCACATATTCGACAGATATGCTCGACAATATTGCTGAGGGCGACAGGTACACTGGTATCCTGATCTTTAACTTTGAAGGGTATAAGTTGCGAATGAGAAATCTGATCCGATATTTTATAACAAGCCAAATTTTGTATACAAAACAATCTTAATGCTTGATTCGCTGCACTATAAAAATAGATATTTCAAGGTTTTCTCTATGTATAAAATGACAGAAACATCTAAAAACAATTCGATGTCTTTCCAAGATTCAAGTGAAGGTTGTTGTTATTTCATGTTAAACGGAAGATATTTATATTTATATCAAGCAATCTAAAAAAACATGGAATATGTTCATTAGAATTTTTGCAATTATTAGATTATGGCCTTGATTAAAATGTTTAATGTCATTCACATTAAAGAAGATATATTGAAAACATACTATACTCGCTTTATATAATGTAATTTCTTTCCGTTCATCATTTCAACTGACAATCCGGTTCTTTCACTCAATATAACCTGTGATTCGATGTTAACTGAACAATATACTTGCAAATGTCAAATGTGAATTGAATGCGTTGATGACTAGAGTAGAACACAATGTGCGATATACAACTTACTGCAGTAAGATAAGGTTAATATATTCTAATAAGGTTGGCAGTGCTTCCAAAAGACACAAATGACAAAGATTTTCTGCAAACCGATAGTGGTGCCCCTATTCAGAGCACGAGTCTAGAACAAGCTTGTAACGGAGGAGGAGTTAGCCAGGACCAAAAAGTGGTCGAACTAACGGTCGATTGCGTGAAAGAAAGGTCAGAAGAGATGCTGCTGATACTTTTTCTGGTAATGTCGTTTTACTTTGCTAGTAGCTGAGCCTTGATACAATATTTCCTTTGTTTCCATCACTGGAAAGCCCACGGCTCTATTCCATAGAACTCCTTCACCTTGATATATGTATATATATAGAGTAAACAATTGAGTAAACAGATCCGTTTTTGGATTTGAAGATGCACACACGGATTTTATTCATCTGTTGTAGATGCTGGCTCATGGCCTGTCCTATCTGCATAACAATGAGAGTCTTCCAAAAGAGTGAGTCGGAGGTGTTTGGGTACACGAGCTCGAGAGCATGTTAAAGTTCAGTAGATGACCAAGAGGTTCGTTAATTTCTTTTATTGACTTGCTTCCGTGGTTGACAAGCCAAACCAGGCCGGCCATTTATTCTTGTCCTCGCCGATGAATGCATGTTCTATTGCTGGCAACTACGTACAGAGTACAGCTGAAAAAAAGGGAGGCCTGAACGCTGATTGCATCAACCTCCGGTAGGCTTTTCAAACTCCATAGCGTATAACACCTTAAATAATTTTAGTTTCCTCCATCAGTCCCGTGAATTCTATATGTTGCTCGTGATCAAGCGGAGCTCGAGAAATCGATAAATCCATGAACTTGATCCCGGTGAGCAGGACGGGTTGGGTTCTTTCGTGAGGTCGTCTGCCTCTTGAGCTCTTCGAAGTCATTCGAGCATTTCTTGCGGATCTCTCCTTGAGAACACTTGGATTTTGCTCATCTTCACCATGGCGGCTGCGAAAAACGTGGAGCCGGGTTGTGCTAATCTGGTCGCCTGGGCCAGGGACCTGGAGTCGATGGCGAGTGCAGCGTCTGAGGTGAAAAGTCCCTCCCTGGTTATGACCTGCTTAAAGTACGTGCGGTCGAAGACGTTTGGAGAAGAATCCATGGTGATGACCGTCGTGACGTCGTTGGGAGGGCACTGCTTTTTCAAGTTGGCTGCCAAAGTCGAATCCATGCATGCGTCGGTTTGTCCATTCGCTCCATTCAAGTTCTACAAACGGTTGAGGATGGGACCGCAGTGAGCTCTTCCAAAGGTGTGCGCTCCTGATCGATAAGACAAGTCCAACACGTCCGAAGATTGAATCTTATGCTTCCGAATATTCTCTATACACTGCACTCCGAGTCTATCGTGCATGTTGTCCCAGATTTCAAAAACTCCCACGACCGCCAGGAACAAAAGGCAAGAGATCTGCTTCTAAATGCCTCTATGTCGCATGATACAAGTCCATTTTGAGTATTGCTGTTCTCGAGCACATTAATATGATGCTTTAGGTAGACTGTACTGGACTGAGAAAGCGCTGGAGAGAACGTGATTACCTGAGAGGAGGATCATGTCCGATGCACTGAGCCTAACAGTAGCAAAGTTTTGTATCAACTGACCGAGGTTCATGGATGGTCCTGGGAGCGCCGCCAGGGCCTCTGACGCTAATGACACCTTCCCATCCCTGCGTCCGAGAAGAACGGCCAAGTTGAACCTCCTGCCTGTTGTGTCATCACGGTGGATGAATGTTAATCACTAGTTCGAATCGTAGGATTCCATTCAGCTGATCAGAGCCCATGACTAGATCCGAATCCGTTCATGCTTGATGGAGCCTTCAGCTAGCAGAGAACCGATGAATCTCATTGGAACTAGGAGCTTTCGTATGTTAGACGTACCTTGACGGTTGCATCACGTGCTACGATGGCCAGTATATCTGCACAAGAGACAATGCCGGGGCATGTAGCCTCGAGTGCGGATTTGACTTGATCACTTTGCTGGAATCCTCTCAATGAGTTTTTATTTGGTTGGGCGTCGATTTCTTGATTCTTTGATGAAGAGGAGATCAAAAGTACGGATGCAACACAGCCCTGAATTTCAAAACATATGAACGCTCTCACGTCAACTGGAGTTTGGCATAAGAAAGAGCTTTCTTAGCTTTAGCTTGACAATGGACACAATGTTCCCCTGGCGGCAAGCCATCGAAAACTTCAAAAACTAAAAGTGGCTTCAAGACATGAAGTTGACTGAGAATATTTTATGATAACTGAAGGTCATTTTGGTGGAAGTCTGAAGCTCGTTAGCTGTATCAGGAAGTCCGGCATAAGTTATTAGATGCATATATGCTGCATGGGGTCAACATATAAGATGATTTAGTAATTATATCATAATTAGGATGGCTGTGGTTGCTGTGGAGCAAGAAATAGCCGGTGGACTTACTCGGACGAAGCAGTCATGAAAATGAAAATACTAGTGTACTACTACTAGTGTACTTCTACTGTGTGTAAACTAAAGTGTTAACCACTTCCTACTCTGTGCGTAGCTGCCAGCAATAGAACATGCATTCATTGGCGAGGACAAGAATAATTCGCCGGCCTGGTTTGGCTTGTCAACCATGGGAGCAACTCAATAAATCAAATGGAAGAACCTCTTGTTTGTCTACTGAACTTTCACTTTCAAGGTTCTTGATGACCAAATTTACCGAGTTGCTTCGAAGAAGTGAGTTGAGTCCGAATTGGAGAACATCTCTCTAAGTATGGACACTCTGTAATCTTGGGATAGCTTGAGGAATCCTATTGCGAAAAGATTCTGATTATTGTTTACAAGGTATCCGCTCACACCTT